CATACTACGAGTATTCTATTCTATACTATACTATACTATACTGTACTCGGGATATGGATATCTTCTATGAAATATAGTGCATGACCAGTTCCTGGAAACCGTTTACACTGCATATTTCCAAGATTTGCCAATCTACTGAGTATGTACAGAGCTATTAAAGGCACTCAACTACATCCATGTACTACGGAGGTACAGGTACATAGCCGTCATATTCATCGGCTCCAGGTCGGCGCACAGGGCAACCACCGTAGTCCGATGCCCGTGCAGGTACTCTGTACACATCCATATAACAACCAAATTCATTGCATAACATCAACACGACTCCCTCTCAGGACAATTGCATACCTCCAAATCAAAACAATCAGCCCATCACCACGCGACCCAATCCTTTCCCTTCCGACAACCCGGACAACTCAAAACAGCTTCAGACATGGAACTAAGAAGACTAAAGATCCCGCGTTCAAACTACCAGGGTATCAACCCCGAAGCCTGATCCGATTCTCGTCTGAAACTAGCTACATCCATGGATACGCAGAGTCCAACTTGAAGTTCTGTCCAGCCAGTATGCGGTTCGGATTGGACAGAGCCCAACACATCCCCTATTCCAATCTTAGCCCCTCACCCCTTTAGTGTACCGCACAGCATGCCAGGATGTTTAGCGCTGTCCATACCCCGGCTAGTTTGCGCCGCCGTCTGAAGTTTCATTTCCCTCAACCCCGCATGGAAGTTCGGGCCCTCTATCCGACGACGGATACGTCAACGTATGTATGTACATCCTATGGATGGCGGGGCCGCGTTAGATAACTAGTGCTGGGCCCGGGGAAATGATTCTGGCCGGGGTAAACGGAGATGATTGGCTGTCTGCACGTACAATACGAGCAATGTACATCCGCATAGGGAGTCCTGTACAGGGCAAGGCTATTCCTCTAGGGGAGGCGAAGTTCGGCGAAATACTTGCGTTCGGGATCGCTTCAAACTTTGCAAGCGAATTACCCCGTATTGATATTTCTAGTCAACGATGATGTCGACGGATACATGTATACCGGACGTTAATGTGTCCGTTTCAATCTCACCAATGAAAACCACAGGCCCCGTCACCGTGTCAACCACTGGCACCTGCTAGCACCTACCAGTGTACATACAGTATCCATTTCTTTCCGTAAACTAACTTAGCAAATGCGCCCCCCGTCTCACCCATAATCCCAGCCACGCCCGAGCGCCAAAACGCAGTCCAGCTTTGCGCGCGCTTTGATCGCCGTATCCGCATCCACGATGCGGTCCATGCCTAACCAGCCCCAGCCCCGATCTGCATCCTCAACCACCCTTCCAAGGACTGCGGTGACACAAGCGGCGAGCGCCCTTGCCTCAATCCAGTTTACCGGGCGTGCCACATCCTGCCGTCTTAATACTCTGTGTTAACGTCGTGAGACGGATTTGCAATCTTGCCACCACCCAGGCACCGTGCTATCATGGTACAAAATTGAGCAAAAGGGGGCCGCAGAGGAAGAGGGGGAGGGAGGCAACGTCGCTACGCCCGGGCTAAAGCCCATTTATTTGCTGTTCGCAGCTGAGTCGCACTGGCAGTAGGAACATAGACCTCATAATTTCCGTAGCAATGACCACCTTGCGATCTTGGCCTAATATCGTATCGTACATCGAACCAAAGAAAATACCGCCGATCGGCCCGTTTGGGGGATCGCTACGATACCCGTACCCCGTACTGGGTATATTGTACATATGTGGGTTTTGTGGATCGGTCGCTTGGATCGCTTCGGGGTCGACATACATACCTAGGTACATAAATATTCTGTACGTACATCCACTGCCAGTGGCATGAATATGCAACGTCCTGACTCGACCGTGGGGATTGTTTGCTATTAGATCGATCGGTGGGTATTGGTTTTATCTTGTGCTACGTGAAACTTAATTCGAAAAAGAAATCTGCACTGTGCAGTACTAGGACTAGTATATTCTACTGCCAGTGTACGTTAACTACGAAAGGAGATCTATCGGAGGGATACATCAATTGTCCTGGAATACAACCTTACGGCCGACCGCGTGTTTTGATAGATTGCGCATGTTGTTAGGAATTGTGGAGTTCTTGGGTGATTACCACTTTTCTAGGGTATGAGGAAGGGCCAAGTGGATTGCGGTAGAAAGATCGGTCGTATGTACGGACTACTTCGCAGAAAATGGTCCTGATCGCCGAGCCGGGTTTGTGTTGAGGATCGAGGATGATAGTCTCTCGCGATAGATGATTTTGGCAAAATTCATGAAAGTCATTTCTCGTCTTGTTAAGCCAGATTTGGGAATTGTGCGAGTCATTGAACTTGCCGACCACTCGGGGTGGCGGGGCCGTCAAGTTGATTTCATGCTAGATACTATATTTGGAGACGGTGCGCTGCCAATATAATCCTTGATCGTTTTGACGAGGCGGCCACGGCAACTTCAAGTTCCTATGCGGGATTTCCTGGATATGTCCCATGTGGGAACGAGTAGTAAATAAGATCATACTTGACAGATATTGCTCTATTGAGTACGATGAAATATATGACATACAGGCAATACAGCAGTATAAATTGACGAACTATTGAACCAGGATAAAAAAAGATACCGACAAACAGAGCATCTAATTTGTTTGACCTAAAGCATGGCCTGAGCGCCTGCATGGTGTCAGTTTCAAACCAAAAGTGAGACAGTCTCGTCTAGGTCTCAGGTGCAAACAACCCCTGTCCAAAAAGTCAATAGTTGCAAAATCTATAGCCCATTGTCCCATTGTCTGGCGGAGATAGCTCGGCTGTGGCTGAAGGACAAGACCTAAACGGGAACGAGCGGGATGGAGAGTGAGAGGAGGGGACCGGCCAGCCGGCTAAACTACCGAACGAGCTGACACGAACAAATCCCTCTTTGCTTTTTTCTTCTTTCCAAGTTGTCCTTAGTGTCACCCTCGACTCTCGTATGAAAGGGCCTGGGATAAATGATCCATATTGTGGATTCGTATGTGCCCTGCCCAGGTGCGTTCGGAAAAGCGGACTCCTGCGATGCCCCTGACTAGTATCATCGGATGGCATCCGACACTATGTCTTTGCCCACTCCGGCCCAGCCGCAGAGTACAGCACCAAGACAGATATGGCTGAATCGCGGGTTTGGCTTGCAGGAGAGCCTTTGCGTTCGGTGGAGAGAGGAGGAACACATTGACCTGACCACTCCCCCAATGATAAGATGCTGAGCACATGCACTCCAGACCTGACTGCGCGCTAATTCGAGCCCGCAAAAGCGATTGGTCTACCTTCATTCGCGGTATTGGAGTATGTGCATGTTTTAACAGTGTTCTTCCAACAGAAATGGATTTACGCCGCCACCCCGGAGCTGAGCGAAAAGCATAAACTCTCGTACAGATTACCTCCCCCCTCTTTTCGCCTCCGGCTTCCGCCCAATTTGACACACGGAAAAACAGAAACTAGGAGCTAGTTTAGCATATCTCACCTTCCATATCTAGCCATTCGGAGTCTATTCCAGGCGAACCAAGTCAGAGAGCGCGAGAGATACACAGTGGGAGAAGGAAAAAAGCAAAGTGGGCCTATATATCAAGGCGCCCAGCCAGAATTAAAATCAGGCAAGCAAGCCGATTGGAATCCCATCCACACGAACCAGCAACACAAAAAACGAAAACGCGAGTCCGAGCTCCATCCAAACAAACGATTCACAACATGACATTTCCCTCCCGAACACGGGTCAAGCCCACGTTATCACGCCCATTATGGTCGGATTAACAGGCCAACCTATCAATCCCCCGCGCAGACCCATGGTTCATCATATCGGGTGGGCCCACCCGAGAGACTAGAACCAATTTGGGGATCATTGACTGTCTTCCCTAAATGCGGATGTCTGGACCTTGGCTGGAGGAGTCTGGGTCATCGAGTCCGAGGGTCTGGGGAGGCTGGGGAAGTTGGAAATCTTGGGCGATGGAGGCGATGGGGATTGGGAGGGCAACTAGGCCGAGTGGCTGAGGAAAAGGTCGGCGCACTGCACTTCCTCGCCAATCTGGTTCTGGGACCTGTGTTGAGTGAATTTGCGACCGAATAATGAAGTGTTCGCATCATAGAGTGATTTCATGGGTACCTGCGTTTACTAGCAGGGTCCTTTTCTGGGTTGTTTGGCTTTGCTTGCTAGGCTAGTTAACACCATGCAAGACTAGCAGGAAGTGAGGTGGCGCTGGGAACGGCAGATCAGTGTAGACTGTGCATCTAGAAAAAGATTATGAAAGATGATTCAGGGTGAAATTGAAAACTTCAAGTATGGGATCTCTTCTTAGACGTTAGGAATCAAAAATCTTCATTACCTTCTATCCAAACCCTAGACAAAGCTCTCTGGTATATGATGGCCATTGGTTTTGATACCTATGACGACTCTGATAGTGACAACTTCGTTGGTCGGCCATGCGAGTACCTTCGACTTACTTATGGCAGCAGCATATTGCGAATATCTACAACATAAGCCTCTGCGTCTGGCTCTTTAAATAACTTATGATCTACGGGTGATTTTCTCCAATGTGAAATGACATTTCCATGCATTGGAAGCGCTCAAAACTTTGGAATGACGAGGAACTTGGTGCTATACTTGAGTAAAGACAGTGTTGGATAGTATGTTTAATGCCGAGGTTGTTAGTATAATTGGGAGTATATCACTCTCAACTTATTTTATCCACCATCGTAGGGTATGCTCACCGAATTCGTGTATCCCTAGAACGTAATGGATAAAAAAAAGCACCAAGAATATAGCACAGCAAGTATTCTCTACGTCACCAAGACCAAGCGCGGTGATCCTGCCATTCAGCTTCAAGTTTTTGTCTCAATGGGCCATAGCCGTGCATATTCCATTCCAAAGTTCTAAATAAATTTCATTCTTAACTTGAATGAAGAAAAACGAGGGTCTAAAACAATTCATGGAGTTGCGATATCGTCTTCCCCGCTGGTAACTACCAGTCTATCCACTGGTATCTATGCTTCCTGGACCCCAACACAGCGCGTCACTTCAATTGCATCCTGCCATCAACGGGTTAGCTCTGGAATGAAGCGCAAAACAGCTCACTAGTTCAAATCAACTCACTCTTTCGCCTTCTGGCTGCCGGAGCACACTGTGGTATACGATATTGGGGTTTCCAACCGTCTCCAAGAAAGGCGCATCTCCCGCGGGCATCCAGGACTTCACAGTTCGCTCCAGTAAGCCTGTGGTGTTGTAGCCTTTCGGTGGCCCACTCTTGGCTACCTCGCGCTTTTGCTCAACTGTGCTCCGAACATATTCCAAGTATGGAGGATTACCCGGATAAATGACATTGTCTGCAAGGAGCAAGGAACCAGGAACAATCATGCCGTGGTGCTCGCACAGCTTCAAGTCGGTCAGATAAGCAGGTTTATAGTGGTCGATGAACAGAATCTCGATATTGGTGACCTTTCCACTCCTGTAGAATTCATCTAGAATCACGTCGCTGCGACCGACAATGACTTCTACAAAGTCTTGCAATCCAGCTAGCTCGATGAGCTGTCTCGCAGCTGCGGCCCAGTCTGGGTTGAGTTCCAGGCTATAGTAGCGTTCTCCTCCATTCTGACGAACTGCATCGCCGAAAAGAATGGCGGAATAACCAAAGTAGCAACCCAGTTCGACCATAATTTTCGGCTGCTTTTCCTTGATCAGCTCCGTGACAATTTCTCCTTTAGGCCCGCCAACTATCATCATGGCATTCTGAATTGCAAACTCGTCCACGATGGCGAGAATCTTGTGTGGATTTCCTCGGGCCTCGTCGAGGCCTTCATGATTGTAAATGAAGCTGAGGAGCTTCTCCACTCGATCATTTAGAGTCTGGCCGTCATGGTTAGCGGAATCCTATAAGTGCGTTTCTCACATTGTCCAGTCATCTCTCCAGGGAGGCAAAGGGGGACTTACTTCCTGTAAACTCATCATTAAATTCTGATTTGGATTAAAGAAATGTGCAAGTTGTGAGTAAGGATAAATAGTTCAAGGCTGAGAAGTCAAGCAGCAGGGAAATCGGGATACTTATACCACGCCCGCACCCCAAACTCTCAGCGCGCGCCTCATTCTGACATGCGTAAGATAAGGAGGCACGAGACTGCGTGGTTTATTGAGGACCAGATGATCCAATGGAAGAGGAGCTATCCAAGCAAGGAGAGAGAGGATCAACGTCATTTGGACCTGGTTGTACAATAAATGGTCTCGAATTGACTATTGAAATCTTGCATCTAGTCGCGTTGGTCAACTATTTATCAGTATTGGACTAGATAGGATCTTCTGTGTCATGTTTCACGACTATGTCTGTATGCCATGCAGGTCACAAAAGAAAAGCACATGCATCTTGGCAATGGAAAATTTGGTAATCATCTATTGAAAGATAAACACAGGCCCGGATGGCTGAGGGCTGAGAGCTGAGAGCTGAGGTCTGAGGATCGAAGACTCAACGGAAGCTGAATATCAATACACAAAAGTATCTGCCAAGGTTTCCAATTAAAGCACTACGGAATTTAAGAATGAGGGCCAAATAGTGTTCCGAAATAGTGAATGACAGTGATAACCACTTGTCACTCAAGTAACGGGCTGCTGAATTTTCTTTTCAAATATCGTCGGAGATCTAACGTCCGTATTCCCATATTCATAGCAATAATCACTCATTTGAGGGTGCATTAACTCTCTCATCCTTTTATCCCGACCGAGAACACCGAAGCCAAAGTTCGTGTCTAGTGTCAACTCCGGTGTCAAAGGAAAATTATGCAAGGACATGGTCCCATTGATTGCCCACCGATGATTCTCTTCGTCTAAAGCCTGCCACATTGCCCAAATCCTGTCTATCATCCCGTGGTGCAACATAAACACCGGATCCTGGGGCGACGAGAAGAAATCTCGCATAGTGCCCATCATCGCTTCATGCCCGGCCGCATGAGGACCAAACTCTCGCGCCCGCACCGCAGGGTCCGAGCTGATGTCGATTCGTTCCTGAAAGGTGATTATATCTGGAGAGGCGAGAACACGACGGATGACTGCTGCGTTTGCGAATCTTGCCGTGGCGGAGGAATTCATGTGGCGGCTTAGGCAATGAGGGGTGTAGTCGAAGATGTTTGGCGGTAACTCGAGGTTTGGGCCATTCTTTTGGCTAAAATGGACTGTCATGTTGGCTAGAGGGCCGGTGGTCACGCAGAGATCTGCATCTGGGTCCCCGTCGCCTGATAGAGAGGTCGGGGAGTTATCGAAGAGGGGACTATCAGTGAGTTTGGCGTGTAAAGACCAATCCCAGTACCTGGTCACGCTGTTAGTCGAGCTATTGATCCATAGTCCGAGGGAGGAGTCGGCATACGGAAGATACCCTTGGTACCCACACTCTTGTCTCAAGGCTTGCTCCCACCGCCAGAGGAACTCGCGATGCCATGCCAAAAGTGCTCCATTCGAGTGGATGTGAGGAGCATAGCTGATGTGCACACTTCGGTTCGGAAATAATTAGGTTCAAACGTTATTCTTTAAAGGGGGATGGTGCAACGAGCATACACTGTGAAATCATCCATCCGGTGACGAATACCTGGATACCTCTCGCGGGAGAGAATGGAGGGAGTGGTCTGCATGCAACGGATGGCATTGATATATTCTTTGCGCTCATTGCCAGAGAGAGAGCCCCTACGAAATGGTTACCGTTGGATCAAATGCACACATCTTGCTTCAGAACTGGGGAAGTTCGTGACTTACCATTCGCGTCGAGTTCCCCTGTTACTGGGAGAGCAGTTGAGGCAGTATACAGGCAGAAGGAAGAGCAGAATAAGACAAATCATTGTCAACGAGGATAGAGGGGCGATCCTAGACAGTAAGTTACATAGTGGGAGGGAAAAGGAAGTAATACTATTATCAGCTCGGCAAGAGACCGTCAATCCGCCCCAGAAACTAGGAGCGAACCGACTATCACCTGCTTATGATCGCTCACATCTGCTGTTCCAGCGTGGGCCTCAAATGATCCCAATCTTGCGTGCATTGATTCCTTCCCGCAGATCATCAAGGTTCAATTGACGGAAATTGTGTGGTTACACGAAATTTCCGTCGGCCGGTTCATGCATATGCATTTCTTTATCGAGTGTTTTGTTGCACTTGGCCCCTGCATATTGCTGCAGTATTGGTGACCAATTAAACGGGTCCAATAGGCCATTCAGCAGCTGGAAAGAAGCACATATGTCATTTATAAAGAAAAAGCACCTATGGTTATCTCAAGGGTTGAATGCATGTGTTAAGACCCGAACTGGTAAATTACCGCCAATACAGGGACTATACAGCGTAACCTGCTTTCCTTTGTGTTTTATAGAAGCCTTGGCAATTGGTATTGTCGAATCACCCCCTTGGGACAGGTAAGGATGGATATGGGTCAAAGATGTTTTATGCTTAGCATCAGAGATTCTTAATTGTCCCGGCGCAATCCGATATAACAGCTATACGGCAGGGGGGCATAGGCTGCTAATCTAGTGACGGCCCTGGGGGAGATCGATGTTACGCATCAAGCTACTACATCATCCCCATAAACCAATCGCTGTAGAAACGTCGTTGATAAGGCTATGTATTGACATTATCAGCTTTAGCTTTCCCCGCTGGAGCATATGTATCCCTTAAAAAAAGATAGTACCCGGGGATCCCTATACCTCGAGTTCCCAGGTGTTAGTTGACTACCACTCAAGTCGGCAATTTATTCCAATCCGCGTTCCTCCCACGCGTTCTTTAATACTTTGTATAATCCGAGAACATTAGGCTGTCTGATCAATGTCGAGTGGCCTCCGGGGACAACATGAAACTTGATATCCTCGGCAAACTCTTCCCATTTCCTTATATCCTTGTGAGGCCACTCTCCTTCAACCTTCGCAGGGTCTACATGGAAGATGTCCAAGGTTGCCACGCGTCCTGCTGGATCATATTCCCGAGCGATCAGTTTCATCTCATTTGCCAGAATCGCCCAATTATCCAGGTACTCGGGTGACATTCCGGCGTCCTTCACCCGGGCAGGTCCTGCGTGCTCCATGATATGGGTCAAAACCTCTTCGTGCGTTTTCTTTTGCATTTCTGGCAAGGCACTCTTTCGGTAATCTGCATCGATGAGATTCATGTAGTAAGAAATGGTCATAGCCCCGTAATACCAATTGGTCAGCTTAGCCCACCATTTGAAGTGTGGAGGTTGATCGATCGAGGCAAGGAATTGCACTTTGTCATTATTCGATTCCATGATCTTGGTAATCTCAAAGGCCGCGATCGATCCGAAAGAGTGGCCAATGATAGAATACGGCCCGGTCGGCTGCATGCGCTTGATGGCATCGTGGTAGGTGGTGACCATTTCGTCGACGGAGGTGAAGAATCCTTCCCCGTCGAATCCTCGAGCGCGAATCGCATACACTGGGCGGTCTTCAATATATCGAGCCAGATTCATGAAGATCAGAACTTCACCGAGGCCTGGATGGATTAAAAACAGGGGAGGCTTTGGTCCATGGGCACGAAGGACCACGATGGGGTCGTAGGTCTTTTCTTTCTGCAACCCATCGAGGGCCTTGCTAAGGTCGCGAAGGGTTGGGTGGGAAAAGAAGATGATCATTGGGATGTCGATGTTCAAGGCTTTTTCTAAGTAGACTCGCAGTTTCAGGAGGTCAATAGAGGACACTCCAATTTCGAACATGTCGCTATCGATTTGGATTTCGATTCCCAGCTCTCCGTAGTCACTCGCTAGGAGGTCATGAAAGACCTGAAGAACAGCCTTCTCGGTTGCGGTCATACCCGCCGCTTCCTGAATATTCTTCCGCGAATTTTCCATGATGGCCATGTCCTGATGCTCATATTCCCGATACGCTCCATCTTCGAAGGCTCGTTGCATCCTGGACCGAGACAATTTCCCCAGAGAAGACTTGGGGAATAACTCCGCGGGTAGGGCGATGATTTTGAACGGTCGAGAGCCGCAATGCTTGACAACTGCTTTGGAGATAGCAGCGGCTGTGGTAAGCCGGTTCTGCTTATCCTCAGCTGAGTAGGTTGGGAGGTAAGCAATACAGACGGTTTCTGTTGGAGAATCCTTGGGACGATGAGGCCAGACCACTGTAAAGGAAGAGGTGACGCCGGGGATGGCAGCCTGCCCTATAGCAGTCTCTACACTCTCGGATGAGTAGCTGACACTGCGACAATTAGCCTCGTGTCAAACAGGATAATTAAGAAAAAGAGGTGTACCCATTGATCACAATCGATTCCTTGCTGCGCCCTGTCAATCTCAGAGCTCCCTTTGAATCAAGAATCCCGACATCTCCAGTCTTGAACCATCCGTCCGGTGTGAATGCTGCATCGGACGCTGCTGGATCATTGTAATATCCACTAAATACGACTGGACCAGAAACCTCGAGGGACCCGATTTCATTCTTGGCAGCTTCCGTTCCGTCATCGCGAACAGTTCTCATACGAAGCCCAGGGATGGGGAGTCCAACAGAACAAAACTCGGCTCCTTGGGCAATGTCGTACGAAGGACAATTTATAGCATGAATAGATCCTGCGCAGGTCTCGGTCATACCAAATCCAGGACTGATAAAGGAGCTTGGTGCGCCGTATTGGCCCAACAAGCGGGTGAGCTTGTCGCATGTGTCGACAACATTTGACTCGCCGCCGGATAGCAATGTACGCAGCGATGAGAGGTCCAGGTTAGAGAGGGGCTCTTCGGTGGCTCTCAGCTTGTTTACTAAAGCTGCAAGGAAGAAATTTGGAGCAAAGGTCACGGTGACTTTATGCTCACTGATACTTTCCAAGAAGTGGCATGGATTCGCCATGACTTCTGCTCCCGACAGATGCAGCTGGGTTGCCACCAAGCTGACAGCATGCAGATGGATCTGGGTGAGGTTCGCAACATGGTCCAATCCGATCCAATTCATGAAGATATCGTTGTGGTCGGTTCCATGGTGAAGGCTTTTACCTTTCAGTGCCGCCAGGAGCTGTCCATGTTTCAAACAGACTGCCTTGGGGTTGCTCGTACTTCCTGATGTGAGCATTAGAACAGCTAGATCTTGTTCGCTTTTGCTGCTTCCCGGCAAAAATTCGGTCTCTTTGCATAGTCGTTGCTCCACGTGCACCGACTCCACCTCATCTGAACCACGCACGAGATTAGCTTTAGCAACTGTCAATTGTCATTTGAAAGTGTTTGTATTTTCAACTTACTGGATGAAAATACCTGGGGTGCCTGTAAGCCACCAAAATCCGATGCCAGCGACTTGTTTGTTATAATAATGGGATCGTCTAACAGCGTTCTCAGATACGCGACCCTCTCCTCCCGTTGCTCTCTGTCCTTTGGAAGAGGTGGACAAATACACGGCACGGCTCCGGCGATAATAATTGCCCAGAACCATACGATGCTTTCCATATGATCCACCGCATTGAGCAGGATGATTTTGTTTTCAATATTAACACCCACCCGGTGCAGTAACTGCGTCGACCGCAGCTTCGCAAGAGCCAAAAGCTCCTTGTAGGTTATCAACTTAGAAGAACCGCCTCCATCGCCATTTTTCATCAAAACACCCTTTCCGGCCCCATGATTGGCGGCCCGGATCAAGATGTTGAGTAGATTCCCAACCGACATGATGGCGAAGTCGTTATGTATCTTTGGAATGGGAATCTTCCGGAAACGAATATTTGAGGAATGTTTGGAACGTGAAGGCACTTTGCAATCTCAAAAATAACTTGAAATCTTTGAAGAAAGGGGGTAGGAGCAAAACTCAAGTAGAAGCTTACTTTATATCCTTCGTTACGAGTAAATACTGTAAATTCCAGTGATGGTCGATTATTTCCACATATATTTCATTCTATACGCCGAAGACTACGCAAAACAACATGCCAACTAATGACATGCATAGAGCTTTCAGTACAAAATGATCGGTCACAATATTAATTCTTCTGCTTTATTTGTTCTATCGACTGCACAACTGTGCGTTGTATTGCCATGCATGGATTTTGTAGATCGTACCTAACAACATCAATATAATTCAGACATGCATCTCAAATTGCATAATCTATAGGCTACACAGCATGAATATCGAAACATCATAATATTAAGGCTTGCTGAATGCGGCTATCGGCCTCGTTACAATTTGCTTCTGCATGCGTATTCTACGCTACACGAGCTGCATGCCAAAGTACGATATTGAAACTTTGTAGACAAACCAAAGCTAGCCTCTGGGAACAAATAATATAAAGTATAGAAAAGAAAAAGGAAAGACCGAGGCGTTGATGGGTTATCATTTATTACTAATAAATTACATCAGAACCAATCATGGACACTTCAGTCTGGTGCTTCCGTACCTTTACAAACTTTGGCAAAATGGCTAGTAGTCATTGAGAAGGTCTTCAAGTTGCATGTTACGTTATATAAATCTAAGCCTGTCCCGTATTCTTACTGTTCGTACTCTCGCAAGAGGAGTAAGCTATGCAAAGTTCCCATGTCGCATGATTCAAGGTATTTTGAAATTGCAAACTAACCGGCCTCACGTATTTAATATTCGCGAAATACCACACCTGATCCTCCTATGGAGGGGCGGCAACTCAAACGCTAGATTTTCACTTATTCTATACCATAATTTGGGTCATCAACATGAATTGCCTAAGAATAATCGAGGGATCGAGGGATCGAGGATCGAGTCCTCAAGCCCTGTGATCACTTCAAGATCAATCAAGGCCCATTATGGTCCTAGGTTGTTTTATGGCTTAGTGATAATAATAATTCCTGTCGCTGATATTGGCTATATGAATGATGTATTACTTTTGTAAGTAAAATACACGTTGTTATGACAAAACCAATGTCAAGGATACCAATTACTACAGTGTATACAAAACAAAAAAAAAAACACAGACGAAAGTGGGGCAATCAGTATAACTGCAGAGAGCCTGTGTAACCTAGACTATCACCTCCCTACATGCTGAGCGCATGACAAAACCAACATGTATTATGGCGCAAGGGTCCGTCAAAAAGGTAATCCAACACAGAGTATAACTTCAAGCAAATACCGCTAGTTTCTCCCTTCCTTGCCTGCGCGCGGATGTATTGGGATCATCAGCAGTAGACATCAGCTCACAGTGCCATGGGCAGACTGGAGGGGGAAAAAAGCAATTTGTTATATTAGACAGCCTTCAATCTCAAATTAGTACTTGTTGTAATAATGTAATAACAAGGTGGCCCCCTCCCCCCTCTCCTGAAAAGAACTAAATAGTCCACTTACATCCCCTCCTCCCTGCCCAACGGGGCTCCTTTCCTATCCAGTTACTTTATAGTGCTTTTTATCTACTTTTCCCAGAATCGCCCGTGATTGAGACTATGGAAGGTGACGAAAAGCCATGGGGCTATAAAATTCGTTCATCTCGCTTATTGGTCAACTCCACGATCACTGTCGCCTTATTCACAGGTATGTATGGCTGTGTTTCGGCGTCTTACTATCTAATGCCCAAAGTATATTAACCAGCTCCCAGAGACTTTCCTGGCGAGTTTCCTTACACCAATCATTGGATATATGCTGGAGGAACGACTACATATCGACCCATCGCAAACTCAGAGTTACACTACGTTGTTGCTCTCTAGCTATGGATTTGTTGGCCTTATCTCTGCCCCGGCCATTGCATACTTTGCTGAAAGGATGGTTAGTCAAAGGACGCCGCTCTTGATTGCTCTTGCTGGATGTCTGGTGGGAACTTTTATGGTCGCCTTGACCTCATCCTGTATGGCTCATCCCTGTAATATGGATGGAGAGTGCGTGAAGCTAATACGTGTGGCTAGTTTGGGTCCTTTTCCTCGGTCGTGTCTTGCAAAGTCTATGCGGTTCCGCTACTTGGGTGGTTGGGTTTGCGTTACTAGCCAGTAATGTGGACAGAAAGAACCTCGGATCATCAATGGGAACGGCAATGTCATTTGTCACAGCAGGAACTGTCGCAGGGCCAACACTTAGTGGCTCATTACTACAGTTGTTTGGCTACTGGGCTGCATGGGCGATTCCTATAGTCTTATTGACTTTGGATATAATCGGTCGTTTGGTCATGATTGAGCCCAAGATTCAGTCTCCAAATATATCCACTCCCAGCTCAGATTTGGGGAGCAAGTCTTCTGACGCTACACCCAACAATGACGAGGAAGCCTTGGACGAATCGACCACCCTGCTTTCTAGTCCATCTCCAACCTTGGAGCAGGGTGGTAGCACATATGCATACTTCCGAACCTTCTTCTCTGATTCTCGGGTTTTGGTAGGGTTGGCCAACATCCTCATTGTCGCCTCCCTTCTGTCGGGCATTAACAATACCCTCCCTGTTCATCTGAGAGAAGCTTTTGGGTGGAATAGCTTACTCGTAAGCGCCATGTTCTTCTGCATACAGATTCCTAATATTCTTCTCGGCGGTCTCGCTGGATGGCTTCGAGATCGCCTAGGGTTACGGCGGCCCACCACTTTAGGTTGGCTGACCATTGTCCCTCTGATTTTGCTTCTGGGCGCTCCCGGAGATCCGCGGTTTCCCTGGGCTAAAGGTGATGCAGCAGGCAAACCTCTCTTTACTGGTTGTGCCATTGCGTTGGGCAGTGTCCTCCCGCTTGTGCGCGGTGTAGGGGCTGTGCAACTAGCCTGTGAGTGATGCTGTTATGTTTGTTTGGTTTTTTTCGCTCCCTCGTTAACGTCTTGATAGTTGTTGTCAAAGACTGGCAAGCTAAGGATCCCCATCTCTTCAATCTGAACAAGAGTAATTTACGAGTGTTTTCGGTAACTGAAACAATCTTCAGCCTTGGAGGGATGCTTGGGCCTTTGTTGACTGGCTCACTCTTTGAAAAACTCGGCTTTTTTTTACATGACCGTAGTACTGGGTAAGTCTCACTATGACCCTGATGAATATTTTCCTCTGCTGACGAATACTGTGATACTGCGCAGCTGCCGTTTGCCTCACTCAAGCGGCGGTTTCATGGATTTGGCTGGACAGCAAACCCTCGGATCAGGGAAATGAACACGTTTGATGATTTAAAGGCCTCAAAAAATTATATCAAAGTTTAGTTACAGAGCGTGAATTCTGTCTTAGGCCAGTTTCAAATAACGAGAGCGGCTTCCGTAGATAGGTAAGCGACTGTGAATTGCCAATATACAATAGGGTTATTGTTTTGCCTTCCGTTCGTACATTATCACTGTTGTAATTCAAATAAGCTGCCACATTGAGTCTTGGTCCTTTCTACTGCAGCAACGTCTCATTAAGCATATTGTAGATAATTCGTGGCAATAATGATGGTAAAGAACTAAGGGCATAGAAGATTACTTGTTATACAGGTGCTAGATTGATTCCTGGTTGACGCCGTTCGGGCAAAAAGCGACAGGTGGAAGGTCATATATAAACTTTGAAGAGAAAGAGTCACGCAAAAGTTCTTAGCTATTCCGCTCCTCGCTAGGCCAATATGCCTTTCCTTCTGGGTATTCAAACCCGTGAAAGCGAGGAGTTCTATCCGCCCATGACTGCAATGCTTTCCAGTTGTCAGATTCGGCACTGGGAAGCAATTCCGAGAAGTCCTGGTTGCGCTGCTCCAAATTCATGCAAACATTAATGGCATCCTCAAAGTCCATACGATCAGATCCGTATCCAGCGCGCCAATATGCGTAGTGATCCTGCCTATCATCTATCAAACTATATTCCTCACCATCTTCCGAGGAAACTATGCACTCAGCCCAGAGATCAGTGATTGGCTCCTCATCATCCGCAACTTCTAAGCTCCAGCGGTCCACAGCGATAAAATAACGGGGGGGGGTGGTCAAAATCACAGTTCGGAGACTCAAACCATGCTAGAAGGCCTTTCATATCTGGTGACTCGAGTTTTTCAGCTACATGGAACCACTCGCTGAATTCATATTGATCGACCATTCTGTCCTCGGCGTAGCTCCTGAGTCTTTCGAATTCTTCGGGAGTCATGGCTTCTATGACAAAGACAGGAAATTCTCCTTTCACATATTGCTTTCCTTGTTTCTATATCGAAGTTAGACTATAGCCAGAATTCAGTATCACGCATACTCACCATAATAGCTGGAGTCTCATAGCCCAATGGCTGAAAATCTTCACCCTTGAAATCAATCTTCCCTTCCGCCGCAGCACTGAGCAGTATGTTTGCTCTATTGATGGGTGCGCGCAAAATGCGATGGTCATCTTGACTCTCACTGCGATACAACAGGATTGCTGTGTCATCCATCTTTGATCGTTCATCAATGATAATGAGCGGCTCCTTCCCGCCTCGCTCAAAGATGGCGCTGATAATAGACGAATCGGGTATGAAATCGAATGGCCAGGGAACATCTAGAAGACGACGAGGCTTCGCGTCAGGTCGATCAGGCCAATTCTCCAAGTTGTCGACAACGACAAGTCTCTTCATGAACAGATCCCGTTCGGTGTCTTCCAACGGAAACAAAAAAGCCACCATCCATGTTGGCGGCTGCTCCTCGTCTTGAGACCGCGAGAACTCTGGGAGTTGCCAGCATGGAAGTTGAGGCATATTCGGGCCGGTGATGACTTTTACGATGTTCGATGCGACTACTTGGCCTACTTATAAACCCTGGATCTTATAAACCCTGAAAGAGCTTTTTCCCTTTTTTGCGAAATGATCCACTATCGAGGGAATGGGGGCCGGACCTAACACCTGGAACGATCAATCAACACGAACCGCGTTGTGGGGCGTCGGCCACGGCAAATCGGGCCAAGGCTTGTTTTTCGACGATGCTGCCTATCGGTGCCTGGCGTAGGTTAGTTCCTGGCTAAGACTAGCTGATATTGAAGCGACAGCCAATGATATGCCAGATTGCGGCTGGCAACTGATTCCAAGTGGATTTTTATACTATATTTTCCCCTACTCATTTACCACTGGCAGCCATGGACAAATCGGTAGCTTTTCATACTGTCGGTGGCTCGTCTTTGGAAGGAAGTATGAAATATGAAATATGAAATCCGAAAGCTTCAAGACAATTATAGAAGATGGCGCTGGTATGTACATATGCGAGTATCAAAGCAAAAATGACACAAGCCTCCCCAAACACCACTTTATCTAGAGGGTAGGGTCGAAAATGATCAACTGTGGACGAAAAAAAAAACCCGCCATCCAGGCGTTCAAAATCAAGACTCGAGAGGCAAAAACACAATCGTTAGCGTGCCTAAAGCTTCGATTTCAGAGTTTCTTCTGCGGCGCTGGCCTCCTTGTTAACCTCAACGGTGCGAGAGTCAGGGCCTTGGCCAAAGAAAATGACCTCGACGGTCACGTCGTCACTGCAAATTCATGTTAGTCGTGAAATGCTAAGAACGAAACAAGTTGGTCAACGTACCGGTAACGACGAGAGTAGGGGCTGGGTAAGGTCAAAAGTGCAGAAACCATGTCCTTGTCCTTGCCTCCCATGGCATTGCGGACAAGGTGGGTGGCTACGTTCTTGTCCTCGACAACAAAGCGGCTCTCCGCGCCGGAAATGTCATATTGCTGCTGGCGGATAGGACGGCGCTGGCCCTCGCCAGAGGCATCGTTGGTTGCCTCCACGGGAAGCTTCTTCTGGTCAAATCCGAACCAGCTTTGCAGCCAAGCCTTGCTGCCACCGTTGCCGGACTGCTGTTGTTCCAACCATGAACCGACCAAGCCAACAACCTCCTCGTTGCTCAGCATCTCCCAAAGACCGTCCGTAGCCATGACGATGAAGTCGCCTTGCGAAGGATCGATCTTGGTGGTAGTGATAATAGGCTCAGCGGTAACATAGGGGGGGAGTTTTCAGGTGGGGGGGAGGGAGTGCGGCCGAAAAATTGCTGCTTGATCTTATCTTGAATATCCTTGGTCCACTTATAGGTAGCATCGCCAAATGAGCGGCTAGGTTCTAGTTGACCTAGGATACGACCATTACGAGTGACATATGGTTCTCCAGGGTGCTCTTCACGCAGACGCTTGATCTCGGAGGGTGTGCCACCAGTCTGGTCCTCGGACAGAGCCGTGGCAGTCCACTTCCCACTGGAACCACGACGGCCGAGGACCACGCGCGAATCACCTGCAACTGCAACCTTCAAGTTCTTAGAATGGGAGTCGTAGAAGCTAAGAAGAGCGCATGATCCCGAGAGGGCGGGCGCGAGAAGTTCAGCAGCCACACGACGAGACTTAGCCTTTAGGACTTTGTCCACGCTCGCGTTGACAATATCGTCATCGAGACGAACAAAACCCAGCTTGATAGCAGCATCCACGGCCTCGGATGTAGGGACTAATACCGATGGATCGGCGGCGGCGGCCTTGTAGGTAGCATTGAGTTCGCGTGCGACGTATGAGATAAGGACATTTCGTAGTTTGGCAGATGTTGTCCAGCCCCTGTTTCCCGATTAGTATTCAAATGTCAATAGAGCCACCTAAAACACTAACGAATGACCGTCAAAGACTGCCCAGAAATTCCAATCGCTGTTGGGGTCTCCATTTGTATTTCCTGCCACGTCTGATGGCACCTCGACAATCATCTCCGCGTGGTCATCCTCGATTGGGGAGTTGCTAGGAACCTGGACGATATCATATCGGACGACTCCCTTCCCTCTGTTGACTAGGTATGATTCTTCGTTCTTTCGCAATTTCTCGGTAGCCTGTTCTGGGGTCAACATGTTTAGGACACGTCGATCCGAGTCGTCGGTCGTCTTCGCTAGAGGCTGGTCTCCCGAAAGCGTCGCCGTATAAAACTGATCGTTGCTCACCAATAAAGCTCGGCGCGTGCTGTCCGATGGGTCTTCGGCGTGGGCGGAATTGATTGCACTTGAGGCGAATCCACGAATATGGGTTGCGAGCGATTGGACTTTGGCGTCCCCGTTGTAGGCGTACCACGCTCCGGAGGCGACAGCGGTCGAGATAACGGCGACTGAGAAGTTTCGGAGATGCATCGAGGTTTGGAGTGCCGCCGGAAGAAAGGAAGGACGTCGGCCACCGGAATAGTGTCTCAAGCTTTGCACTGAGCTGTTGCAGATGGATAGTGCACTCGGCCGTTTACCGGCGACTTTCCATGCCGGGGCACGTCGAACCGCACGGGACGCGTGAGCAGCCACCCGACTCATTGGATCAAGTTATCGCTTGACTGTGAAATATACCAGCGATGCTGGAATATGTTTGAAATGCCTTTTGCCAGGTAAGCCCCAAACTTCCAGAGATACGGGGAAGTGTACAAAGCAGGCGTGCCTGGTTGATTTGATGATAAAGGGTCACGTGCGGGGGGGATATCGGTGGTCGGGGCTAACCCGATTGGATTCGGAGTGTGTCGTCATTCCCCGCGGCGGTTTCTTTCTTTTTTTTGTTATTTTGTGCAGTCGCTGCGGTGCTTTTCACTTTCTTTCATAGTGCCAGGACGGCCTCTAACAGATGTCCTCCCGTGCGATTCGCAAGTTGCAGAAGCAACGTGAGCTGGAACAGCTGCAGGAATCCGAGCAGCAGGATGAGTCAAGCGACGATGAGCCTCGACGCCCCGCGAAACCAAAATTCAACGCCTTCGATCTTTTGAATGCTGGCGACGATGACGATGACGATGACGATGACAATGACAACGAAGATGAACATGGTGATAACGAGCCTGAGGAGTCGGAGGAGGTACAAGACGGAGAAGAAGATGTGAAGGAGGTGCCAAAACCAGATGTTGAACCCGAGTCCGCACCCGCGAAACCCAAGAGTGCCAGCAAGAAAAAGAAAAAGAAGGGCAAGAAGGGCAAGTCGCCACCCGAGCCTAAGCAACAAAGCAAGAAAGGCACGGACTTGGACGAGATTGATCGTGCGCTGAAGGATCTATCTACTGGCGAAGATCCATCGAACACAGATCTGTCGGTCTCTGCGAAGGAAGGGCGGAACGAATTGTTCCCAAAGACCACAGATGAACTTCTCGGCGTTGAGCCAAAATTCTTAAACGCTACGAATGAGATGCGACGACTCTTCGGCAATGTGGTACTAGAGAATTTTGACCAGCCAGCCGAAACTGGCCGTCGCCGGGATCGCAACCGGGAAACGATCGATCTTGGCCAGGCACTGTCAGGACGATACTCTCCGGCCAGTCGAGGACAGAGTTTGGCTGGAGTCACACTGCGACGGAATGTTCTTATGCAAGGGAAGGATGAGTGGCCACGAGCTCCGAGTGGAGGCTCAGGTATGGTCAATGCCGAGAAGCTTCCTTCGGGAGATTTCCTTTATCGCATCGTGCACAACTCGGGCTACGAAGATGTGCAAAGGCAGTTTGACCTCTGTGTCGAGTCGATGGACCCCCAGCGACTGATTTCCCATCTTCAATACAACCCCTATCATATATCCACTCTTCTCCAGGTTTCGGAAGTTGCCAAGCACCAGGGTGACCATGCTGTTTCTGCTGATCTCTTGGAGAGAGCGCTTTTTAATATTGGTCGCTCAGCTCACTCTTCTTTTGGGACTCGACTCAAGGACGGCCAAGCCAGGCTTGACTTCTGGGAAACGGAGAATCGTGAGCTGTGGCTGGTTGGTTGGAGATATATCGCCAACCTGGGCATGAAGGGTACTTGGAGGACTGCTTATGAATGGTCAAAACTGTTGCTGAGTCTCAACGACTCTGACCCGTATTGCATGCGGCTACTGATTGATCACCTTGCCTTGCGAGGAAGAGAGTATGCGCAGTTTGTGGATCTGTGCACTCAGACTCGATTCAGTCGTGACTGGGCCGACCTCCCTAATATCCAGTGCTCATTGGTTATGGCTTATTTACGTCTGAAGAAACCCCAAGAATGTCGCCGACAGCTTTCCCACGCTATGTCTCGCTACCCGTGGGTCTTTAGCAGGTTGGCACAGGAGTTGGACATTCGACATGTCCCCAAGCAGATCTGGGGTAAGATGCCTCCAAGCGCATCACACGAACTCTTTACCGAACTCTACATTACGCGAGCCAAGGATCTTTGGAACACCCCCGAGGCTATTTCACTTATCATAGAAGTAGCCGACACCATCTCCGGGGAGCCAGAACCTATCGAGCCCCCAGAAATCACTCTGGATATTGCCCGTCATGTGGTCTTGTCGGACATTCCTAGTGTAACAACCCACCTGCCCAACCGCTTTGTCTCTGGACGACTCTCTTCTTCGGACCCTCTACCTCCTTACGAATCAGAGGCATATCGCCAGCAAGCTGATCCCACACCGTCATACCTCGCGCGGATGCCGGAGGGTAACAGGCCCCAGTGGCTACGCGATCTCTTGAACCAAATGAATGATGGTGGTATTCATTTCCCTCGTTTCCAAGGCGGGGAAGAAGCTGGCGAGGGTGACGGTGATGAAGAAGGTGCTGGTGCTCGCCCGGATGCTCGCATTCGTCCCCTACAAGGCGACCAACAGGTGCTGGAGCAGTGGCTGCTACAGGACGGGTTGGAGTCTGTACAGATGTTCCTGCATCAATATGGTGTTGATCGAGGAAACTGGGGCGATGTATTGGACTATGCTCCGCTCACGGATTACCTGGAGGCCCTCCAAGAAATCCAACCCGAGTCCTCTCGTGAAAGGCTGCTACATGGGCCAATCCAGGAGATTATTGGTGAATTTGCGGTCAGCATGCTCGAGGATGAGCTGTCAATTATGGATGATGAGGCTCATTCTGAAAGCAGCGATATTTAGTAGCTTTTTAGAATCTCCAAAATCGACAAACACTATATTGAAACATCCACGGACTCTCCATGGCCATTCGTACTAGGTTGCCAGACCTCGAAGCTAATATTTTGACCATTCCAAGCTGCCGGATATAGTTAATCCCAACCAGTGTCTAAATAGTACTAGTAACTCATTTCTTTTCAACTGCAAGATGAGAACAATTGTCGGTAAAACACATTTACTTCGTGCAGCACTATCTCCTTCAAGTTTCTACCCTTTATCGGCAACGTTCGAGTTTGGATTCATTGAAAGCTTTGTGAAAATACTAGTATATTTTGCTATATTAGTGAACATAGTACAGAACTCAATCTCTTTTATCCATTCCCATTATTGAATCCACATTAGCCGGCAAGTCTTTCCTCCGGACAATATCTGTCAACAAGTTCAACTCTCCCACAATATGTTTCGTACCAGCTAATAGCTGAGATAGATCGTCTTCCAGAGCCATCATGGTAATCTCCATCGAAGCAATGGCTGAAAACGCCGGCTGGCCGAAATTTTCTACGTTAAAAATGCTCGCACCGGGAGCAGCAGCAGCAAGCAGCTCGGTAGGCCGACGAATTTTGGGCGCCCTGAGATAAAGAGGCAATGGACTCCCGGCTTTGATGGCACCTGAAAGTGTCGTGAGAAGAGATGTTACTTCGTGGGACTTTGAGTCCAATGAAGTTATGAGCTGTCTGATGTCTTCTACCCACGGTGCTGAGGACATTTGTCCAGTGAGATGGAATGAGTCCGCGATTTCGATTAATGTTGCTGAGAATTGGAGTATGCTAAAGATACAAATTTATCAGTGCTCGGAACGATTGGAACGGGTAAAGAACGAACTTACTTTCGCGCATGCTCGGCCAATTTATCGTAGGCATCCCTAGGGAATTTGCCCCCAGTAGTAGCTTCCCAGCGAAAGAACCATCTATGCTCTTCCATCGCCTGTAGGAGAATGATTTCCTTGGCAAGGACACGAGTGCGAGCTTTCTCAAGAACTCTCCCGAGACTCTTCTTGTCGTTATGATCCCCCGCCAAACCTCTGACTACTAACGAGTTCGTCATGTACACAGAGCTGTAATAATGTGCGAGAAGATACAGAAAAGACGCAAAATCCCGTCGGAAGCAGCTTTTGACTGTGGTTGCAGAGGGAAAATATGTGAAAAGAAAAGCAACCCCGATGCCACCGACAACTGTCGCGAGTCGATAAGGCGACAGTATGTATAAAGCGTGATATTCTTGCTCGTTGGATTCGGAGATGATGAGCCCCACTTTCTTCACCTGAAGTGCATAGCCGACAATTAACATAACTGTGACCATTTCGACGATAGGCGGCACTGCATGATTGGGAAACCTAATCAATGGGTAGTGAGACAAGAACATTGTGATCCCAACGAAGACGAGGACGCCTGCTGGTTGTTGATCGACTATGTACCAGTCAATATACGCCATCACCATTCCAATAAATGTCGCAAGGAGCCGCATTGATTGGCCGTACATAGCTGATCCAACGGTCGAAGTCATGCTAATCGCAATCATGATCGAACCCCAGATGAGACGTTGCTGGATGTAAAAGTGCTGCGAGTTTCTGAGAAACGCAACGACTGAAACAACCATGGTAGCCACGGCTACTCGGAAGCCAAACACGGACTCAGGCGACCCAAAGAAGTGATAGCCCTTCCGGAGGGTATCACCAATCTTCTCCCACGTGCTTTGGGGGGGAAGGTGTTCTGGATCTGTACCAGTCTGTATGACATCGTTCAGGCATACTCTGGCAGTTCCGGATCTTCTGCTGTACTGATAATAATCCAATTGTTGGTCCTCCCTAGACAATGCGGCCCAGAACCATTTTCTCATCAGCTTCCATGTTGGATGCACCAGTCTTTTTTTATTCATGGTACCATCGTCCACTTTTGAACCCGCGTATTTGATAAGGTCTAGAATTCTTCTCGCGGTCGAAATGAGTGAAGATTCCATCTACAATAAAAGTCAGGGCATGCATTTTCAACTTAGGGGCTAGGAGAAGCCCACATCAAGGAGAAAGTAGAGCTGAAATCGATACCGTTCACGTTGCTGAGAATTTACCACCGTGGGTGTTTCAGAAGATTGATCCATGCCCGTCCATGAAAGCCAGGTCTCTAATGGATCCCGCCTTCCTTGAAGGAAACTTTCAATCGTATCTTCCAATTTCGATCTCGCATGATTTCCATTGGCTTCAATATCCGATTCAGATACCGCTCGTGCTTTGCCGAGGCGAAGGGTGTGCACAGATTGGTCGAGACCTTCCTTCAAGGCTTGGATAAGTTGTTCAGTGGGGCGGCGCCTTTGTTCAAATACCCAGCTAAATTTCTCCTGTTTCCCCTTCGCGAGAAATGCTCTCCGTCTCGCTTACTAAATGAGGGATACGTCTGGTGGCTTCGACAAGTGACTCCATCCACAGCATTGAAGCCAATACCTTCCTCAATAGGCGAGTTATGTTCGCTAGATCTTTGGGCTCTAGGTAATCCCAACCAACCTCGCGTTTGGCGTACCGCAATTCCGATGTTATCCTTCCAAGGGTTCTGGTAGTTTCTATGGTTGCATTTTTCAGGTTGTTTGCTTCTGGCCATGAAGGTGTATTTTCCTGCTGGGAGATATCTGGATCACCATGGACAAAACGCCAGTCGCGCGAGGATAAAGCTTGCGCAAATTTGCGTTGGGCATCCAATGTTGTCTGGATCGCATCGAAATTCGCCATCATGTGCATGCTGACAATCTTTCGAGATGAGAGTGGAATAATTAACACATTGACTGCTGCTGCTAGCCCGAATCCGGAAAAAAATGTCCCCACCAAGTGTTTGACTGGAGAAGAATCTAGTAATTAGCAAGTATATAGGGCTAAGATAGCAGATGGAGAAATCTTACTTAATGATCCAGCTTCATCCAACGTTTCAAACTGAGTTCCATAGGTCGCCGTGACCTGGATAAAAATGGAGAATATGATCGAGGGGATGAAGTATTGCGGTCGAAAAGCACGGAATCTACTCCATTCTTCAATATTGGAAGCTTATAACAGGGAATTTGACCAACAAACATACGTATTTGCCAGCCACACTTCGAATGCCAACCAGATTGCCATGTTAACACTCGCGGCGGCGTTATACGGGCTCACATGAGCACCAGCAACTGGACCAGCACCCTTGGCACCCTGGGGTATATGGGTAGTATTTGCGCGAGCCCGGACGGCACACCACATCGACAGAAAAGATATTGCGACTGCGAAACCAACCGACAGCTAGCGTACAAAACAAAGGTTAACACATTTAGGTTATAGGCGAATTACAGGTTCATACCGTGGATACTATAAGATTTTGGAAGAATCGGGCTCGTGGAGCGACTGGTATTGTGAGAATCGACATTATGGGGATTAGATAGCCAATGGTAGAAAATTGTCGGGCCACAGACTCGCTCTGATATCTGTAGAGCGTCAGTACAAATTAGTAGCGTCGCTGGAAAGAGTGATGTACATTGAGAGTCCAATTGTGGGTGCAATCGCGCCTCTGTAGTCAATCCCTGTCAGTTTAGAACTTGACTATATGGAATGAAGGGGGATCTCATTACTGGTGGGAAACCAAGCTCTGGGAAAAGCATACTTGAACATCAAGAGCAAGATGGGGATATTCAGTCCCAGCTTCGTTTGGATTTTCTTCCACATAGATGCTGATTTAGGAGACTCCATGATGCTTATCTCATGTTGAGTAGAGCCGCAACATTAAAATAATGAATTGTACCATTTGAAACATCATTACGGTGGGTTCTCCGTTCTTTAAGACGATGGTAATGGTGATATAAGGTTATCATGTGACGCCGGAAGTGCCGGATAATGCCTTATGCCTCGAGAAGTAGGCCTCAATTTACTTCGAAAAAGTAGGTAATATTACAATGATTCATGACACTCACAGCAGAAAAGCTAAAATTATGTATCTATTCTTCGACTAAAAATCGCTGTCACTTCCTCCCTTTCTCTCCATTTCATGATAACTGCTATTTATTATCCGAATATGTCAAGTCCATTTTCGCTCCCAGATTAGGTTTTTCATCGATACTATCCACAACATTGGGAGGTTCCAGACCTTTTTTTCGACCTTTACTTAGCTGCCATCCTACCTATTTTTGTAAAGGTATGCCAGTACGTGGTGGCGGCTTGCCTACCGGTTGCAAGATATACTAGTACTGGCGCGCTACCCACATCACTACATATTGTATTATAGTAGAATATCACAGAAAGGGCATTGATACTAGTACTATTTTGATCACAGTCTTTTTTAGTCTATTGGAAATAGCACGTGAGCCTAGGGATTTGCTGTTACACCGAGCCTGATCACCAGCAGCAGCCCAGACAGGAAAGCCCCACCCGACGGAAGAAGTTCTGTGTATTTAGGGGCATATATCTTCTGCAAGGTCGCTAGTTTTCATCGTAACATACCAAGATCCTTATCTATATTATCGAGAATGAACTTGAAGATTTTGACCTTTATTTTCGCCGCACTTACTAGTACTAGTGCAGCCACAGCCTTTCAGAGTCCCGTTGAGGACGTTGGAACCCTCGAGAGCCTGGCTCAGCTGTCGGGGTGTGGCTGTATTGTTGGGGTAAGTTATGCCCTTCTTTTCGGATGAGAAATATTATTTATTGACTCTCTTCAGACATGTCTTAAAACCGGCCAATTGTGCACTGGGCTCGACGCAAATCGTCACTCGCTAGCTGCTCCCTGCAATCGACAATTCCCGGTAAAAATATATCTCTCATAACATACTATATGGATGAACCTTTGGTACTAATATTTGACAGTGTTTGGAAGATGGTCACACATGCAAATTTTTCACTGATGTCAATTCTGCGGTTTGTGATCATTAGCTAAAGACTCGGAGCTGGTGCTAAATCGAATGAAAATACGAATTGAGGTATGCCAAATAGTTAGGAATGTAAACAGAAACTAACATGCTAGCTCGTGCTACGCCTATTTAACTCGTAGAACATTATTTGCTTCTCATGTCTGCCCTAAGACTTGTAGAATGCATCATAGTCAATGATCCTTGAGGGAGGTAGTTTTCGTTCTACTTCTCAAAAATCAGGACATAGAGATAAGCTGTGAATGCGCTTCCAATCCCGAAGTAGTTGTTATCGCTAGATTTCAACCAATAATAAGTAGTACAATATCTTACCATCTCACGCAGGCACGGGACGCCGCAGATTGTCCGTGCGCTGCATGACAGCTGACTCATCCACATGTTGTTTCATATTTTTCTGCTTTTTTGAGTTACTTGACGAAGACTTTTTTTTTCTTCGGTCTTTCTCAAAGGATTATTCGTGACATTGGTGGTGTCTCAATGAATATTCTCAAGTTGCGCCCACCAATACTATACTATACTTGACCTTATCGGTCATTGTTTGTATTTGCTCCCCCGAGGTTCCCCGGCCCACTGAGGAGTCACCTGAAAATCGATTGTGTCATAGCCCAGTCGCAATTTTTTTTCTCCTCAGCTCCGCCCCCATTTAAAGCACCACGCAAATTCCTCTCTGGTGCCGTACATCGCACATTATGGCTTTGTCGCAAATACTCAGCCGGATGGCTGCAGAAGACACGATCCCTCTCACACCCAGAGAGGCTGCCTCCGGACTGCTGGGCTCGGTCTCGATGACCTGCTGGATCTTCCTACTGGTATGACACAGTCCCACGCTCAGATCGCTCAATCCTCCCCCTCCTTCTCTTCGTTGAGCAGCGTCACAATGGAACGCATAGGACTCGCAAAAAACACAGCTATCCAAGAAAAATAGCTAATCGCGCCGTAAAACAGGTTCCGCAACTCATCGAGAACTACCGCAACGGCAATGCCGAAGCTATCTCCTTCCTCTTTATCCTCGTCTGGTTTGTCGGCGACATTGCCAACCTCTTCGGCGGGCTTCTAGCAGGTCTAGTCCCCGTCATCATCGCCATTGCCGTGTATTTCTGTATTGCGGACGGCGTCCTCATTGCCCAATGTTTGTACTACAAGGCGCGTAACTCGCGCGCCGAGTCCCACCAGCGTCGACGCTCATCGGTCGAGACCCCCGACCCTACCACCCCGCTCCTGGGTCGCCGGTTCAGTGATACTATCCCGCCGACACAGCGACGACGGTCGTCGGGTTCGTTACGCGGTTACCAAGCTGCCGCTAGTCGGCGCGAAAGCCAGACTGAAGACCCGCTCGCGAAGATTGTCGAGGAGAACGAGTATGGACGCAAGGCGTGGGTTAAGAACATCCTCGGTGTTCTGGGGATCTTTGTGGTCGGTATGGCGGGGTGGACCATGGCTTGGCAGACTGGCATGTGGGCGCCGGCGCCGCTGGAGAGTCATAATGACAATGGAGAAGCTGCTGGCGGGCAAGTGTTGGGCTATTTCAGCGCAATCTGCTACTTGGGGTGAGTGTTTTTCTGCCTTTTTTTACCCAGCTACATGGACCTGGACTAACAAATGTGACAGCGCGAGATTGCCTCAGATCTATAAGAATTATAGTGACAAGTCCTGCGAAGGATTGTCTCTTCTGTTCTTCATTCTTTCCCTCTTGGGTAACCTTACCTACGGTGCGGGTATCTTGTGCCACTCCACCGAGCGGGAGTACGTTGTCACCAATCTTCCGTGGCTGATTGGATCTCTGGGCACGATGGCGGAAGATGTCATTATCTTCATCCAGTTCCGCATCTACGCTGTTCAGGATGATCGTCCTTCCGCGGTGGCATAATTAATTATTGTCTGAGTGTCGCTCTCGCTTGCAAGAACTTTGCTTTTCCTTTTGTATATACGACTGCTATGTTGCTTCGAAAATTTGTTGCGTTTCACTGACTTTTGCATGGGGTGGTTGGACTTGTATTGGCAGAAGGCGAGCATGGTGTTTGATTTTGGAATTCTCAATGTACAGAATAGAGGAATTCGCAATTAACAGTTTGAACTTATTTCAATATGTGGATACCCTAGGTATATGACTTGAGCACGGGGAGAGCAATGTACAACTTCTTGATAGCTCCACTCCGATTTAGGGAAACGCTTGTGGCTATTCGGCCGGCGGGTCTTTATGACGAAGTCTAGGAGTGGGTACTGGAATCATAGAGGTATCCATTTGCCAGCCTCATACTACATATACCATGTATACTCCAATGCTAGCAAGCCAGTGGTAGCCGTAACTTGGAAGATCATCTCATGCAGCGTCATGACGTTTCAAGGCGAATGACTATCGAACAACGTGACCCTATTTCTAAGAATTTCTACTAAGGATGTACCCCAAGAGTAGGTAGATCATTGCCGAAGTTCGTTGGTTCAATCGCATCGCGTACGTGGCGCGAGAACCATCTTACATCCACTACCGGGTTGTCGCGTACAAGGGCAATATCGAATCAGGAAAAGGTGTGCCAAACGTCATTCTTCAATTCCCCTAAAATCCTGGAGGCAACAATAGCTTCGGAGTCACAGCGGTATCCGATCCAGTCCACCTCTGGCACAAACTGATTCAGAGGTACACCGAGCACCCAGTCTCCATTGAATATCCTGTCCGTTTGAATCTTTTGCTATTTTCTTTTTTTGAGTACCCGTGATCTAGGTCTTCATTGAAGGGGTCGTGGAGTATCGAGTACAAGAGATGTTCATTGAGGTAGCCGACATGCGGCAGCGGGATAAGAGGTTGGAAAAAGAGCAAAAAGGAAAGGTCTTCATAGTCTTCAGATTGGCGTAAACGCTTAGTCGAACAGACCGAATCCCATGTCATCATCGGACTCCTCCTTCTCTGTAGTGGGGGTCAGTATTTGGCTTCGAGACGTAGAACTGAGATCGCAAAGACTTACCCTCAACCTTCTCCTCGGCAGCAGCCTCGGCGGGGGCAGCGGCACCACCAGCAGCGGCGGCGGGGCCAGCAGCGGGGCCACCGGAGCCGACGTTGGTCAGGAGCTCCTTGATGTCCTTGCCCTCAAGAGCCTATGGGTTGAAATTTGTAAGTCACTTTTGTCTCGAAATCATGTCGGGTTTCGTATGGAATCGGGATTCATGGGAATGCGGTTGGGGGGGTGCGATAGTTCGGTGCAGGCGAGATGGCAGGTGTCAGATATTTACCTTGGCGAAGATGGAGGACCAGATGGGCTCGATCTCAGGAACCTTGGCGGCACCAATGAGGGTCTGGAGCTTGTCGGCCTGTATGAAGATAATGAAATTAGCTGGCTGTCGATTTCATGATTTTCATAATTTCGTGTCGTCCAGGCTTGAAAAAGTGCGCTGCCATTTGTGTTGCCCCCTCGCGATCCAAAGTTCTCGACAGGCAAAATCACAAATGCGCGTCCTAATCCAATCCTCGGCGATGTCGAATTCCGGAGTGAGAACGTACGGTGACCTCAATGCCCTCATCGGCCAGGATGAGAGCGGCGTAGGAGCAGGCGAGCTCAGCGTTAGACATGTCGACGGGTTGGTGTTGACGTGGGTTGAAGACTGAAGATGAGAGGAGGAAGCACGAGAAGTGTATCGAAAGCCTATCCGCGGCCGTGTGTGGGACAAGCCCTCGCTTAGGGCTATGGACTAATCGGGTCTAGCGTATATTTCATCCCGTGACTCTTCCCCTAGTCCCAATGCGGTTGTTGATGACTAACGGGCGGAGGAGTCAGCCCGTATCGGCTGCGCGATAACCATCAATCCAATCGATTTGGATCCTGGGAAACTGACATCACTTCAAGTTCCCATTTCATTTGGAACCATATCGTGTGGGGTTTGAGAGTGTGCGCCCGTCTTCTGTGCTCTGGTTACTATCTCCCTTTAACTCTCTACGATTCCTCCCCTTCCATCTCATTCTCCTCAACCTTCTCTGCGCACTCCGTCATGGATTCCCCCGCAGTCCCGGTCCCGCTGGATCCGCGGGAGCAGCCCATCCTCGAACGCCTCCTCCGAACTCGCGATGCTCTCCTCCTCCTGAAACAAGACAAGTCTTCCTACATCAAATCCCGCGATGTCCTTCCGCTTTATGAGGAAGTGACTCAAGAAGTGGAAAAGCTCAATGCTGCCCGCAAAGAGCAAGATCGCCGCTTGATACATAACCGACGTGAGTACCGGGTGAGCCGTGGGATGATCACGCTGGATTAATCGCTAACTTTTGATCGCTGGAAGTTGATTATGTTCTGGACGACTGCTTCCAGTTGATTTCATTGCTCTTTTTGACCGTTGGTAGGAATAATGAGGCACCAGCAGTGTAAGTAGATCGCCCAATCCGGCGCAACCGTTCATTTCAGCTGATCCTCTGCTCTAGCTACTCGCTGGCAACCACTATTCAGGTAAATCGAGCTTCCAAGGTATCCCGGCCTTGTTTTATCGCGCTAACAATACATATTAGCGTCTACTCGACCATCTTGAAGAGGCTGGATTCTATAGCTCCAAAGATTTGAACTCAATTACCAAGACCCTCGACTCCACGCGCGAGACTCTGGAACGCGGCCAGAACACATACTCCCCAGCACTATTGGAACTTCTTAAAAGCCGACTGGAACAATGTCAGATCTCTCTGAGTAGACTTCAGAAGGGACTTGCAGCTCTAGACCCCGCTCTTGTCCAGACACACGAGACTTTAGTCTCTATTCTTCGATCCACATCTGCGGTCAACACTCGCTCAAAGGTATGCGCCAGCCAAAACGAACCCATTCCAATGCCACAATGCTAATGCTAAATTCTTTGGCTCCAGTTCTCATCCACCGAAGTTAACAATCTGCGCGAGCAATTGAAGAAGATCGAAGCGAGTCAAAAAGACGGTAAATTCGTCGATGCTGATGGCAACCCGCTTGCCGGTCAAGATGGTGTGAAATCTTTGATTGAGCGATGCTGGCGGTGGACCGAGATTGTTCTTGAACGAAAAGGCAAGATTCAAGAGGGATTCCAGGAGCAATACGACCGTCTACTTGAGATTCGTAACCAGCTAGACAGGCTCTCCGTCACACAGGCCTGGTCTTTGCGCGAGACGGATCTCTTCGGATACCAGCGCAAGCTCGATCGCATTGACGAGGCGCGTGTTAATGGCAACTTCGTCGATGGCGAGGGCCAAGTTGCCGATCTCCATGCTCAAAGGGTATGTTCGTCCAGATTTGAGATACCTGAATTTTTGCTAATCTTCGCTTCTCCATGTCAGACACTGCTTTATTTGATTCGACGCAGCTATGCATACATCTACGCACTGTTGATTTCATCCGAGCCCGTATCGGAGGCCTTGTTGCCAGTCTATAACCAGTTGCAGACGCTTCGACGGTGCTTGATCGAGGTTAAGGAGTCTGGAGGTGTGGCAAATTCGAGAGAGTTGTACCCCTACAGCATGAAGGTATGGCAGATTTCACCAGTTTCATAGTATCGCCCCAGTCGCTGACCTACATCCCATAGCTCAATTCTATCGATAATATGCGAGTTGACGGAAAGTTCTATGTTGGCCCCGATATTCCTGAAGGCCAAGGAAGCGTGAACGCCTTGCTAGCCGAATGCTACGATCTGGTCTGGGAGCTACGAGCAGCAGTGGCAGAAGAGGATGCACAAGCTTAGGCGGACTTTTTTAAGTAGAAACATTTTCTTTTTTCTTATTGATATTTTACTCTTTGGAGATTATGGATGGGCTTGCCACTGATGAAATACGTTTGGCTCGCTCTATGAGTTGTATGATTTGGGATCTACCTAATTATGTTTTGAGTTTATTTTTTGGCTTTTGCCATGAGAGGCGTTTGATTTGGATGGAAAGGACCCTTTTGTGAGGGTATTTGACATCGAATGCTATAATCATTCAGCTACTTCGCCATTGAGCCTACAGAATCGCTGCTAAATATTCCATCGCATGTTTAGATTGGGTAGCTTTCCACGGTGTGGACAATGCCATTCCCTTTAAATGTACTAGTTGGTAAGGCTCAGAATGAAAGCCGCCTGTCCCTTAGTAGTCTGTTTAATGGCGAGTCCGTACGAATTTGAGAAGCGAGCTAAACTGTATCATATGTGATTGCGGTGGGTGTGTACTAAAGTTGATGTCGTGGGCAATAAGTGCCGGTTTCAGGTAAAAATAAGGCTAAAGATTGTACCGGTTGTGAGGAGCATAACAAGGCATGAGCTGGACTTTAAGTGATTGTGATCGGCGATAGGACCGGATGTCCGACGGCTCATCTCCTGAAAAGAAGCTAAAAGATAGAGGCTTGATTGTTTGCATTGGCCAATTATTGGGGAACTTAGTCATGATGGGATCCTACCTTCCGAATTCATCCTAGTGGCCTGCAGGGGAGCTATATAGCCTTGAGGCACCAGTTCAACAAAGCGGGGTTATCTTTCCCTTTGAATACCCCGATTCATGTTCAAAATGGGGATTTACTGCAAGATCGCGGCACTCGCTGCGCTGGTGCACTACTCAACGGCGCAATTCGTGCCTGCACCGACCGACTTGATCACAAAGAAGGGTCATGCCGGTGTTGATGTGCGATATAAGGAGGTTCCCGCTGGGATCTGCGAGCAGGACCCTAATGTGAAGAGCTATTCTGGTTATGCCGATGTTGGTGAGAATGAGCATATCTTCTGGTGGTTTTTTGAGGCCAGAAATGGAGATCCGACAGAGGTACATTCAACTCCTTTTAGGCCTTTAGTTTCCATATGCTAACATGTCCTAGGCACCACTTACTGTCTGGATCAACGGAGGACCGGGATCATCTTCAATGATCGGGTTGTTTCAGGAGCTGGGGCCTTGTGGGGTTGACATCAATGGCACAGCTTACAACAACCCCTATTCATGGAGCAATGTGACGAACATGGTGGGTTTTGCGATAGGAGACTCTTCGTTTGATTAAAATTAACCATTTTCAGCTCTTCGTTGATCAACCCGCAACGGTTGGATTATCATATACCATCCCCATTCCTGGATATCAGGATGGGGACAGTAATATCATCCAGCTGCCCGACAAAGAATGTCCCGACTATGCTGAGAAGTACGGAACATGCGGAACTTACTCGAAGCCAGACATAGGCTTAGTCCCCAACTCAACACAAGGAGCCGCCCCGAATATGTGGAAGACATTGCAAGGATTCATGGGAGCATTCCCCCAATACTCCAGGAACGGATTCAGCTTTACTACTGAGAGCTATGGTGGTCATTACGGCCCAGTATTCAACGGTATTTGCGATTGAACCAAACAGTCGATATTGACACTAACAACCCACAGACTACTTTGTGAAGCAAAATAAGAAGAAAATCCCCGGTGCGATCCATATTGATCTTGAGAACGTTCTCATCGGAAACGGCTGGTTCGACCCCCTGATTCAATATCAGGCGTACTACAATTTCTCCGTCTACCCCGGGAATACCTATGACTTTGACCCATACAATGCCTCCGTCAAGGCAGAATGGTATAACAACCTTTATGGAGAAGGAAATTGCGTTGACCGGACCCGCGAATGCTACGCTACTGGTCGAAATGACATCTGCTCTACTGCCGACAGTTTCTGCGCCTCTAAGGTCGAGAACATGTTTGATATCTACTCAGGACGTGATGAGTACGACATGCGCGAGCTTACTCCTGACCCTTTTCCCTACTCGTTTTATGTGGATTATCTCAATACTCCGAAGGTGCAAGCCGCCATCGGAGCGTACCAGAATTTCTCGGAATCGTCTCAAACTGTTGGCAATAGCTTTGCAAGCACAGGCGATGACGACCGTGAGTCTGGAACAATCCAGCATGTGCGAAACTTGCTCGAAGCTGGGGTGCAGGTCGTCATGTACTTTGGAGATGCGTAAGTTTTACATACAGCGAAATATTTGACTCGATCGAGCTAATTCAAGCTTTCAGGGATTTCAACTGCAACTGGTTGGGCGGTCAAGTTGTCGCCCACGAAATTAATGCTCCGGGATATGAAAAGGCAGGATTTGTCAACATCACCAGCTCTGATGGCGTTGTCCATGGGCAGGTCCGACAGAGCGGGCTGTATAGTTTTGTCCGAATTTACGAGTCTGGCCACGAGGTGCCTTTCTACCAACCACTGGCTTCCTTGGAGATGTTTGAAAGAGCGATTTTGAGGAAGGACCTCGCCACCGGTGAAAAACATATCACTGGAAGTTACAAAACCAAGGGAACACCAACCAGTGACTTCCGGGAGGGCAACAGCACCGTCGTTCTCAAGGTTCTTCCTAGCGATGCCACTTACAACACAACTCTCAACGGACCTGATCTTTCTCCCTCGGACTCGGCCAAGTTTTACTGGCAAGGAAAGCGAGGACAATCTAAGAGGACTTCGGGCAAGTATAATAAGCCTAGAAGGTCTGTGCTTGGAATGCATTAGTGTGCGACCTGTATAGTGTTAGAGTTAACATATGACTCCTTATCCCGGCTACAACTCGTGCTTAGATTTGTAGAAATACAAACAATTTCGGTCGAATTATGACTGCCTACGCAAGTGCATTTTCAAGGAAGCATTCAAAAATCATTGGTTTTTACTAGTCTTTTGATATCATGATATTCCTTCCAACATCTGTCTAGCCTAGGAATAGTTTTGCAGTATATTAAACTTCCGAATCGAAGAACTTCATGCGATCTCTTCAAATGCCCGAACGATAAAAGACCGCCCATCAACAATCACCTTTTCACCAGGAACCCTCCAAGAACCCTTGCCCTCTCCCTCGAATCCAGACTTCATCGAGGGTACAGCATCGGCAGCAGGCCCCACCAGATACTTCTCTTCCCATCCCGCTCCAGTCCACTCTTCCCTTCTAGCAGTGACATCGGACCCGGTTCTCTTGAGAGACAAGCCTCCATCTGAGCTCTTTTGCTGAGAATGGGTCTGAATCTGGTGAAATCCGAGGTATGTTCCCCAAATGCGGCCGAAGAACAATTTGTTCACAGTCACCTCCCCTTCCTGCTCACTGTTGGTAAGATGCTCATCATCCGATTCAAGGATCCAGGAGATGCCCGTCTTCGCCCCATCGGGACCTTCCTTGAATGGCAGGTTTCGCCAAACCTCCTCAAAGGCCGTCATGGGTGCCCCGGGAAGGTCAGGATGAGGCATCTCGCCTTGCTCGAGATCGTCGCCATTGGGAAGAGGGCTAAATCTGGCAACGTCGACCATTCCAATCTCATTCAGAGAGTCCAGTTCGCGTGTGAATGAGATTTTGACTAAAGCACGCGGTCAGTATCAGTCCCGCCAACTCAGATTTCAAAAAATAAACCAAATCTCGCTCCAGCGAATAATTACGTACGGGGTGTTTCATTCGGGTTCTCGGCAATATTTGTACCAGCCATAGCCCAGTCAATTCCTCCAGTCTTCTTATCCATCCGCAGGTCAAGATAATACTCCCCCACAGAAAGGACAATTGTGTCGGTCGTCTCCTCCGCAGGTTCCGGGACCCATCGGAGCGAAATGCGGGTTGTGAAGGCACAAGTTGAGCCTAGTTCAGCAGCGGTAGCCATGATTCAATTGATGTGGATAGGACCTTGGACCTTGGGGAAGAAAAGAATTACTTTAATTTCAAGAGGCGGGGGAGGCTAATATTTAATCACCTAGCCCTAGGTAAGATTCACAATGCGAATGTGGAGTAAACCGTGCCATGTGGGCGCTGGGGTTAAATCGGCGATGGCGACGAATCGGGAAGCTGCAAGAGATCGGGCCGGGCCCGACTTTGTTATCACGATCGCATCATACGAGTATGGGAAAGTTCCACACATCGAGTTTGTTTATGGAAGTGTTGAACCTTGTGCTGCCAATAAAGTAGTTTGGAAAGGTATGAGCAAATTACATGGTGATAGGCTTTCCTATGGTACTATATGTTTTGAAACGAGGCGTCTCAAACTCGCATGTCGGGGTGTATCATTGGATGTATTGCTGGATGGAATTACGTACTTTGGGAAATTTAGAACTATATCCCTTTGATTGACAAATTGTTGATATCACTAGCAGCTCTGTGTTGAAAAGGTTCTTTCTGTCTATTCGAGCATATTGTCAGCTGGGGGGGGGGGGATTTGCTTCCAATTCCTCGGCTTTTGAGTCTTCGTATCTCAAAATTGTATAGTAGCAGCCTCGGCAAGTATGTCGTAGGGGATAAGCTGCTTCTTCAAGTAGGAAATAATGTCTGGCTATATTGTAGAATACTTTGAACCTCGATCCACGCAATAAGGATCCCCTGGCCTACGAAAAGGATCACATCAAAAGACCACAGTGTTAACCGGTTTATCTTTTTCATCTTCTTTCTGACTGCATAAAGAAATGAAGCATTTGGTGTATTCAAACGCACGCTAAAATCCAGGTTACAATTTCGCCCCTTTGAATAGACCGGTAAACGGGCTATCTGGGGTCAAGACACGTTCCCTTGACGACTTTTGTACTTACACTACAACATCACCTTACTGCTCTCTTCTCACCACCAACAATCCAAACAACCATGTCCAGCAATCAGGACTCTAGCAACCAGGCATCTGTCGATCGCCAATACTCGAAAACTCCTAACAGTACGTCAACCACGAATATGCCCCGCGATGACAATGAGTTTAGTCTTACTGATCTTTCTGATGAAGAACTAAAGAAGCCACACCCTCGCAAGTCTCTGGCTGATAGCATCACGAAGATTGCCCTGAACAAGGACGATGCGAACATTCTCAGCAGTCAAGCCTCTAGCAACCGGGCTATTCATCATTTCGATCTCCAATCCTCGAAGATCCGTAACAGTACGCCAACCGCAGATATGTCCTGCAATGAGACTAAGTTTATTCATACAGATCTATCCGATAAAGAAGCAAAGAAGCCACACCACCACAAGTCTCTGAATGATAGCATCACAAATAATGACCAGAAAAAGTACGATATGGACATAACCAGCAATCAAGCCTCTAACACTCGGGCTTTGGCCAATTCTCGCGATGCCCAATACTGGAAGGTCTATAACGGTACGCAAACCTCGGATATGCCTTGCGGTTCTCACTGATCTCGCTAAATCTCTCTGGTAAAGAAGTCAAGGCGTCATTCGATCGCAGGTCTCTGGCTGATAGCATCACGAATGATAACTCGAACAAGGACAATGTAGACATGCCCAAAATACTCAAAAAAGAAAGCGGCCAGAATCCTCAAGTTTCGATACCCGATAAATCCAAGTCTACTCCTCATCCACCTCACGCGGGCGGTCCAAATGTTACACCTTCGACCACTTCAAATCCCGCCAGTGATATCGAATGGATCTCGTCACGTAAGAGGAAGAGGATGTCGGATCCCAAACTCGATGAAGAACATTCCATCTACAAACTCTGGTTGGAGGCTGAAGATCCCGGGTCCCTTCTCAGGCACAATCAGCTCACAGAAGTGCTTCTTGGTAAATACATAGAGATGTCAAGATTGGCTAATGAGATCCGTTCTAGGCTGGCTCAAAATCCACGTTTAGCTGACAGCGATATGCTCAAAGGAGCTGTCGATTGGCTTAAAGAGTTCGATTGCTTTTCAGAGATTTGCTGCAGGGCATGCGAGAAACGACGCCATTGAATTTGCAATGACAAACATGTTGGGACTTATTTTCTGAGTTCTTCTCGATGAACTACTGCCTTCCTCCGCAAGTCGACAATGGCATTACGCAGGGCGTTGCTGCAAGTCCCTTTCCCTTTCTTTTGCTTCATTAGTTTCAGATCTCAAGAAGATAAAATTGATTTTTTTTTCATTCGGACATGCCATTTGAATCAAAGTAATAGCCCTATAGTGTGGGAACGTAAGTTTTGAAGACCTTCGTTCTCATAGGTATAGCTTCACCGCATTAGGGCTGTCTTCGGTGGCCAGCTACTTTGGTGCCACCATATAACTAGTACTAGTAGGTACGCCTGTGCCTAACTATACGGATAATTTTTCGAATACTTGAGATTTGTCTCCCAATAATTAAATAGCCACAAAACAATGTTTCGCCACTGAAACTATACTATTCGGTGCACCCTTTTTGGAAAACCCGGTATCGGCGCGATGACAGACCAATCAGAGGCCACGCAAATAACGAGACCGCCGACCGCAAAAAAAACAGCCGTCGGGACTTCCCTGACTCCATTCCCCAGTTTCCACCCTCCACACTCGAGAGAATGGTGAGCCAGTTATTATGGCACAGGGCCGCGGCCTCTCGCGGGGTTAGTTGACCTCTTCTCGTCTGGAATTGACCTCCAATTGACCCTACTGACTCACATTTCCAGCTCGCCGCACGCCTGTCCCCGCAACATCTCGCCCGAGGCTTGGCCACCGAGGCCGCCTCTTCGCGCATGCCACCCTACCCTAAGATTGTTCGCAACCTTGAGCAAGTCCGCAAGGTCCTGGGCTCCGAACGCTCCCTCACCCTCGCCGAGAAGATCCTCTACTCCCACTTGGCCAACCCTGAGGAGTCCCTGCTCACTGGCACCAACAATGGCCGTGATATCCGTGGCCAGGCTAACCTGAAGCTGAAGCCCGATCGTGTGGCCATGCAGGATGCCTCTGCTCAGATGGCTCTTCTTCAGTTTATGTCCTGTGGTCTTCCCTCCACTGCCGTTCCCGCCAGTATTCACTGTGACCACATGATTGTTGGAGAACGTGGTGCCGATACCGATCTGCCGGCTTCGATCAAGGGCAATGCTGAGGTTTTCGACTTCCTGGAGAGTGCGGCCAAGCGTTATGGAATCGAGTTCTGGCCCCCGGGTGCTGGTATTATTCATCAGAGTGTTCTGGAGAACTATGCCGCCCCCGGTCTGATGATGCTCGGAACCGACAGCCACACCCCCAATGGTGGTGGTCTGGGTGCTATCGCTATCGGTGTCGGTGGTGCCGATGCCGTCGATGCGCTGGTCGATGCCCCTTGGGAGCTGAAGGCCCCCAAGATCCTAGGTGTGCGTCTGGAGGGCCAGCTTAGCGGCTGGGCTTCGCCTAAGGATATCATCTTGTCCCTGGCTGGCAAGCTGACTGTCCGTGGTGGTACTGGCTTCATCATTGAGTACTTCGGTCCCGGTGTTGAAACTCTCAGCTGCACTGGTATGGCCACCTGCTGTAACATGGGTGCTGAGGTTGGCGCTACTACCTCGCTCTTCCCCTTCTCGCCTAACCACGTCCCCTACCTTGAGGCCACTCACCGTGGTCACGTTGCTAAGGCCGTGGCAGAGATCGCTGGCTCAGGTCCTAAGAACCTGCTGCGAGCTGACACTGAGGCCCAGTACGACCAGGTTATCACTATCAACCTGTCTGAGCTGGAACCTCACATTAACGGTCCTTTCACCCCCGATTTCTCCGTTCCTCTGTCTAAGTTCGCCGACACTGTGCGCGAGAAGCAGTGGCCCGAGACATTCGGTGCCGGTCTCATCGGTAGCTGCACCAATTCCTCCTACGAAGACATGACTCGTGCGGAGCACCTGGTTAAGCAGGCGGAGGCTGCTGGCCTCAAGCCCAAGGCCGACTTCTTCATCACCCCCGGTAGTGAGCAGATCCGCGCCACTCTTGAGCGCGATCAGACTCTGGCCACCTTCTCCGAGGCTGGCGGTGTCGTTCTTGCTAACGCCTGCGGTCCCTGTATTGGCCAGTGGACCCGTACCGACGAGACGCCCAAGGGTGAGGACAACGCCATTTTCACCTCTTACAACCGTAATTTCCCCGGTCGTAACGATGGCAACCGCCGTACTATGAACTTCCTGGCTTCTCCTGAGCTCGTCACCGCGCTCGCCTACTCTGGAAGCACTACTTTCAACCCTATGACCGATTCCCTGACCACCCCCAGCGGTGAGAACTTCAAGTTCCAGCCTCCTCAGGGCTCCCACCTCCCCAGTGCTGGTTTCGAGGCTGGTAACCCCAACTTCCAGCCTACCGCTGCCATTCCCGATGCCAGCGTTCCCGTCGCCGTTTCCCCTACCTCGGATCGTCTGGCTCTCCTCGAGCCCTTCGCTCCTTTCCCCAAGGGTGACCTGAGCGGCCTGCAGGTCCTGTACAAGGTCAAGGGACAGTGCACCACTGACACTATCTCTGCCGCCGGTCCTTGGCTCAAGTACAAAGGTCACCTGCCCAACATCTCCGCCAACACTCTGATCGGTGCCGTCAATGCTGCGACCGGCGAGACCAACGTCGCTTATGATGAGAACGGAGCTCAGTTCGGTATCCCCGAGCTTGCTGAGCAATGGAAGGCCAAGGGTCTCGAGTGGCTCGTTGTCGCCGAGGACAACTACGGTGAGGGCTCTGCCCGTGAGCACGCTGCCCTGCAGCCTCGCTACCTGGGTGGCCGCGTCATTGTGACCAAGAGCTTTGCTCGTATCCACGAGACCAACCTCAAGAAGCAGGGTGTTGTCCCCCTGACCTTTGCCAACCGCGAGGACTACGACCGCATTGAGGCCTGTGACAGCGTCGACACTGTCGGTCTCTACGACACCCTTCAGGCCGGTGGCCAGGGTGAGGTCCAGCTCCGCGTGACCAAGCGCAAGACTGGCGAGACCTTCATGGTTCCCGTCAACCACACCCTGAGCAAGGACCAGTCCAGCTTCATTCTTGCTGGTAGTGCGCTCAACCTGCTGGCTGCCAAGGCCAATGCCACCAAATAAATGGTGTGAGAAAGCGTATATATTTGTGACAATATGTATCTAACAACCCAAAGTTCGGTTTTCAATCACTTGGAGAAGGGAAGAGAAAAAAGTCGATTTTCTGCGGGGAGTTGTGAGTCCAGGTTTTGTTGGAGTACCGCTGCTAATTATACTAGCATGCCGTTGCGGACAATTTGTATCTGGAGAGGTTAGATTTTTCCATATTTTTTTTCTCTCGTTTTTTTGCGATCTAGATGATATCCAATGTGATCTGTATTCTAATTTTAACAGTTTCAAGTTCTTGAGTAAAAAGTAAAATAATAAGCAACATTTACTAGCATTCTCGTTCTATTTAGATAACTTCATGACTGGCCCGGCCCAACCTTGAGCCAGTCGGCTTAACCCCGCGTAGTGGAGAATTCTCCAAATTGATAGGAGCCTTCTGGTTCTCCAATTGGGGTTGCCGATGTATAGAAGCGTGGGGCGCCCGCCCTTCAAATGACATCTCTGCTCAAGTGCCGGATATAAGAGAGGGGTGCGCTCTTCAAGACAGGATAACAACTTGACATTCTCTCACCCCACAAAACACCATGGGTTCCGCAAACGATATTCAAAAGCCCTGGATCGAAACTCCACTAATTGAGTCGGCGACTCTATCCAAGCTTGCGGGATGGTAAGAAGCTTCTCAAAATCCCAAAAAAATTCGTCCATCCCAGTACTAACCGGCAATCCTTGCTACTTCAGTCGAATCTTCCTCAAAATGGACCTCCTTCAACCATCCGGCTCCTTCAAATCCCGGTATGTCTCAACTTTAATTCAATTCCTCGCAATATCGCCCATCCCCACCCCGGTGTTATTACCCCTCCATTTTCGCCACCGGGGCTTCAGAGAAAATCGAACAAACTTGAAAACCAACCATTGCGATGTAATTTTTGCCGAGAAAAGAAAAGAATAAAACTAACTTCAGACCAGCGGCGTCGGTAACTTCATCCACGCAAATCTAAAATCGCACTCCCAAACCCACCCACCCCATTTCTATATCTCATCCGGCGGAAATGCAGGCCTCGCCGCAGTGCGCGCATCCCAAGACCTAAACTGCAAATGCACTGTCGTCGTACCGCACAGCACGAAGCCGTTCATGATTAACAAACTGCATCAAGCCGGCGCAACGGAGGTTATTCAGCATGGAGCTAGTTGGTTCGAAGCAGACACCCATCTGCGAGAACAATTCATCATTCCCGAGCATAATGTAGATGGGGCTAATGTTTACGTACCCCCATTTGACCACCCGCTTGTCTGGGAGGGGGCGAGTAGTATGATTGATGAGATTGCGAGACAATTGCCCGCTCGGGAGGGTGAGGGTGAGGGTGGTGGTGGTACGAATGCATTTGCCGCGGACGCGGTTATTTGCAGTGTTGGGGGTGGTGGTCTTTTTAATGGGTTGGTTGGTGGGTTGGAGAGGTGTTTGAAGGGTTCGGATTCGGGGGGCTAATAAGAATGTGCGCGTGTTGGCTGTTGAAACGCGTGGGGTGCTCATGCGCTTGCTCACTCGCTGCGTGAGGGGAAGTTATCTTCGCTCGATGCGATTACCTCGCAAGCTACTTCTCTCGGCGCGTTGCAGGTTTCGTCCAGGACATTTGAGCTGGCGAGTAACCCGCCTCCTGGCGTTGAGGTCACGAGTGTTGTTCGCTCGGATGCGGAAGCTGCGCGTGGCGTTGTGCTACTTGCTGATGAGACGCGTTTGCAGGTTGAGCTGGCTTGTGGTGTTAGTGTTGAGGTTGCTGTTGGTAAGGAGTTGAAGAAGGCAATTCCTGATCTCAACCCGGAAACTCGGGTCGTTGTTGTTGTTTGTGGAGGTAGCAATGTCTCTGCGGAGATTGTTGCTGGATATAGAGAGCAGTTGGCGGCAGGCTGGGAGTAGGTAGCTGGGTTCGGAAGGCTTCATTATCATAGTAGTAATTCCTTGCTAGAGGTCAACAAAAGCTGCTCAGGTCGGCAAGGGATCATGGAGAATACTTTGCTAGGATCATAGGACTTGGATATACTAGATTAAACCATACAACTGGGCAGGTGCATGATTTGAATGTAATTAAGATCCCTGGAGTTTGACATCGCTTTCGCCAAGAATATACGTAGCTGCGATCCCAGTTTATATATCTGCATTACTACAACCTTAGAAGCGACCCAATTACACTTAAACAAAACCCCCAAAATCACAAATGCAAAAGCTTCATTCATAATATCATAACACGAATAAAAAACAAGATCAGATCTAGCTCATACTCGTATGCTCGGAAAAGGAAACCCCGCCAGCGCTGAAAAGACGTCTCACGAAACCACCAGGGCCTCTAGAATCGACGAGACAGCAACGAAAAGCCACCATCCAAAAGGAAAAAGAGGGACACTAGTACCAGTAATAAAGACTCTTTGGGACAAACGATCTATTCGCTGTCGCTAGCACTGCCAAGGTCCGAGTCCTCGGCCTGGTTTTGCATACCCTCAGCCATAATGTACTCCGCCTTTTGGAGGACCTGCTTGATCTCGTCGTTGTTGAAGACCAGCTCGACCGGCTTCTGATTGAACTTATTCCGTACTCGGGGGTCGCAGCCGGCGTCGCACATCATCTTCACCATCTCGGTGCCTAGTTCCCTGTCCTTGTCGTTGGCGTATCGCACAGCGATGTGGAGCGGTGTGTCATCGTCCATTCTCGTCTTTGGGTCGCATTCGAAGTACTGGATGTCGAACAGAGCGTCCATAACGTCGTCTGTCGCGAGAATTTGTTAGCGCGGGGGTTTGGTTCGGGAGAGGGGTAGCTTTTCTGCTTAGGAGGAAGCGGTCTACATACAGCTTCCGTAAATGGCGCAAATGTGCAATGCGTGGTTGCCTAGTGGATCTGTCACGCCGTTGAAGAACTGTGCCACTTCCTCATTTGATTTCTCCTCCATCGAAGCCAGGACTTGTTCCAGTAGGTGTGGTTGGTCGCGGCGGCAGGCTTCCACGACCAGCTCGCGGGGTGAGGCACCCTAGGACTGAAAGTTAGCGGGTATGCGAAAAGCAGGGAAGTAACAGTCATAACGCACTTCTTCGTCGGCCATTGTTGAGTACAAGTCCCAATTCGGAGGTTGTTTGGGGAGAAGGCAGTGGTTCCAGTCGCGCGGCAATAGGGACACGGAGCTAGTCGGTGTGAAACGTGGGAAAACACGAGACGAAACGGCGGGACGTAGAGTCAAACGATAAAGGTCTTGTTCCCAGAAGTTCAGTAAAAGGCGTATTTACAAGCAGAGAATTTCAGATCTTCGGTTCAGGGTCTCAGTAGCGTGGCAGTGTAGATGTTTGTTCCCCAGGGACATCCCACGATCATGTGACTTTCCGAAAACCCCGCCGTCTAAATTTAGCCGCGCGGTTAGCTTGCCGGCGCAGTTGGAGATTTGGTCGTCCTGCAAGTCGACAGCGTTTGAGCCAGCAGGCGAGGGTTACGCTTCTCTTTGCTTCAGCTACGGTTACGGGTCTATACCAAGATTGATCTCACAGGGATATTGAAACTCTGCGCCAGCTGAAATGCCGCTCGTTTGTTGGTGATCCCCGATCGAGAATCGCAACGAACAGAAAGCTAACGAATCTCCTCTTCAGTCTGTCCCAACTGCAGCAATGCGCTGACAGTTTCCCGAGCGGAGTCCTCGACTCAACATCCGATGGGCATCAACCGATTCGAGTGCCGCACCTGCCCCTACGAACAACCCATCGTGCGACAGACCATCTTCGAGACAACCGAGATGAAGCAGAAGGAGGTGGAGGATGTATTTGGCGGCAAGGAGGAGTTTGCCAATGCCGATAGTGTGGGCAGTACGTTGCGAAAGATTCTCCTACCCCTAGTCTATATTGCAGACCGGACCTTTGGGTTGGGTCTCAGGCTGGATCCTAGTTGGGGCTGGAAACTAATTACAATTTCTTCTCTTCTCCAGCACAATGCCCTGCCGAGAACTGCAACGGAGACCGTGCATACTTCTTCCAGCTGCAGATCCGCAGTGCAGATGAGCCGATGACTACATTCTTGAAGGTAAGTGCCCACATCTTCCCCCCTTACGCACACGCGGGCGCCGCATTATCTGACAGCTGTATGTAGTGCTGCGACTGCGGTGCACGGTGGAGAGAGAACTGATCTGATCGCTGGGATGAGATCACGAGGTGGAGGGGACTCATTTTGGAGAGGGAATTGTTTCCCACTCGGGCGTCAAAACAAAATGGCGCATCATATAATTTTGTTCTTTACTTAGTTGGGCGTTTTGGTACGAACGCATACACATGGCTACAGCGGCGGCTGTAGATGAGATACCCGAATTTGATCGACCATACGTCAATGATAGGCCGGAGCATTCGCGATCGGCGATTTGTAGGCTAAAAAGGAAAAGAATAAAAAAGGAAAAAAAAAGTTTTTTGGGGGTTGGTTGTAACCATGGGTCTTGCCAGCCTCCATACTTTTTTGTCTGTAGATACTACACTATAACCACCTGTACTAATATGACTCAGGCTACTGGTAGTTAGGGATTCTACAAGTGTACCAGTAATTCATGAGGCTTCCCAGCCATCAATTTATCCTATATTTTGATTCATTCATTCTATCTATTGACGTCTGTGGCAAAAATGCCTCTGCATGACATGTGCAGCCTGGTGCTGGTGGGTCTCGATTTGGCGGTGACTGCTGGATGCCCCGCGGGAGGGGTTACTCTATTGCTGACATGGAAAATTGGGCTGCATTTGGTGTTATCTGGAGGGGTAGTCAAGAGGGGGGACTCCCCCTCTGTATAAAAAAAAAATAGTAAAAAAGGGAATAGAAAATAGAAAATAGGGCAAAACCAAAACAATTACTCCGTACTACTGCGGCAATTCCACTTAAAGAAGGCCCGACAACTGCGTTGCTGCCCAGTGGTGGGTTGAAAGGACCACGATGAGGAAGAAAATTCACACCGAGTGGGGACTGGTGGGAGGGTAACCAAGGAACGAAATTGGGGTGTATAGGTACAAGCAGCAGCGTAGTAAATACTATGAGAGTAAAAGTATATCTACGACGCTAAACAGCCCACCGCAGAATTTTCTTGTTGTCCCGCTGGAAGACCCCACCAGAGCTGAGATTGACCAATCACAACCCCAACAAACGAAAGGGCTAACCCAGCCCACTTCGCCTCTTCCCTCGCTTGCCCCTCCATATAAGAATTTCCCCTCCTCGCCCCTCCCACAGACTTTTTCTTTCCTCCCTGTCTGCATCAGTACGTATATCTTGCCCCCCCTTCAACTTTTCTCTTCTCTTTCTTTCATCCATCTAACTCTCTGGCGCACAGTACCTCTACACACGCTGTAGAATCTGTGCAATTTTCAGGATCTTCCTAGTATCTTACAAAGAACTTCAAGAACCTAACCGCCAAAATGGGTAAGGACGAGCGTACTCACGTCAACATTGTCGTTATCGGCCACGTCGATTCCGGCAAGTCCACCACCACCGGTCACTTGATCTACAAGTGCGGTGGTATCGACTCTCGTACCATCGAGAAGTTCGAGAAGGAGGCTGCTGAGCTCGGAAAGGGTTCCTTCAAGGTTCGTTCAACTATCCATCCACATACCCATCCTACCCAACCCCCATCGAAGACTTTTCATCATACTGACCCATTCAATAGTATGCCTGGGTTCTCGACAAGCTCAAGGCTGAGCGTGAGCGTGGTATCACCATCGATATTGCTCTCTGGAAGTTCCAGACCGCCAAGTTCGAGGTTACCGTCATTGATGCCCCCGGTCACCGTGACTTCATCAAGAACATGATCACTGGTACCTCCCAGGCCGATTGCGCTATTCTCATCATTGCCTCCGGTACTGGTGAGTTCGAGGCTGGTATCTCCAAGGATGGCCAGGTTAGTATCCCACCCACACACTCCCACTCTCAATCTCACTCACTTACACTCGATTAGACCCGTGAGCACGCTCTGCTTGCTTTCACCCTCGGTGTCCGCCAGCTCATTGTTGCCCTCAACAAGATGGACACTGCCAAGTGGGCCCAGGCCCGTTACGACGAGATCGTCAAGGAGACCTCCAACTTCATCAAGAAGGTTGGCTTCAACCCCAAGACCGTTCCCTTCGTCCCCATCTCCGGCTTCAACGGTGACAACATGCTTGAGCCTTCCCCCAACTGCCCCTGGTACAAGGGTTGGGAGAAGGAGGGCAAGAACGGCAAGGTCACCGGTAAGACCCTGCTGGAGGCCATCGATGCCATCGAGCCCCCTGTCCGTCCCTCCAACAAGCCCCTCCGTCTGCCCCTCCAGGATGTCTACAAGATCTCCGGTATTGGCACGGTTCCCGTCGGTCGTGTTGAGACCGGTAAGATCATCCCTGGTATGGTTGTTACCTTCGCTCCCGCCAACGTGACCACTGAGGTCAAGTCCGTCGAGATGCACCACCAGCAGCTCAAGGAGGGTGTCCCCGGTGACAACGTCGGCTTCAACGTCAAGAACGTCTCCGTCAAGGAGGTTCGCCGTGGTAACGTCGCTTCCGACTCCAAGAACGTAAGTCACTTCTGAATATTCAATATCCTATCCCCTTTGACTCCTTTCTAACCCTATAACCAGGACCCCGCTATGGCCGCTGCCTCTTTCAACGCCCAGGTCATTGTCCTGAACCACCCCGGTCAGATCGGTGCCGGTTACGCTCCCGTTCTGGACTGCCACACCGCCCACATTGCCTGCAAGTTCTCTGAGCTCCTCGAGAAGATTGACCGCCGTACCGGAAAGTCCGTTGAGGACCAGCCCAAGTTCGTCAAGTCTGGTGATGCCGCCATCGTCAAGATGGTTCCCTCCAAGCCCATGTGTGTTGGTACGTAACTATAAAATTCCCGATTTCTCTTCTCAAAGCAATGCTAACTCCCTCACAGAGGCTTTCACTGACTACCCCCCTCTTGGCCGTTTCGCTGTCCGCGACATGCGCCAAACTGTTGCCGTCGGTGTCATCAAGTCCGTCGACAAGTCCGTTGGTGGTGCCGGTAAGGTCACCAAGGCCGCCCAGAAGGCTGGCAAGAAATAAGCGATTTCTTCACATGATGCAGAGATGCCGTGATGATTTTCTTACAAAAACGCTTATGGATCGAGCTAGACCTAGCTTAGTCTCTCTAAAATTCTATTAACAGATTTGAGACCTAAATTTTGTGCACATTATAGACTTCAAGCCCTGTAGGCTCAGACATCGTACTAGACACTCAATCGTAGCCGTAAGCCGGTATGTTCCTTGCTCAAAGGACCTTGTGCAGATAAGCAGTTTAATTCTTTACAGGTGTACTCAATATCTCTTGTGGCTCTTGTTGTTTACCAAACCCTCAATGCCAAGATACAATAGACTACTTTCAGAATAGTAGCTATATCAGCCTTATTTGTTTTTGGAATGTACCGTAAATTACCGGACTATTATATCAGCAGACCAAACTGTTTATTACCTGTAAGGCGAGAAGTTGCAACCGGCCTCCTCACCTGGCTTACGGCGCTACGACACATCATATTGTCTTAATGCAGTCAGCCTTCATGGAACTTATTCTGCAATTCGCTTGGAGCCAAGATCAGCTGCGGTCGAGTTGAACTATAAGTATGTGGCTTCCAGGTCCTTGACGGCAAAATCAGTTGAAATTGAAATCGAAGCTTTTCATCATCCTGTCGAATCACCAAGCTCTTCGTTATGTGCTATATTCCGCAGCCATGGCCAAAGAATCGGTCTTCTCCTCGAATGAAAAGTTTCAAAGCACCACTTTCGATTATGTCATCGTGGGCGGCGGTACAACCGGACTGGCCCTCGCAGCTCGTCTAAGCGAAAGGTCTTCGATCACTGTTGCTGTCCTTGAGGCAGGCGAGTTTCGCAAAGACGATGAAAATGTGGAGGGCTTAGCTGGAATGCGAAAGATGCTTAATAATTCTGATTACGATTGGGCTTTCAAATCAACACCACAGGTAATCACGGGTCAAGCAGCTCTCGAGCAAGCTTATGTATAGGAAACATTTAACTCACGGTATGGCAGAAGCATAATGCCCACAGAGTCCATCATGTGCCTCGAGGCAAGATGCTCGGCGGGTCTAGTGGAATCAATTTCCTAGCACACACCCGGCCATCTGCAGAGGACCTAGACTCTTGGGCGACTCAGGCGCCTGGATAGTCTCGGGATTCCTTGCAGCCTTACTTTGCTAGACACGAGACGCTATTACCGGATCCCCGTTCCGGCGAGCGTCCGAAGCATTTTGTGCGGGACCCCGAGATTCATGGTCATTCTGGCCCCGTCATGGTCTCATGGTCACCAACACCTCCCAGTATCACCTCTACTGTGATCGACGCCGTCAGCGAGGTCTCGGTTCCATGCGAGTACACGGATCCCTCTGCAGGCCGTCACCTGGGCTTTGCTCATAATTTCACGACAGTCGATCGCCGCGATGGTAAGATTAAACGCAGTTACGCCGCTAACGCCTATCTCGAACCCATTTTGGATCGACCCAACCTCCATATTTTGACGCAAGCGATCGCATTCCAGATTGTATTAGAGGAAAACCCTTGCACCGCTAGGGGTGTGAGATATATGTACAATGGAAGTGAGTACGAGGTAAAGGCGAGCCGAGGAGTGATTATGTCCGCCAGCACAATCCAGAGTCCAAGGCTCTTGGAGCTGTCTGGTATCGGAAACCCAGAGATATTACGAGCGGCTGGTACAAAGTGCTTAGTGGAACTGCCTGAAGTTGGCGAAAATCTCCCAAGAACACCCTGTAACGAGTGTTACATATGAGTTGACTGAGTCTCCGCATAACGTCACCATGGACTCTCTATTCACCAACCCGGAATTAGTTCAGGCTGAAGTAGCACGGCTAATGCAAACAGGAGAAGGATTACTTGCAGGCACCGCTGGCAGCCTGATTTACATACCTTACGCGACTCAAGTCTCCGAAGATCGCTTAGAGGAAACGGTCAGCACGGTAGCGAGGACAGTTTCAGGATCAACCTCTGCGCATTATTGCGAGCAGGGAGAGCGAGTGATTCGGCTCCTGCGTGACATCTCTGCGCCAGCTATCGAGCTGATAGCCATGCCCTGCAACTTCAATGTTGCAAAGTCCAATGACGACCAGAGCCGAGTGATAGCTGGTCCTCCTGAAGGTTATAACGATTGCTTCTCCCTGCTGGTCATCCCAGTGTACCCAATGTCTCGTGGCAGTACACATATCACAAAAGCATCCCCTGGGCAGGATTGGCGGACGGCAGCACCGGAGATCGACCTGTCATTGCTCTCTCATCCCTCAGAAGTGGATGTCATGGCAGCTGGCCTCACGACCGCGGACAGAGCTTTCAAGACATCCCACATGGCAGGCCGGGTCGGGCGCCGCGTGTCACCCCCTATAGAAGTTAATCTGGAGGACGTGTCTCAGGCGCGTAATTTCGTCCAAGAAAGTGTTATGATAATTAACCACAACATTGGCACGTGTGCCATGCGCCGTGTCGTGGATGATCAGCTGCGAGTCAAGGGTGTTTCCAATCTACGGGTGGTTGACTGTAGCGTCATACCCGATCAGATCAGTGCACATACGATGGCTACTGTGTATGCTTTAGCCGAACGGGCAGCACATTTAATTAGTCAGACTGTGTAGTGGAATATACCATGTGAAAAGAAATGAAATCCACAGGCATAGGCTAAGGCAAGAGTGTTGTAGATATCTCCGAATCTGTGAAAGAAAATAAGCGTGGCACTGATGCACGGCACACAGCCGAACTCACATTTTTACGATGAATACGTCTACACACCTGTGCACATAGTTCAACTGTGTGTACAACAAGCAACTTGAAATCATAGTATCACTTCAATTCCAAGCTAGAGGCGCCTCGCAGAAAGGCCCGTTCGTCTATGTCACGGCGGCGATATTATTATCGATGAAACGATCCGCCTCTCTCTTCAGCATCAAAATACAGCTCGCTACAAAGAAAGCCTCTACACCTTCAGCGTCGACATCCTTTTCGTCCTCCCACATGCGCAGATCCATCACTAAACGACCACCATTACCTCCGGAGTACCTAACAGAGCCGGGGGTGCGGAATTGGTCGTTTCGAATAAGCTGAGCGATTCTGGCGCCGCTCTTAATCTTTGTGCCATTCGGTAATACAATGCGATCAATGCGCTCCAGAATGAGCAGCGAATTCGCATTAAAGGCTTTTCTTTCTTCCCGACTACCGTAGCGCCACTCGAATTTGCCAAACGACGTGTCGAAAACCTGGGCACGGCTAATAATCGACCGGCCTTTGACTTCGACTAGTTCTCCGCATAGATTATCATCATCTATAGCCTGCTTAACCGAAAAATTGGAATCGTGGGGTAGGATATGCATTCTGGGATGTCTTCCCGGGCCCCAGCGATAGATAGTCGAGATAAGAGCATTCTGACGTGGATCAGATGGACGCACCAGCGCACACGAGTTGGAACTGCTCTTGAGGCGGACAGAGGTGTACTTTTCTTGTATAGGTACTCCGGATTTCGTGCTGTAGACAGAAATATTCTCTAGCGTTTTGCGGCCGCTGAGTGCTTGGTTGGTATCGTATCCAATGGCTTCTACCTGAAGCTCGCTTGTGGAGAGAAAGCGGTCGGAGGTGGAGGATTGGCTGCTAGCGTAGTCCGATGCAATGGCCTCCGAGTCCTTGTAGTCGGGGGGAAGACTGGAACTTCCTGTCCTCTATTGGCTGAGAACTTGAAGGGTTCGGTCTTGACATTAGTGAACGTGTAAATAGGCCCATCGTGCTTGATTTGAATATTCAAGTTTATTTCTCCCAAGATCACGGAATAAAAGCTTGGTAAGTAGCAAGTGTGACTTTAATAAAGCCAGTGTTAATCAAGATAATGGCATGTTTCTTGCTAAATAAGTGATCTACTGCGCCATACCGCGATCCTCCTTACGGTGATGATAGGGTCCACAGTGACGTCATAGGTGCGAAGGCGACCACTCACATTACATTTACTATTTGTATTCAAGCTAATTTAGCTCAGCGTGGTGCTATGAACTGACAAGGCTTAGCCGGCCTTTCCTGAAGGGGAATCATCTGGCGCTCAATAGATCTGCGGCTGAATGCTGCGCCAGTATCCGGGCGTTAGAAGCTTCAATCTATGTAAGGCTGGTTAATCGCCCTAAGCACCGCCACGCTGCGCATAGGTGCAAACAGGGAGAGCATAGATGTATTACGTAGTACAATAATTACGGGAGCAACAGACCGAGATCCCGGAAGATAGTACAGGAAGCTTGCGCTAATATCCCACTCTATTCCAGTGCCTTTTTGTAGGCCAAGTGATTTGTTGGCTAACAGGTAATTAGGGGTGAAAGTCTAGAGATGTTTTGCTGTCAGATGTTGGAGAATGTGGAATATGATCCGGTTTCTGCATACAATACAGTGAATTGAACACATTTCTATGCCTTGATCCATGGCCATGTGAAGCCACATACAGTCTGGTCTGGTTGCACGAGGTTGTACGGCTCTAGATAAGTTTCCAGTAAGCACTAGAATACTCGTAGCCCACTCAGACGGCTACTGTACATTAGCGAAAATAACAAGTACTACTACATAGTTGGAGTCCGCAAAATCCACCGCTTCTGGAGTTGTGTGAACCTTATTGTTTGCATTACTCCAGGCTCCAGCAATATCCTCGTATCTCCCATACAAATATGAGCATGCTGTATGTAACTTGTGTTCTGTAAAAATCTGTATTCGTAAACTACCGGAAAATGATTATTTCCATTGCTTTCTTAATAAAGTTCAGCGTGACTTGGTATCCAGGGTTTGGGGAACAAAGGAAGGGTGTTGGGACGTTCTAGATTACCTGGCTTAAGTCAACGATTTCCGAGAAGATCCCCATGAGGATCCTTAGCTTTCAAAAGTACAGCGAGACAGTCGTAATCCAGACCACAGGAGCTCCATATTTCCGGGACTTACTTGAGTTAATATAGCACATGTCTCTGGTAACTAATCGGTTTCAAAAAATACATCAACATGGACCTGGATATTGACAACAATCATGGTATTCTACCCGTCGACGTTGTGTATCAGGCTCTGGAGTACCTACTCAAGCAGCTACAAGTAATAGGTCACCCCATCAACAAGAAATATCCTTAGGTTGTAGAGATCCAAAGGTAGAGCTTCAAACTCATTACTAGAACCAGTATTTTGTATATTCATCGATGCAATTATTTTGTAAAAACTCCAGGGTATCACAACAATGTCTCCAAACTACAGCCAGAATATTCCAATAGGAAAAGAAAACCGGGCCATGCAACAACCACAAAACATTCAGACATTCACATTCAACCCGACCCGAATCAATCCGAATCACTGGCTGACTCCTCTTCTCCCGAAGACTCAGATTCCTGCTGCGTGGCAGGGGCAGAGCGCCTAGACCGTCTCGGCCCCTCGCTCCGACGTGCATCCGCATCCGCATCCGCCTCTACCTCCTCACCACCACCACCGCCACGACCACGTTGTCCATTCATCCCAGACTCCTGCGTCAGCCCAGGACGTTCACGAATCCCCAAACTCCTCCTCAACCTCCCCTCAAACGCCTCCCTCCTCCTCCTCCTCAATCTGCGTCATTTCCCCGCCCAACACATCTTCATCTCCGTCCCCGTACCCAGGAACCCGGCCATTGGCATTACCGTCTCCCACCCCACGCCCATAAACCTCCCTCACAAGTCCAGCCACCCCCTTCGTCCCCACTTCAACTTTACCCCGCGGCCCGACTAGGAACTCAATCTGTTCTTCGCCGCCGTCTAGCTCGCGCGTTCGAACGAGGTAGCCCTCTCGAATCATTCGCTGGAGAAGTTTGTCTGTGCGGTCGATGGGAGTGTGTGTTTCTGCGTTCATTCGCGTGAGGTAGCGGTCTAGTTTTGGTTCGGCGAGGGAGCCGCCGTTTAGACTTATTAGGGCTATTATGAAACTGTAGAGGCCTGTGTAGGTACTTTCTGTGCTTGCGGAGGGGGCTTTTGTTGGTGGTAGGATTGTGGAGGATTGGTAGGATGGTGGTAGGGTTGTCGTTAAGATCCAGGATTTATTTCCGGATGAAGGTTTGTCGGTTTTTTGAGCGGCTATTCAGGAGGAAGCAGTATTAGTCTCTGTTGTCTTCTCTTTTCTTTGTTTTTTTTCTCTCCAGCCCCGATCCAGATTGAGGGTCTTCTCCATTATAGACGACCAGGTCAAAAGAACGAAAGGAAATGGGATAACATTTAGACTAAACTCACCCCGCCGCTGTGAAATGGTCGTCTTCTCTCGCGCAGGCAATTCAACCATCTCCATTCCAAACCGACTCCTCAACTCTTTCTGCGCTTGCTCAAAGACAACCTTAAACTCGCGCGTTCCCTGCTCGCCGAAAACTTTGGCATTAATGTCGGTTCGGCGGATGGTAAGACGTGCGTACTCGCTTGCCAGTGCGAGACGGACCATCTTCTTGACCATCGCGTCGAGATTTGATGGTGCACCGCTTCCGCCATCCTCTGCGGCTGAAGAGGAGCGTGTTCTTTGACGGCGGGCAGGGCTTGGTTGGGGGGTTCCGTCGTCTGAGTCCGCGGGTGCGGGCTGGTTCTAGGTGTTAGTGGGGGGTGTTGGTTGAACTTGGTTATCTTTCACTTACTGCTTGTCTTTTGCGGACAGGAGGCATTTTGGGCGCTGGGTTGGGTGTGGTCAAAGTTTTGGGTTTGGGGTGGTGTGTTTGAGATGGAGTGGACGCGACGCGGGTCCGATCAAACAGCGATTTTACCGCATCCGGCCATGTGGTCCGTGCTCTTATCTATGCCCAAGTGCCCTACCAGTATAGAATGCTCTTCGATGCTCTTGGATGCTCTTGGATTGAGTTTCAAGTGGTGCTTAAGGTATTCGGATAAAATATTTTTGCAGTTTACGAGTACACTGGAAGTTTCATTGTTCAAATGGTCTGTTGAGAGCACTAGTACTAGTCGTAACCTGGAAATCATACTGAACAACTTGAAGCTTGAACGATCGACAATATATGTAGTGGAGCACCCCACCACATTCACGACAACAAAATCAAAAAAAACTTAATCAAAGCAGACGCAATAATAGGTATTATTTTTTCTCTAGGAATCAAGGCGGCGAATCAAAAAAACAGGCGCTCAAGCAAAGAAAGAAAATACAATCTAATCAGTGGTTGAATCAGTGGTTGGTCTTCTCATTCACGACTTCCTTGACTTCTTCCTTGGCAGTCTGCAACCAGGTGTTGACCCACGCCAACGACTCCTGCGAGATAACCAAGCTAGTCGTGATAACCGCCTTTCCGGAGGCAAAGATGCCATCGCCACCGCACTTCTTGTATTCCGATCCATAGGTGTCGAAGAGGTGGTGCTTGACATCGCCTGCGACGCGCACCGGGTAGCCAGCGGTGTTGTAGATAGTACCGCGGATCTTCTGGGTATCTTCTCGGACGATGGGGAAGCGAGTATCGATCTGGCTCAGACCCTTGTCACCGAGAGTATCGGCACGAGCAAGGTAAGGTGCAACATAGTTGTAGGGCGCGGAGAAGTAGGGCAGGACGGGCTTGGCCAAGCGGGTGTAGCCTTGGTCGGCGAACTCGATGGACTTGGCACCGTATGGGTTGCCCTTGAAGACGGCGATGGAGTCGGAGACGACGGGGTAAGAGGTGAGGTGCTAGTGAGTCACGAAGTAGTGTTAGCCAGTGGCGCAAATCAAACGGGATACGGCGCTGGGTAGCTGCATACGTTGAGGAATTGAGAATGGACCTTCTCGCCGTTGACGATTGGTTCACCCATCTTGTCAGAGTCGGCGTGGGGCATGAAGAGGGAGATGGTGTGAGTGTGTGAGAGAGGGAAAAGAAGAAGAGAGAAAAGACTTCAGATATGAGGAATTCAAGAAGTAGAAAAGAGCAGAGTCCAAGGGAAAGAAAAAAAGAGAGAGTTCGCAAGGTGGTGTGGGCTGTATATAGATTTTCACATGTGATTGCGCCCGCATTATGCAATTGCCATTGGCCTCACAAGGCCCCAGCGCAATCGCATCATCTGTGCGCAGGGATCGTATTCCCCGGCTGGTTTTGCCTCTATGTACATTACTTCATCACTCTGTTATTTTGTGAATTTCTATTTCCTTTTTCATCCTTGGCAGTTAAAATGATGCTTGGTTCGATTTCTCGACCTGGGCTGGATCTGGATCAGACCTCCCTGCTGCAGCTTGCCCTGACGCCATGGCAAATTTGGCTTCCCGGTAATGAGCGACTCTACTCCTTCCAAGGTTTCCTTCCTATCGACTTGATATCGACATCCAGCAATTTACTCTCCCGCGACCCAAGGAATAGGATATCCCGTTGCGCAATCATCGTGTTCAGCAGAATTGCATTAGCTTGCAACATAGGTTTGATAAGACCCCCCTTCACATGTGATTGCGGGTCCAACGTCGACGCATTTGGATCCACCACGACTAGAGCATCTTAGCCTCACTGATCGACTCTACGGGAGGTTTTATGGTATGTCCATACATATTCGCAACATTCATTTACAAATAAACCAGACCCTGCCAGCGTGAGCACGCTATCACCCGGCGAGAGCAGAGAAATTTACACTACTCGAACGATTGACTCCCCGCCATGAACCTTGTTCCTCCACGAAACCCCCACTTCAAATCCGGGCTTGGGGCGAGAACATCATCGATGGCCCTCTTATCAGCCAAGGAACCGGCATGCCTAGAGCCGTCATGCCTTAGTTTCATGACTGGCTTCTGGCCGTGACACCTGCAGCCCGGAGTCAACTTGCTCATCCTCCCGCCTTGAAAATTAAAAAGAATCCAGCCTCGCTCCCCCCCCCCCCTGCTGTCTCCTGTCTCCTGCACCTTGTATCCACTCCCCTTTGGCCTGAGCGTCGCCTAGCAAACCTCCTGTATGGACCGGCGCGAAACGCAAAAGAAAAAAGTCCCATCAATCTCCCAATTGTCATCCCGCTTTTGCTACTCGTATCCCCCTCCCTCCCCCATTGCCAACGATCCTGGCCAGCTAGCCACCCAACCATGCGGCAAAATTAAAGCCGGGATAGGGCGAGTAGCTCGTGAAATGGAAATGGAAAATGGAAATAGAAATGGAAATGGGGACCGTCGGCGCTCTACGGAGTACTGCACGTATGCGGCTTTTCCAAAGCACCAAATAGCACAAGGTTCAAGTTCTAGCCAGGTTCGCGATCGGCCTCTACCCTAGTTGATCCTGAGCCCCTCTCCTCTTCCTCCCCTCCCTGCCCCCAATTGCGTGCGTCCCGGGCGTGCGACTGGTACATTTGATGATTCGTCGTAAAATCATCCGATCCTCGGCGATTGGATTGACCATACTAGTACACTAGGTCGGGGGTGCAGGATTCGAAACCGTTGAGAGTCGGCATTCCCTAAGTACACTATCCGTATATCAAGATTTATTACCCACGCGCGCATGCTGCGGTTGGTCAATTGGCTGGGCGCCCGGAGGCTACTGCTGCTGCTGATGTTGGTGTTGGCGTGGAACTGTGTCACGATAGGTGGGATGGGATGAGGGTGTGGTGTGGTGTGTTGTATTTTTGTGGTACATACATGCCACCTTGAGCATAAATCGGAAGCTACGGGGGTTGAGACAAGTTGTGCACTGCATGTGCTTGTTCAAGTTCATGTTGCTTCTAGTCTGGATTGATGACCTGCGTCTCGGAGAATATGGCTTGTCTCAGAAGTTGAATGCTGTCCGAGCTCCTCGGGAGCTTGTTCAAGTTCGATATACTTTTGATTTGAATTTTTTTTCTCTTTGCTGTCTGTTTGGTTTTTCCGACTAGACGACAGAATGGCAACATCTTGGTCGATCTGGTGGCAATCCCGTTGGCTTAAGCACCGAGTCCGTGTAGATCAATCCATGTGGGTTCAAGTTGACTGTCACGGTCAATGTTGAGAGTCTCGGGTTAGGTCGCTTGCCAGTGCGGACTATAGTTTTTAGTTTGATGAGCATGCCGAGCCGAACAACGGACTAGCACTCGTACTTTTGCTATTGTTTTTTTTTTGTTTTCTCGTACGTAAATATTCTCCGGCTTCTTGGACTACCAAGTTCTCCGATCCGATTCGTGATTGTATCGTGAATCCTGCTTGTCCCGGACAATCGTTTCTCGATGTAGTTTGTGGTGTGGCAAGTTCCCAAGGTTGCGCCACCAGGTATGTATGGCCTTGGAGAAATGGAAAATCTTGTGAACCTAGGCAGGCAGCGATAGAAGAAATACTACCTGCTGGTTTCAGTACCAAGATGCCGTAGATCCTATGCCAAAATATTGAGATATGCTTCCTTATTGGAGCGCGACCTTGTCGAGGTGGCGGATTCTGCGGCCTCCCTCTGGTCTAGATGGGATCTCGGCTGCAGATGTATACATACATAGTACATATGCACATAGTACGTCCCTGCCGTCAACCGCGGAAGCTCCTGATTGAATTTCTTCTGGAATCAAGGTCGTTTCACATGCGAAGGGGCTTTTGGAACTAACAAAGGGTCCACTGTCGACTTCTAAATTGGTTGGTGTAGTCAAGATAAGATTTCGATCACATGGGCTTTGAAAAGCCACAGGTCATGTCTACGCTTTCTTTACTCTAGATCTGACGCGAAAAGAAACATGTGACCCGAGGAGGCGTTCACGAGAATGTTTACTAGTATGTTGTTAGAAAGCCACCCTCATCGAGTTGCCAAGGACATCGTGGAAAAGTTCTGCCTGGCCGAGTGTTGGGGAGAGCATCCCATCCCATCAACACGATGATAGCATGGCTGCGGGGGGACCGAAAGGGTGTAGGACTTCTGAGACTCTGACGTCAAGCGCATGGGGAAATCGAAAAAAACTGTGCTGGCAAGAAGCTGCAGATGCATGCAAGGATTCGTAAGAAGGATCATTTGAAAAAAGAATAATTGTTCATATTTTCCATTTCATTCAGGCAGGCGCCAATTTTGTAGGGCGCCCCCTTCGCTCAAAACTGGAGTTCACCGATACATTCCCGATTCTGTTTCCAGCTATGGTATATGCCTTCCTATCCCAATTCAGGGAGCAGAAAATGTGCTCGATGCTTTTTTCCCCCTCGCCTTCACCTGAACAACGACAAACGCCCGTGATAAACCGTTTAGAAGCCTGGATGAGAGTGAAAAGTCAGCAAAAAATTAATTCGAGAAGAGCGCCGATCAAAACGGTGGAGTTGTTTGAATCGGTGTGGGTATTCGATGGGACGTACGCAGAGCAGTGAAGAACCAGCGGTTCTTGCCGGAAGTGTAGCGGTCCTCGAGAGCCTTCTTGATAGTCTTCTTGGCGTCCTCGCGCTGAGAGACCTCCTTGAAGGTGTCCTGGGAAACGACACCCTTGAGACCCTCGAGCTCCAGAGTGTAACGGGTGGGCATCAGGTGGTTGTAGTTGACGACCTTGATGAAGGGCTTGATCTTGGAGCGGCGGTCGACAAGCTTCTTACCCATGCGGCGGGTGACCTTGAGGGGGGTAACGCTCGATACCGGCGACAATGGCGAAAGGGAAGGGGTGGGCCTTGGAGCCAGAGTCCTGAGGCTGGACAATGACGACCTGTAGTCGGAAAGAAAAGCGCTGGTCAGCACTTGGATTCACATATTCACAATCTTGAATTCCGGTCCTCCATCAAATTGGTTTTTTCGTGTCGTCAAAAAGAAATGCATTTGAAATAGCAATAGCTTTTCAGTCGTTGATTCGATGTTCCAATGATGCAGTCCGTCTCTATCTTCAAATTGTGTGCGCAATTCGGGGGGGATATGGGCGATTTGTCGTACCTTCTTACCGGCGTAACGGCCACGGGTGATGATGGCCACACGGCCGACCTTCATGACTGTCGCATAATTCTCGTCAGTATGGAATCGTAGAGACGTAGCGGATGAGATGAATACTCACACTTCATTGTGAATGTCCCGGTTGGCGAGGTTAACGGGTGGGTTGTCGAGTACGGAACGGTCAGTCAAGATCGAAGTGTTCGTTTTTTCGCCTGGGCGGGCAGAGGGTTCAGGGCAAAGCCGATTTGTGTGCCTCTGCGTGATTGGTTGTCTTACCGACTGGAGGACGCTAGCTTGAAAAGGGGGGTTACCCCATTAGGTGGATTCGGGAGAACTAAATCCCGCGTCGCGGCCTTGATGCCTTGATGCCTTGATGCCTTTGTGCCTTAGCGCCTCACCGCCTTACTGCCGGGGCCTGGACTGATGCCCAACGTCACCGCTGGGCTGGTCACCGCCTTCAATGTTTACATGGCGACAGTCGCAGTTACCCGTTGCTAGGGCCCACATCTGATGTGTAGGCCGCGTAGTGGTCCTCGACCTTGTTCGTCCCTCCACTCTCCACCTGTTTACTTCTTATCAAGTTGATCTTCCGGTTGATCGAGACTTTTACACCGTCTTTTGCACTTTTGTGTTTTCCAGCGAATTCTGCTCTGCTCTACTCTGAGCTTGTTATGCCTTTGACGACCTTGTTTTGACCCCATCCGCATTCTCCGAACTACATTCCCATTTCCTTCCTGTCAATACCTTACTGAGACATCTCAACTTCTTCTCCACGACAATAACACACCATGCCGTCCCAAGATCGGGACGTTTCTTCCCGCGATCGGGAACTCGTCCGGCATCAGGGCTCTCATACTGACTCTGCTCGCCTCTCTGTTCCAATGTACGTGATTTATCTCATTCTTATGCCAAGCAAAAACCCACCGTGAACGACTGGAAGAAGATGCTAAAGCGTCGCTCGCGCAGGTGGGACAGTTCGGATCCTGAGCGCGCTCCTCCGCCACTACCTTTAAATCCTCGTTCAATGAGCCCTGTGACAAAATCCAATGTGTCGCCCAATGTTCAGGCTATCGCAGCCAAATTCACAGATAAGTCGAGCGAGAACGCTCCGAGCTCCTACACAACAAACTCAATGCCCAAGTCCGGTTCGCCTGAGCGACAGCTGGTCAAGGGCCATTATCATAAGCGCATGCAGTCTCTACCACCTGCAGACACCAAGGGTGATGCTCGCTCAGAGTTTTTGAACTACCTCGAAAACCGATCACCAGAGCGTCCTCTACGAGCCACAATTGTCGACCCCGCCAGCAAGTTGCAGGACACAAACAAGTCCGCTGGCTCACCTCCAAGCCGTCCTGTTGAACGGGAGCTTCCCAGTTATATCTCAAACCGATACTTGTCGAAGCCTATTTTGGGCGAGAACACACCTCCTTCCGCCACAATGTTAGCACTTCAAAATATGCAGCTACCAGAAAACGACCCTCCTTCCCCCTCGAAAGCCCCCAAAATGATCACCGCATCTGCCGAGCCACCTCAAGCGGACCGCGCCACTCCCACGATGGGTTCACTCGAATCGCAAATCCTGAGCCTGACCGAGATCGCCAGCAGCTTACAGCGTGAGATGTCCAATCTCAGCCGACGAAGCAAGGACAATGCCACCGATCTTGTTAGCTTGAAAGCCGCAACGAATGCCCGAGATGAAGATATCAGGGTCAGCTTGAAGCAGCTGACTTCGAATCTTACATCAAAGTTGTTGGATAATGATGGCCTAAGGTCTGATCTCAAAGCTTTCCTGAAGCCTCGTGAAGGCATTAACCCGAGTGAACCGGATAGTCCCAACTCCAAAAGAAGCTACTCCGTACCGCGCATGCCGAGCCCAAATCCTTTCAGCAGCTACGATCGAGAATTCTGCGGCTCCCGGGACCAATTTGCTCCGATGGCTCTGCCAGCATTGCCTTGCTCGAAAAGGTTCTTCGCGAGATGGCCACAAAGGAGGGCGAGGAGAGACTTTTGGAACTTGTGGATGAAATTAAGACACGCCCAGCTTCATCGGTCTCCGACAAGGATGCCGATAAGAAGGTCACCAATATGCTCGAGGAAATCCTTAATATCGTCAAAGAGGACCCCTCTAGCAGAGCCCTTGTGCATTCGATGCAGGCCATCAACAGCACTTCTCCGAACGAAGCCAACATCCAAGGTACGCGGTCTCTGTCTGCGGGCTCTATGGACCCCAGTGCTACCGTCCAAGCTCTGAATTTCAACAAGAGCGACTTGAATCGATCGTCATCGGGCGAGGAAGACATGATGGCTATTCTGAGAAGCGTCAAGAACAGCGTCATTGAGGGAGGTGGTATGACGAATGGCGTCAAGAGCCTTGTGCGTGAATTGCGTGGCGAGGTACTCGGAATGGGACGTGAGTTGGCCAGGAAGCTTGAGAACGTCGAATCGAGCCGGGCTATCGACGATCAAGAGAAACCTCAGCCGCCAAGCGCGGAGCAAATTTCCGACATCGTCCACGAGAGTCTGCAAAGCCTCCAGGAGCAGCTGGCTGCTACGGTCGAAGAGAGTCGTCAGAACTCTTCCGCATTGTCCGATTTCCAATCAACCATGAGTCTCGCTTCTATTTACTCTGTGGTCAAGAAAGCTCTTGATGAGCTGGAGCTCCCCCAGCCCCAGGCGGCGGAGCCTCATGGACCTGTAATGGAGAAAGACGATATCCTCGAAACTGTTCGCGAGGCCTGGGAAACGTATAAGCCCGAAATCGAGCTCCAGAACTTCGGGCTGGAACGAGATGAGATCTTGGATTGTTTGTCCGAGGGCCTTAGGGACTACCGTCCGCAGCATGAGCAATCCATTACATACGATCAAGTTCTCGACGCGGTCAACACCGGCATGCAGAACTTCAGCCCTCCGCCTATCGAACACCCTCCTCGATCACTCGCGATGAAATTATTTTGACCATTCGCGAATGTCTCGAGAAGCCGGAGCCCACCTCGCGAGGCTTGGATGAAGATCATGCCAATCACCTGAATTCTATGAAAGACGAGATTCTGGGCGCCGTCGCTATGCATGCTGCAGAGAAGCCTGCTTCTCGTGGCTTTGACGAGGAACACTTCAACCAATTCCATGCTATCAAAGACGAAATTCTCCACGCCGTTGCGATGCACGCTGCCGAGAGACCAGACTCACGCGGCTTGGACGAGGAGCATGTCAATCTTTTCCACTCCATTAAAGACGAGATCCTGGGCGCCGTGGCTATGCAAGCTGTTGAGAAGCCAGCTTCCCGAGGTCTCGACGAGGAACATATGGACCACCTCAATAACATTCGTGACGAGATTCTACATGCCATTTCGCATCATGCTGCCGAAAAGCCTGCTTCTCGAGGTCTCAATGATGAGCATATTGAACACCTCGACTCTCTCCGTGATGAGATCCTGAATGCGGTGACTGGATCCATGGCCACTCAAAGCATGATCAGCAAGGAGTCTTTTGATTCTGGCCTCGGCCGAGATGAGATCGTCAGCGCAGTCTCCGATGGCCTGGAGGCCCATTTCACAGCGTCCAAGGAGATGGAAGAACCTCGCGTCTCTAGGGGGGATGTGATTAATGCTGTGAATGACGCCTTCGATTCCCAGCAGGCGGCTCTTAGCACTGCCGTTCAACCCAGCATCTCCCGTGAAGATATTGTCAGCGCCGTTGCCGACGGAATTGAGCTTTCGCGCAAAGATCAAGACACAGCAGTTGCCAATATCCAACCTTCTGTCTCGCGTGAAGAAATTTTGGAAGCAATCGCTGACGGCCTCAACAATTCCAGCAAAGACCAGGACTCGGCGCTTGCGAATCTCCAGCCTTCGCTTTCCCGAGAAGAGATTCTTGAAGCGATATCCGAAGGCCTTCACAACTCGAGCGAGGCAGATAAATCCGCCCTTAGCGCCAGTGTCGGTCCTCAAATCACCCGTGAAGATGTCTTTCAAGCAGTTATGGAGGGCATGGAGAACGCCAATACCATGACTCGCGAGATCGAACTTAACAAAGATGATCTGATGGAGGCAATTACTGCAGGACTCCATGAAGTGAATAGCTCCGCAAACGCAAATGCCGGCGAACAGGTTATGGACCGCTTGCAGGATGTTGTTGATGGTATGAAGGAGGAGTTCAAGCAATATTCCGCTGCCAATGGTAGGGACACCGAGCAAGTCCTGAGACGCCATCAAGGATGGTCTTGATGTGGTCCGAAAGGAGATCGAAGCTCATGTCGGAGCCGCTCATGATGAGGCCGGCAAGCTCGAGATCATCGACACCGTTAAGGAGGGCTTCCGACTCCTCCAAGCCGACATGGAGAAGACAATCACCGAGGCCTCCCTGTCTAATGAGTCTCGCGGTAATCCTGATACACCGGAGCTCTTGGACGCCATGGAGAAGGAATTCGAACATCTTCGTGGCACAATTGTGAATATGGTTGTTCGGGATACAACCGCAGGTGACAAGGACGAAATACTGGACGCCATCCGAGAACTCTCAGATCAACACAAGGCAAATGCTGGAAACCATCAGATCGCCAACAGTATTCGCGAGGAATTCGAAAACATCCGGGAGCGTATGGATTCGAGTCTTGTTCGAGCAGAACCCAGCTCCGATAAGGAGGAGATCATTGCCGCCGTCCGTGAGCACCTCGAGAGTATCCGCGAAGAGACTCTTAACAGGAAGGATGGAGGTGAGAGCATGATGTCTGCCACCAGTGAGCTGCTTGATGCATTTAATGATGGCATCGACACCATAAAGGACGACCTCAAGAAGCTCCTGGAGAAGCCCGCCGAGTTCGACACAGCTGAAGTCCTCGATACCATCAGAGACGGTCTTGCTGACCTCAAGCTTGATATTGACTCCATTCGCCAATCTCAGAAAGAAACCGACGATGCCAGCACCGCTCGCGGTGGCGAGCTTACGCTTGCTGATCAGCCAAACCTTGGCTCTGATATCGAAGGATTGAAAACCCTCATCACTCAACTTCAGGACAAGGTTGAATCTCTTGACTCAACACCCCGGGCGGCCGAGGCGGAGCCGGCTGAAGATGCGCTGAAGAGGGCTCATCTTGATGAGGTTCTTGTTGCTATTCAGGAAGTCCAGGTCGTCATTGCTGAGATGAGCGCCGCCCGCGATGCCCAAGAAGGACAAGTCCGCAAGGAGGATATCGAAGGCATCGAACACCTCATTATGAGCACCAAAACCCAGATCGAGGAGATCGTTTTCCCCGCTCCGGATCAAATTGCTACATCCGAGCATATCGGCACCCTCGAGACCATGATCCGAGAGGCCAAGGACACCATTACTGAATTGTCCTCTCGGATGGAGGCCGAAGCACCTACAAAATCTGACATGGGTACTTTGGAGGGCTTGATCAAGGATGTTTGGATTGCTTTGGACGAACTGAAAGGCAAGACTAAGGAAGGGGAGGAAGGAGAACGTGAAATCGAAGAGAACGCCGACTCTGACAAGCTCCTTAAGTCTGACTTGCAGACCGTCGAAGCAATGGTTTTCGAGGTCAAGTCACAAATTGATGAGCTGAAAATCCCCAATCCCGAGACTCTCCCGACCAAGGAAGAAGTCCAACACCTGCAGTCCCTCGTCACCGACTTCCAGGAGAAGATGGAGGCGAACAATGACATGACTGCGCAAGGATTTGATGCTCGAAAGACTGAACACGCTGGCTTGTTTGAAAAGATCGACGAGGCTAAGCTCGTTGTCGGTGAACTCGGCGATGAGCTCAAGAGCAAGCTCGATGGAAGCACCGAGGGTCTTACTGAGCTCAAGCAGCTCCTGGAAGGTCTTGCCCTATCCGCAGAAAATTTCAGCACTGTCGAAAGCATCAAGGAGCTCACCGACCTCATTAACCGGGAGTTTGAGCGTGCCCACGGCGAGGAGAATGCCAGCAAGCTGGACAAGGAGGAGCGAGATGCTGCGGCGATGGTGAAGCATGACGAAACTCGGGCTGCCATTATCGTGGAACTTGGTACCAAAATTGACGAGAAGATCGGAGAGGTTATCGCCAAATACGAAGATGCTCATAACTCTCTTCACTCGAAATTCTCCGAGACCGAAGAGCGCGATTTGGCCCATGCCGAGGCTGTCACGAGCACGAGGTCTCTTGCTGAAGACATCAAGCTAGTCATCGGTGCTATGGGAGACAATGTCAACCAAACTTGCGAGAGCATTGGCGAAGACACCAAGGCTCTCTTCGGCAAAGTCGATGAGTCTTACAACAGAATGGAGGAGATGCACAATGAAGTCAAGTCGCAACAAGAGCAGTCGCGGAATGAAAACGAGAGAGCCGCTGCTGCCACTGAGCGGGTTGAGAGCAAGCTGCTCGAATTTAACCCTCAGATCCTCGAAACTGTTCAACAAATTCTGACAGTCGTTAGCCAGCACTACGACCACTCGCAGAAATCTGCCGACGATTTCAGGACCGAGCTGTCTGCTCTACCGAACAATATCCCAAGTATGCTTCCTGCTTTGATGCCTCCTCCGGAGACTAGCCGCGACCTTGAGGATGATCCCGTACACGGCAAGCTGAATGATATCCTCGAACACGCAAAGAACACCAAGGTCCACGATGTCCTCAATACCCTCCTGGAGCACTCAAAGAACGATCAACTTCATGATAAGCTTGACCGAGCTTTGGACCAGAGTGCGGGCCCCAAGGATGAGATTTATGCCAAGCTGGATCAGCTTCTGGATCACGCCGCCAACGACAACAGCTCACTGCATGAGAAGCTGGATGCCCTGCTCAGCCGACCGGAGCCCACTGCATCTGACGAGCACTCTGTCACTCAGATGATGAAGCTTGACGAGATGCACAAGGACATCATGGAGAATACTCGCAAGATGAACGAGATGTTTGCTGCTCAGTCTGCTCTTGTAGCCGAGGACACCGAGCGAAAGCGACGGGAGGCTGAGGATGCCGCAATTGCTCTCGAACGAAGAGTGGCTCAGCGAGAACAAGTCGAGTCAGAGATTGTCGGTCTCCATGAGGAGAAGGATTCACTACTGAAGATGATCCAGACACTGCAGGCGGAGAAGGATGATATTGCTAAGCAGAACACGAAGCTGAGCAAGGAAGTATCCGGTCTTGAAACCGCCCTTGAGATTCGCCATGAAGAAATGCAACAAATGGAGGACCGCGCAGATGGTCTCGAGAAGCGCATCTTGGAGGGTGTTCTGGATCATGCCCGCACTGTGTTGCTCAGCCGCTCCACTGGCAGCCAAATGAACCTCAGACGTAACCGAAGTGCACGCAGCTCTCGCACCGGCGCACGTAGTCCTAGTATGACTAGTGTCGCCTCTACAGCCCGAGAGTCAAAGGATCCTCGCAGCCTACTCGGTAACGGCGTCGGCATGGCCCTGAAGCGCGGCTTGTCAAACAACCTCAGTGCCGCAGCTGCCCCTGTTCAGCCAAACATTGGCAAAGAGCGTCGCATCCTCAGTTTGAGCCACGTTACAGGCAACCGAGGCGTGGACCGTCAAGCTAGTGGCAACGGCGGTCTCGCGAATCTTAAGCGCAGCCATTCAGTCAAATCCAACTTTTCGCTACGCAAGTCTTCCTGGGCCGGACGGGTATCTATTGCCGACAAGGAGAACGAAGCCTTCCGTGAAGAGGATGAGCCTGCCAGCGATCCCGAGAGCGACACTGGAACTGAACGTCGGACCAGTTATGCGGGTACGGAGCGCAAGTCTAGCTACGCCGGAACCGTCACCGACAGCGTGGTGACTGACGTGACTGAAAGTGTAGCCTCGACTGATCGACGAACCAGTGGTATGAGCAGTACGACTGATGGTCACACTCAAGTCGCCGAAAGCTCAGTCGGTGGAGATGATGTCGAAGAGCAGTCCAACTATGACGAGCATGATGAGTCCGACCGAGCATCTGAGTCTGGATCAGAGTCAGACGATGCCCAGACTGCTCGAGGGGATGATGATGATGATGATGAAGAAGAAGAAGATCCTAAGGAGGAGCTCAATGATGACGAGTTGCAGGATCTCGTGGACAGAGATATCTCAGACACTGCTTCTCAGATGGAAGCGCAGGTGTTAAAGCTGTTGGAGCCGCCCACTGATAGTGGCCTAGGCACAGAGACTGCGCTTTCCACGTAATGTTTTTTTTTTGATTTTTTTTTTACTTTATTTGTTTGTTTCGGTATGATGCTCCGGAGTTTGGGTTTCTGTTCTGTTTCCTTTTTCATATACCACCTGTGTGTTACCGTTTTCTGTTATTAAGACCCTGTATGATTTTCCCTTTTATGTGGATTAATGAACATTCCTGAACGTCACTTTACATTGTCATTCTCTGTAGTCATCCAGTATAAAAGTCATCATCCTTAGCTGTATACTCTTGTGACCGTGGTCACCTGCCTATCATGGCAGGTGGTCAGGTGACGTCCCAACGAATGTGGCTGCCTCAGGCCCGTGCCGAGGCCGCCTCCCCGGAGCTACATTGAGACCCTTTTCTTTAGCCTCCTCGTCACCCATGGATCCTTCTATGCAGTGAAAGGAGGGAATCCAGTGTGCTCGTCAGCTTCATGGTAGATTTGGGGAACATATATTTCTCCCTTGCATAGTTACCCACCACTTACCTCACCCCCCGGCCATCCGAGCTCCCCACATCGGGTGATAAGCTGCTCGACGGCATCCCACGATGCTCGACCCCCTCGGTCCCCCTCCAGCATGGCTGCGGAACTTGGTCGAGCCTTACGCTCTCAGCCTGAGCAGCCCAACTCTCCCCGAACACGTCCATGAAGTCTTTCTCGCCTTCGCCTTCTACCAGTTCATCCACTCATTCTTGTCGCCATGGTTGTCGCCGATCCTCTTCCCGAAGCACTACCCCAAGTTGAATGCTCGGACCAGACTGAACTGGGATATCCATGTGGTTTCGTTGGTCCAGAGTGTTCTGATCAACGTTGCTGCGTTATGGATGATGTTCGCTGATACCGAGCGCAGTCAGATGTCGACTGGTGAGCGTGTCTTCGGCTACACAGGCACTTGTGGTTTGATCCAAGCGCTTGCTGTCGGATATTTTATCTATGACCTGATTGTCAGCGTCGTTTATATCAATATGTTTGGTATTGGCTTGCTATTCCATGCCGTCAGCGCTCTCTGGGTATTCAGTCTCGGCTTTGTGAGTTCAAAATCCGCCCCTCGGTGCCTTTACACATCTACAAAAGAAAGACACATTTCTAACATTTGAATTCCTTGATCAGAGACCATTCCTCAACTACTACGCCCCCGTTTTCATCCTCTACGAGCTTTCCAGCCCATTCCTCAATATCCACTGGTTCCTTGACAAAATCGAAATGACCGGCAGCCGCACTCAATGGTACAACGGCATGCTTCTCCTCTCGGTCTTCTTCTGCTGCCGTCTCGTCTGGGGTACCTGGCAATCAATCATGGTCTACATGGATATGTGGAACGCTTTACAGCAAACCTGGTCCGCCGCATCATCCCCTCTCCAGACCCCAACCACAGTCAACGCCAACGTTTTCCGCCCGGACTCCGGCTCCATGTGCATTGACGAGACCTGCGCACGCGCTAATGCGGAAATTGCCCGCTTCAGCGACTTCACCGCAAATGGTGTGCCGACTTGGCTGGTCGTGACCTATGTCACGTCGAACCTGATCCTCAATTTCCTGAATTACTTCTGGTTCTCCAAGATGGTGGAGACTGTTCTCAAGCGATTCCGTACCCCTCCCGCCTCGGAGAAGGAGAAGAAGGAGGGCCAGGATGGTCAGCTCAAGGAGCTGCAGGAGAATATCCCGCAGGACGTTATCCTTGAAGCGGCAGCTAAACTCGAGGAGCAGGGAGGTGGACGTGGAGAGCTGGGACTTACCCCGGAACAAATTTCCACGGCCATCGACGCGGGATTCGGTGAGGAACTGCGCCGGCGCAGGGCCGAGTTGGTCGCCAAGGTTCCTCTTCCCGGATCTTGAGGATAATAGACCCGTTAGAATAGAAGGGGTCGGTGGCAGCTTTTGGGGCAATTCTATTTTTGGAAATACCAATGTCTCTCTCGGCTTTGCACTGTCTCTTGCTAAAGAAATCTTTGATCAATCTACTTGGCCCCACGAGTGAAGACTTGTTCGTGATGAAATCGTTGCTAGTATGCTCTTTGGAGCGGCATCTGGTGTTTACGGCCTTGTCGGTGTGTCTGTCAGATTTGATATTTGTTTTATATGCTTTTGGGGTCGATGAGTGCTTGAGCTTTGTATCTTTGCTATAGCATACAACCGTACATATCTCATGCTTAATGACAATCCTATTGAAATGTCTAAACCGATGACCCTTGCATTTTATATCACCGGAACACAACTCCCTTGAATCCAGGGAGAGTAAAGTATACCTAGTAAATCGGGCAAGGCCCTGCTTTCAAAGGGGTTTCTCGGGTTTCTCAGGGAGGAAAATACCTTTCAAGACACCCGAGGTGGCATATTGGGTTCCAAAGCCGATGTGTAGTCCACTTCCACAGAATACGATCCAACAGGGCAAGTTCCAACCTTGGAAGGTCTAAACATAAAGAATTCTATATTGGAAGATATCATATCAGTTGAGATAAATGCATATATTCCTCGATCTAGCTACAGAATAAGTCTCTGCAAAATTCCATCAACGTCCTCGTCAGGGCTCCTATTATCCACAAGTCCAATAGCCATCGAAGGCTTCGTATAGCCCAGAAGCTGCAACATCTTCGGGCTCATCTTCAATAGCTTGCTACGCGGTACCGTCAAGAACTGATTCTCTTCAGTTCTGTATATTCCCCTGACAAAGAACAAGCTATACATAGTGCGAATTGAGTCCGGGACAGAGTTGTGACCCCCGCCGTGGAATGCAGATCCAAGGAAAATTAGAGCAGAACCGGCCTTCATCTCTGTTTACGAGTAACGGGAGGTTAGTAACCGCATATTTTGGAGACCGGCGAACTCTTACCAGCAAAACAGACTTCATCCGCCGTCGCCATGCGATGATCGTTCCATTTATGACTTCCAGGAACGAACATTGTCGCACCATTCTCTCTAGTAACATCACAACCGGCAATCAAGCACCCAAATTGACTAACACGTTCGAAACTCCAATCTTCAGGCCCAGAGTGCCGGATGCGATGAATATTGTCATCTCGATGAAGACGTTGCCTGGAAGCCCCGTACCCAATATTCATAGAAAGACTCAGACTAAGCAAAGGGTCAATCCTGATAGGCTCTACCCAGTCCTCGCGATAGACGGTATATTTCTCAAGCAGAATGTTTTCCCGAAGACTATCCAACAATGGATGCTCGCAGATCTCACAGACCGTGTCGGACTTTCCGACCAGACCTGGAATGAGAGTAGTTTGAGACGGGATAATGTGAAAGGCGTCGCCAGATCTCGTGTCATTTGATGCCTGGGCAGATTGGTTTTCTTTCCGGGCTTTCAGTTCCTCTTCAATTGTGGCTATTTTGTCTTTTGAGACTAGATCGCTGATTATCACGCCGCCATCCCGGGCAATGACGCCCAGAATATAGTCGACTGATGCAGTCGCAGGAACAGTCACTATGCTCGTCTTGGGTTTGTATGAGGGGTCGATCGGTGCGGCTGGTGTGGGAACATGTGTCCACTCAGAGGTAGGTTTCATCCTGCTAGAGTTTGAACAAAAAGGAAGAGAAAGAAGAAACCTCCAACGGAAAGTCGATAATTCACGAATCAAAGAATATTTGTTAGCAATGCCAGAGGTAATTTAGGGAATATCTTTATATGTCCATTCCAAAGGTCCGAGTTTGCTACAAGTGGATAATTGATCGGGTCTGTATCCGATCTACTACTAGATACAGGAAGGTTAATTGCGGGGGGGACACAATCTAACCGGATGTGGAGAAAATTATGAGAGCCACCGGACCGAGACACTATGTTCTGTAGAACAATACCTCATTTGGTAACTTTTCAAAGGTCGAAGGAAAGGTATACTTAAATTGGCTTACTTTTGGGGTTGTTGCCAGTGTCAAGATAGAAGCCCAGGATCGCCTTCCATGTCATAAACATAGAGAGACTCTTTCAAACCCGTATCACACGATACGGCAAATAAGCATGTTTTATATCTACCAGTAATAATACCAATCCCTTTTTACAGATCCAAGACATATAAAAGAGCCTATAATTAGTTAGAGGCCTAGGATTCCTGGTAGTGTTGGTATGAACTTGGCCAGATCCCTACAAAGTATTGAAATTCCACTTTTCTTCTCATTCATTGATCATTGGAGCAGTGCAAATGTGCACATTAGCTCGGGGGCTGCATACGACTTGAGGCCGTTAAATAGCACGAGGGATAAATAAATAAATAGATAAAAAACTAAAATTTAATAAAGTACCCCAATGATCGATTAACTAAAGAAGTTCGTTCAGCACTGGACACATTTTACTGCAGATGAAAGTATCAGATTAGGTACAAGTTCAAGGAAGTGAGCAATGTTTCCAAAAGGTTAAGAAGCGTATAGTATGCTAAATCTTTCCCGCCCTAACAATGTGATCAGTCTTAATGGGCGAGACAAACGGTCAAAAAGTTGGGGAAGTTTTCCCAAATCCTTCTTCAATGGAGAGAATGAAATAAATGTGAGGAGCCTCCTGCCAGCGGTTGGAGATAAATGCTAAGTAGATGGCAATATTCATTCCACAACAGGTTGTCTGGCTCATTTATCAGCAGCTGCTCCTACTACATCATTCTCAACGACATCTCCTACCGTATTGCCTCTATTGGCTGCTCCGCCGCATTGCCCGCCTGGGATGGCCCCGGCGCACTCTGCTGTGGGTTCTGCTGTGGGTTCTGCTGTGGGTTCTGCTGTGGGTTCTGCTGTGGGTTCTGCTGTGCATTTTGTGTAACGACATTATTGCGCTGAGCGGCAATAAACCTTCAGTTGCCTTCTTTCTCAACAGCAGCAATGCGAGGTAAATCATATTCACCCTCATTATAGACAATGTCTAGGTCCTTCGCCTCAATGTAATATTTCGTGTTCTCCAGTTGATTAGTGCTTGACTTGTAGTCTTCCGACCACTTCAAAGCTTTCAGCGTGGAGATAATGGCGGCAAGACTTGCGTTGAATCCATCTAGGATTGTAACGGCCGTCCGGTGATTGTCTGTGGGTGTAAGAACTGTCACAGCCACGCCAATGACTATTTGAAATACCGATAGAATCAGGTCTACCGAATAAGAAGCACGATAGCGAAATCTGTGCTTTCTGAGTTTCCTGATCACTTGAGGATAAAAAAGATCCGTCTCGGCATCACGCCGGTGAATTCCGACCCGATCACGAAAGAGATCGAGAGACTGGTTGCCTGGTACGGGGTCCATTGAAGCTCAAAATACCAGGATAGAATTTGAGGACAAAATTTATCTTGATACCGCAGTATGTTCATGGAGAAATTTCTCAACAGATCTTCGATGGCCGAACTTCTTATATCAAACTAGAAGAGATCCCGAGTTTAGAAATTACGTACCTATGAACAACATGATCGCTCTAATGGCAAAAGCTACTTCATAATCTAACTGATTGCAGCAAAGACAGTAGGGTTGCTGTGGCCGATGACCTATACTCTGTTCCAGGTCATGGTGCATTAACTGTTCAGATATTCATATGAGCTGATACTGGACTAGAAGATTACTTCATATATTTTCGTTTTTTTGCCTTTAAAAAAAGAACCCATGGCTCAGTCAGTTATAAGTGGCAAAATGTGTTCCTCCCCGATTATGCGCTGGTATACGCCAATTCACAGATGATTACTTTGACCGTGATGATAGCCAACAGGCATAGATTCAGGCTTCAGGCATAGATTGCGACCTAATCAATGACAACGGACACGGAGTGATTTTGCATGGGTTGCCCCGTTAGTTCTGGACAATGCAAGACTTAGTTTTCGTCGGCGTTGAATTGAGCCCCAGCCCGGGGTGACCTAGGAGGCTGAGCGGACCCGCCCCATTGATATGCATCACCCTGCATGTACCCCTCCTCATGACAAAGAAATGTATCATTCAAGTTCGGGCCTGGCACTGTGCATAACCTGAACAACTATCTTCTGAGTCGATGTCATATCTTCTCCAAGATCCGGACCAGCCACTCTGATTCTTGAACATCGCAACTGATTAATTTCCGCTTTCTCCCATTTCCTCCCATTTTTTTCTCAATATCTCACAACAATCAACAAGAGATAACAACATGGCAGCCACAGATGCACAGAATCTCGAGGACCTAGTGAAAACAGAGCTAGCGTCTCCACCGAGCATATCGCTGCAGATTCTCGGAGTACACATGAATGGGGAACAAAGTGAAATCGACTTTGATCTGCGGATCGAATACTCAAATGAAGCGAAAATAAAGTGTGGAAAGCTTTTGACCAGAAATCAAAATGAATTCCACTCCTGGAGCCAGCAGCAAGACCCCGAAGGTGACTTTTTGGCAACTTCACGTGGCTGGATTGAGGCATGGTTAAGGATGGTGATGAGAGAAAAAGGTACACAGTCTAAATCTATCGTTTAAGGAAATTCGACTAACATAAGCAAAGCTGGATTATCCAAAAATCATGCTATGTCCAAGAGGAAGAACTTACTGCTATTAAAGGTCATCTCGAAGCGCTTGCACGCAGAACTGGATATGGCGGAGATGTAACCTGTAAGGTCCACACTCCACTCTTTGAGGAATTTATCCCCGAGAGCACTGCAATACTTCAAGTAAAATGGACACCTGATAATCTTTTCATTCCTCTGGACAAGGATTGGGATTCTAAGGTAATGAATGCAATGGTCGACAAATGGAAAGGATCCATATCCTTCGATGAGCCAAAGCGATCTCATGGCCGTTCGCCATTTCGCAGAGCCATGAAATCGAATGATACAGCCAAGCTTGTGTCTCATGATCAAAACAAGGCTGGCTCAAAGTATACAGTGCTGAAGTATTCGAAGTGGGGATCTAGTACCTGAGAAGCAGGAACTTGAAGTTTCCGTGTTTCAAGATCAATTTATCTTATCAATGTGCAATTTCTATATAAGTTTTTAGCTCTCTGAAGAGGAAAGATCTCTTTTCGTAAGAAATAACGGTTTTGGATTTATCTTTGAGCGCAGCAACGATGATTTTTACGATCTACTTTTGCACAATGCCATTGCATTGCACTTACCTTCTATCTTTCTGAACAATGACTGCCTGCAAAGTTGCCTACTTTTCAGTCTCACCCGATTTAATCTACTAAATCGCCGTTCGAGTTCTCACAAAATGTAATAAATGCTAACTCAATTGAAATAACAGGGAAATAAATACTTAAATGATGAGTTCATCTCGTTTCATCCCCTTGTGTGCATTCACAAAACAGCAACGAAACATTCAAAGCAATACAGAAACAAGCGCAGAGATCCAGTGAATCCCTTAATCAACACTGGTAGGGAGGCAACTCATCTCCGGAGTGCTCAATCCCAACTTCAAAATTGTCTGCGGATGGATCGAAGGCATACCCACTCTCGCCGTTACCAACGCACTGTTCAATAAGGGCATGATGAACCCGAGCCCAATCGTCTGAGTCTCATGGTAATCTGCTCGCACTTGGCACAAACATAGGCGAGGCAGGTTCCAAAACTTGCTTGGTGACAATAGCCAGGGTCCACCAAAATATCAGATTTGTAGTTTGCAAGCTGGTCTGCCAGTCGCTTGCAGTCATCCCAAATAGGAGGGTGTCCAGAGTGCTGTTATGAATGTTAGTCAAACTTGACTTAAATTGGACTCTAGAATCTGGGACGGTGTTTTGCTATTTAGCACTCACTCCCGAGCAATCTATGGTCACAGCTCGCTTTTGAAGACCGTCGGATCGAGAATTCAATGTCGTTGAAGACGTTTTGGTCTTTGTATCATCGCCCTTGGGTCGCTTAGTTGGGCACATAATGGTAACCAATATAAAAAGGTCCAGACGAGATTAACAAATGGGGGTAGTGCAACACGCAGGTTCTGCTGAATAAGAGAAAATTATTTTGCAAGAAACAGCGCGTTGCCGACTCACATCAGGCGTAAACCATTGAGCCCTTGAGGTTTTAGAATGACTACGTAATAAATTAAATTCTCACTCTTGCTACTCAACTCTAAGAAAGAAAACCTAGGAGGTTATTTTATTCCGATATACCGCCCTGTATATCTTAAAAGCTTGATTATAATACCTATATATCTAAATAAAGATAACAATCCAAAGATAGCTCGTATAATTTCTCTGATGCAGCTCTTCTCGGGAGGCACCATTTCACAATCATTCACGAGTGGTCCAACCAACGATGGCTCCAAACCTAGCACCTTCCAAGCTCGAGATTATCCATGATATGATCAGCAGTGGCGAACTATCTATAACCGAGATGGCACAGGCCGCTAATTGCAACAAGAGCACCATCTCGAGGATCTTGTCCAACATAAGATTGTTTGACAGCGTCAAAACACCTCTAATTAGAGGCAGACGACCCCGTAGTATCACTCCAGTCATGCTCGAGGCCTTGTGCGATCATCTGATTGTAAAGCATGCCCTATATTTGGACGAATTCGCTCTTCAAGTAACGAAATGGAGCATCAGTCGCGCCCTTAAGTCCAAAGGGTGGTCGAAAAAGACTGCTCGAGTCAAGGCCCGAGAAGGCAACCTTGATCTCCGAGACGAATACCACCATTTTATTTCAGACTTCAAGTCTTACCACCTTGTCTATGTCCATGAATCTGGCTGTGATAAAAGGATAGGCTTCAGGCGAACGGGTTGGTACCGCACCGGTTCAAGTATCAAAGTTTCATCGTAATCAACGTTATCACATTCTGCCTGCATATGCGCAAGATGGCATTGTTTTGTCTCGAGTATTCCAAGGATCAACTGACGCGTCCGTCTTTAAGGATTCTATCGAGCAGCTTCTCCAGCACTGTGGAAAATGGCCCGAGCAGAAGTCCGTGCTAGTCATGGACAACGTATCCTTTCATCACTCAGGCAGAATTGAACAGATCTGCTCGGAAGCTGGCGTAAAGCTGGTGTATTTGCCTCTATATTCTCCTGATTTGAATCCGATCGAGGAATTCTTTGCTGAGCTCAAGGCCTCTATCCGGCGTAATTGGCAATCCTACGAAGAAAACCCAGATCAAGGATTCGATAACTTCCTCGATTGGTGTTTTGATGTTGTTTGTGCGAGGGAGAAAAGCGCGGAGGGACATTTTCGGCACGCTGGCCTAGCTGTAGTGATATAGCGCTGCTGCGGCAGCAAAGTTCGGTACTCACCTCACAAGCTAAACGGAACAGATCCGTTTATGGGCATCATTGTGAATCACATTGTTCTGAGACACGAAATCCAAAAATTCTTCGACATGCCAATGTCTTCGTTCTAATTTATAATGCATTGTTAGGATATCTAACCACCCGCTAAGTCGTAAGCCTGCAAGATATCCCAAATGTGTCGATCCATCTTCTCTGACAACCAGCTCCTCTATATCACAAAGGATTCTATCAATTCATGATAGGTGCAATGGCGCGGTGGACATAAGAGTACTGGCGCCATGCGCCAGTGCGTTAAAAATAGATCTAGAATTTGCCGAATAGCCGGTGATAGTCAAGATTTAGAGTGAGGGCGTTGATGGTACTGTCAATATTACAAAGAATAACTATGTATTCAACCTTAGGGAGGCTGGCTGTACGGAAGAGACAACACACATATAATAAATGTACTAAGCAGATGGAACTTTTCTTAAACACTTGGATTGGAACCAACCAAAGCATACTGAGGGTATCTCTTCTCACTTTCTCGAAAATTAATCTTTCTTCACCTCCACCTTTTGAACACTCCTCAGACCCCAGAAACTCACAGCCACCGATATGAACCCTAAGGAACAATTATACCACCAAGCAGCTTTATACCCGAGCAACAAACTCTCCGTAGTGCCCGGTTTCCCCGCCTGGGCAGTGATCTGTCGCGCAATCAACGCCGACGTAGCGATCCCCACGCTCTTGCCAACCTGTGATAGCATATTGAAGACTCCACCTGCTAGGGCCTGTGTCTGGGGTGGAAATGCGGCTGTCATTACTAGGATGGCGATCGTGTACATAAGGTCCGCACCGAGGGGGTTGAGTGCCATTGCCTGGAAGGGACCCCGCCAATAGTTCGGCCCGTCAAGACGGCACAAGGTGGCTAGTAACAATGGGGCGATGCCGCTCACAAAACAGGCTACAGGGACCGCGATAGATGGCCGCATGCGCGGAAGGAATGCGCCAATAGCAACGTTCATCAATAAGCCGCAGATCGGCGCGGGTAGGAAGTATAGAGATGCGGTCAGAGTGGACTTGCCTAGAACGTCTTCGAAGTAGAGGGCCGCGAGTTGTTCGCTAGCGTTCAAAGTACCCCAGACAAGGAAGACGGTAATGCACATGGATGTAAATGGTAGGTTGGTCCATAAAGCATTTGGAATCAAAGTGGGACGAGACATTCGGGACTGGTGACGCATCCAAAGCGCAAATGCCGGTAGAAGTGCTATTGCTATGCATAGCAGGGCGATATTCAAGGGTTCACGCATGCTCTGATTCGCATTTGATCCCGTTGCTACGGCTAGCTCGTAAGAGAGAAGCGCGAGACATGCGCTGATGAGTAATGCGCCGACCCAGTCAATATCATGCACAAGACGTGAGAATGATGCCTTCTCTAAAATACCATCTATGGTGGGTGGGAGTGCCCATACCGCCAAGGCGAGTACACCAGCATTAAGTATAGCCGTGGCATAAAAGCCCCAGCGCCAGCCGACTGTATCAGAAATCACCCCTCCTAGCACCAAGCCCAGTCCAAACCCGATAGCCTGGCCACCACCCATAGCAGCAAATGCAATACTACGACGGCGTGGGCTGCTGCTGGCGGGAAAGACATGTCCAGCGGAGCCGATAGCTCCAGGAAGACAGAATGATGCAGCGAGACCCCCTGTAACTCGCAACGCGATAAGTTGAGTCGAGGTGGCTGCAAGGCCTGCACCAAGTGCGCTTACGGTCTGAAGCAGCCCACCAAGCAAGCAGGAACGCCGGCAGCCAAGGACATCAGCAACCGCACCGCACGGGAGTAGCAAGCAGCCACAGGCGAGCGCGAAAGCAGAGGCTGGCCAAAGCTGTAAATCTGGTGGGATATGCAAGTCTTTTGAAATCACCGGAACGCATACAGTAAGTAGTCCACTGAGCAGATTTCCGATACCAGTAATACAGGTAAGAGAAGCATTGATTGCAATGGTTCGACGCAGAGAAGCAGGTGCGTCTGGTTCGACTTCCATGACCATAGGAGAGGGCGTGTCTCTAGGATCTGGCTGCGGAGCCGAAATTGAGTGTTCTTCAGAGCTTTCAGCGAAAATCATGATGAAACTTTATCTTTTACGGAAGGTAAATCCGACCAGCGGTATGGAAGGAGCTCATGGGCTTCACGAGGCGCTGACCCAGGTGCTGGCCCAGATGAAGGCCCCGTGTTCTTAGCCCTACTATCATGTGATCCTATTGGGTATAATCACCTTGAGTGGGGACTTGAAGCTGATATAATATTGACCTCATTACATCGTGGACAAAATCTACTCACAATGGTGACGCCTATTATCGTATTAATATCCGACAGTATCCTCTCTATCATGATAGTATAGGGGTGCACACGATAAAACGATATAACGATATCGTACCGTCAATTCAATTTTTGGTCGTCTATCGTACTAAGGAGGTATTGTATTATAGTATTTCAAATATATATTTTTGGTTCGTATACAAAATTTCATTTATAAAAGGACCTCATATCGCTCTGCTTTTGCGCATTTAACTTTCTAGCCTGTATCACACTCTTATGCCTATAAAGATTTAATATAATCTACGCTGAGCCTTCTTCTTGCTGCTCTTTATATAGGTATAGTATCTCTAATGCCTTTCTAGCATTGTCTATTGATACCAATGGTATATCAGGCAATACAGATGTATCATCATTATCCACTTCTTCCTCAAATCAACTGAGTACTATATTATCCAAGGTCTTTGTAATGGTTACTAAGTTGTCTGGCTAGAGACCTGTGACTAGGCAAGGATATCGGACAGTAGAGATCAGATTGGACAGTTGATACACAGACTGATTCTTGAAGAGATCAAGAATCCTGAATGTTTGTGGGATCTTAAATACACTAGGGTTCGGGTGGGCCTCGATATGCAGGCGTCTCGAAGGGGATTCGACCCTGAATCGACCTCGAAAGTCCGGGGTATCATATACTCGAACCCCGTGACACTAGGGTAGAGTTCCTAGGATCTCTAGAATTTCTGGGAGCTTATTTGTAGCTTCTGGGTCCTGTGTACCCCGCTCCTGGGGTTAGTTTACTAATTTCTGTGAGTCAACGGGTTTCTAGGGGTACTGGGTCCACCCTTGACTTTCTACTGTATTTAGGGTTACCTAGGTATAGGTTTGGTGGGGAGGGGGGCCAGTTCCAAGTTACTATGCTCGTTGGTTATCGGGAAGAGAACCCGAACTTCGTCCAAGTGGATTCTTACAGCATACCAATGGATCCAGTGGGGTTGGGCACAGATTATTACAAGATCTAGAGATATAGGAAAACCGAGAAAACAAATTTATAATTAAGAAGTATGTCATGAACGTCAGATTTTGAAATGGATTAACCATACCTTACATACCCTAGCTACACCAGACCAAAACACCGCATAAGCGCCCCTAAAGGAATCAAAATACAATCAACACTATGTAAATATGCTTGACCAACTCAACAGAAGCTCTACCTAGCAGCTTCAGGCTTGGCCAGCATGTACCGCACAGCGTCCTTCGCCACGGGCGTCTCCCATGCACTGTTATTGCCTCCCGGCGGAACTCCGGGCCGTTTGAATCTGCAGAATCTCCAACGATAGTCTCGAGATCACGGCGCTGGGAGTTGACCCAGCGACGGAGGAAAGCCACGGGGTCCTTGCTCAAGGCTGTGTAGAACGAGTGACGTGCGTGGGAGTGAGTGAGCGCTTGGACGATGAGAGCGACCTGGTCGTCCAGCGAGGCGATCTGCCGCATGCCAGCGGTGTATTTGGGGTTCTGCGTCAGGGCCATCATCTTGGTGCGCAGCGGATCTTCAACGGCAACACGAATATCATAGATGGTGGGGGTAGGTTCCTTGTGGAAGTCCTCGTCGACGCGAATAGTGTAGGGGAGCTTGATGGGATCCATAGGGCTTGTGTGAGGTCCAATACTCTCGGGGATTTGAGGGAAGAACATGGTTTCGCGGCCGAAAATCTAAGGAAAGTTAGACAAACGAGATTCTAGGCATATCCAAAATTCCTGCTCAGATTGTTACTTACCGAACGAAGACGGTGGTCACAGCGCACCTGGCGCTTCTCCTCATCCTCTTGCAGTTCCATGGCGCGAATGTAATCCCAGATGCCCAACACAATTCCGCTGCGAGTCTCCTCTTCGACATCAAGCACTTCAGCCAGCTCCTTGCTCAGCTTGTACCGCTCTGGAGTCTCGTCCCGCACAAGGTTGACTGTGACGTTCAGGTTTTCTTGGGATCCGCGCGAAAACTGAATGCTATCGAATTCGGCGTTTGGCGGGGAGAGGGCGCGTTCGGCGGTACTTGAGGCTTGTTCCAGGTAATTGGCTTGACTTCTTCGGGAACAGCAGTGGCCGGCTTGTCGAAATCGACGGTGATGGTCTTGAAGAAGTGAGAGAAGCGCTGGGATTGTTTCTTCAACTCAGACTTCTCCTTGTCTCCTTCTTCCTTGTCCTGGTCCATCGCATCATCACCAGCGCTCGCGGAATTTTCCTCATCATTCTCTGGGATGGTAGGGTCGTTGTTATCATCCAAGAGGCGGCCTTCGATGCGCACCTTATACCGACCCGATCCGGGAGTGCTGCTGGCGTCCTGCCAGGGCTGGCTCTCGACGGTGTTGGTGATCCAGATGCGCATCGTTCGGTATTTCTTGACAGTTTTGCTGATAGAGTCCTGGATGTCTAATCGCTTGCGTACGACGGCGGCATCCAATCGCTTCTCCAAGTCGCGAAGATTCTTGTATTGTTCGACACCCTCGCCGATGATGACTTCCTCGATTCCGTCAGGGATATTCTTGTCGGTTGGCTTGCGGCTACGGCGCAGAGCAGGATCATTGGGGTGTGGCATCGCGCGCTGCACCGGCATGTATTGAGGGTTGACAGCGTGTTGAGGCATTGGCATGGGCATCGCGCCTAGACGACGTTAGATGGGGCTGGATGGAAGGGAAGGGTAAGGGGAGCTAACCAGGCGCTGGGGCACGACGAGGTGCGGCTGGAGACCGCTGGGCGGTCGGGGGGAAGCCCCGGGCAAAATTAGGCTGCATGGGAGCGTTCATTGCCGATCCAGAAAGCAGTGGACTCCTGACGTGGAGATGGGTGGAGGATGAGGTCGAGCGAGGGCGACGGGAGGTCGCGATTCTTTTACCGCCTTACCCGATTAGGAAGGTCGCGAACTGCCGTTACCACAACATGAACAACGAGTGGTTGGATAGGTTGGCTTAGCATTTTAGATAGCATTGTCGGATAGAATTCATATATTTGATTACAATCATTCAAATATATTATCAGCACGGCACTGGCGTGGGGCTAGGATTACGCATTATGGTTTGGATGGAGGTAGAGTGATGGTCGTTATAGATCCATTAGTTCCCATGATCTAGTATCATTGCATAATCCTACTCCCAGATAGTATTCGCTCTACTCCAGGAGCGAGGCCTGGTTAGTATACAGTCCTTCCACCACATTGCTCAACTTCTCAATCGTGTCCAGCGCTGCATCATAGGCCTGGTCACGTTCCGTCTCATCGTACACAATCAGGCACCCAGAGCCTTGATCCAATACACCGATGATCACCTTGTCGAGGATCATCTGTGAAAGCTTGCGCTCCACCTGTTGGACGTCCAGACCGACCATCTTGGCAATGTGATCCAGCTCCACCCGGCTGAAAGGCTCAATGACCTTGATCAAGTTTTGCTCCAACATGGCATCATAGAGGCGGCGAAGGTGATTCCGGATAAAGGTGTCACTGCCGAGTTCATATCGGTAGTCTGAGAGTGCCTTCTCATATTCCTCCAGAGAACGATTGGCGTGGGCGCGGGCCACAGCCTTCATGGCCTCCAGACGTGCACTGGCGTACTTCTGGGCCTGTTTGGAGCCGAGCAGCTGGGTTACATCATCCACCAGGTTCAACATAATCTTACACAGCAGCATGTACTGTAGAGTGGCCGTGGCAAGCTCGCCCTCGTCGAGTGAGCTGTATCCCTCCAGCGCCTCAATGAAGTATGAGTAAGAAGTGTTGAAGTCTTTGTCCTCAGCGTGCAGCATACCACTCTGCATGTCTAGACCGGCCTGCAGATTTGGAGGAGTGTAGACGGACGCAGCTGATGTTCGTGCTGCTGTGAGAGCAGCCCGGGCCTTGGCCTGGTTGCCCAGGGCATGGTACACACGAGACTCGAGCAATTGCACTTCCACCAGCATCAACTTATCATCAAGGCGCTTCAGCTCGCGGAGAAGGGAGTTGATGAGAGTAAGGGCATCGTAATATGTCTGCTTCTGCATATAAATCGCGACGAGACGGGCTTGGAGGTTCTGTCGCAAGAAGGACCGTCGTTCGGCGACGGCCCACTCTATGCATGAATTGATGACGGCGACTTGAAGATCGAGAGTGTTGGGGATTCCGCTGATGAGATCAAGGAGCTGACGGACTATAAAGAGTGGTTAGTTACGATCGTCTCAAGCCTTTGATGACGCCGCTTACCCAGCTTGGCTGTCTTTGCTTTGGCAAATGACGAAAAGGTGTCTCGGCTGGTCTTAATGAGGTCCGCAATCTCCTGCGGCTTCTTCGCATCCCGATGCAGCTGACCCAATCCAATCAATGCATGTTCATAGTCTCGCGATGAGGTTTCTGTGGACCCTGGCCCTTCGGAGAGGATCTTCTGATAACTGCTAGCGGCTTTCGAGGGGTCCTGCTTCGACAGGTCCCGGACCTCCTGTATCCGCGGGGACACCTTGGTGGCAGCGGACATTGTGGAGAGAGATGTGAAGAGAGAAGCTCAGAAAACAGGCAATTCAAGGGTTGTAGGGACGTCAAGGGTAGATGATGAAAGGTTGACTAGACCGGACGTGAGTCGGGGAGCTTGGAAGCTGGCAGCTGCCGCCGGCCTCACCGCCCGCTTAGCAAATCATCCCGTCAACAGAAAAAAAAGTTGTCTCCGCCCGGGATTTTCTTTGCATACAATACGCCACCACAAAATGGTCAGTTAGGACTGCATTTGTCCCCTGTTTAATCTTGATACTAATTTGTCAATAGAAAATCAAAGCTCTTTCTCGCTCTACGGAGTCGCAGCAGGCCCCCGGGTCCGGCGTCGTCCGCCAGTCGCGCAATCTCGACCCGTCTCAACATCCATTTGAGCGTGCTCGTGAGTACACCCGTGCTCTGAATGCCATTAAGATGGAGCGTATGTTTGCTGCGCCTTTCTTGTGTCAAATGGGTGATGGTCATGTGGACGGAGTGTACAGCATGGCGAAGGATCCTGGCTCGCTGGAGCGGTTTGCAAGTGGCAGTGGTGACGGCATGGTGAAGGTGTGGGATTTGACTACTCGCGGAGAAGTTTGGGAGACACAGGCACACGAGAATATGGTGAAGGGTGTCTGCTGGACCCCGGACAGGAAACTTCTGTCTTGCGCAAGCGATAAGACGATCAAACTATGGGACCCGTACAACTCTTCACCGGATGCACCTCCCATGACCAGCTATCTGGGCACTGGTGCCTTTAACAGTGTCTCGCACCACCGAAGCGATCCAGCCTTTGCCGCTGCCTCAAACATGATCTCAATCTACGACCTTTCTCGGCCTTCGTCCTCGCCATCGCAGACTATGCACTGGCCTACTAGCGTTGATACAATTACCTCGCTTGCATTCAACCAAACCGAAACTTCGATTCTTGGCTCTACTGCCCTTGACCGTTCAGTCATCCTGTACGATTTGCGAACATCTTCGCCAGTGCAAAAGATGGTTCTCAAGCTGGCCTCGAATGCCATTGCTTGGAACCCAATGGAGGCTTTCAACTTTGCTGTGGCCAACGAGGACCACAACGCTTATATCTTCGATATGAGAAAGACCGACCGCGCTCTGAACGTCCTGAAAGATCATGTTGCTGCTGTCATGGATATCGAGTTTAGCCCGACAGGTGAAGAATTGGTTACTGCATCTTACGACAAGACCATCCGTCTCTGGGACAGAGCACGTGGACATTCTCGTGACATTTATCACACTGGGCGGATGCAACGGTATGTGAAAATCGGATTCTCTTTCAAAAACATCTTACTTATTATGAATATAGTGTTTTCTCGGCCAAATTTACACCGGATAGTAAATACGTGCTGTCTGGATCCGACGATGGTAACGTTCGTCTCTGGCGTGCCAAGGCCTCTGACCGCAGCGGAATCAAGAGTGCTCGTCAGCGTTCCAAGCTGGAATACGACCAGGCCCTCATCAAGCGATACTCGCACATGCCCGAAATCCGTCGCATCAAGCGGCAACGCCACTTGCCCAAGCCTGTTAAGAAGGCTGGTGAGATCAAGCGTGAGGAGCTTGGTGCTATTAAGAGACGCGAGGAAAACGTGCGCAAGCACACCAGCAAGGCCAATCTGAAGTCGAGGACGAACGAGCGCGAGAAGATGATTCTTACTCGCGAGCAATAAACCGACCCACAAAACCTTTTTGCATCTCAGACCGGCTGAGAATTGAGCTGATATTCACATGGCTGCCAAGATATGCAACTGTACAGAGATGTGCAACACCAAATCCGTCTTATATACAGGATAGATTCACTCGCCTCATTCTTCCTTCACATGTGCAAAATTATCAATCCACTCGACGCTTCTTCGCCGCTCTATGGTCATTACGATTCCCCGATGCCACAGCACTGTCAATACCGCTCACATAACGAGCCACCTGCTGTATGGCACCTGGCAAGGCGGCGTAAAGATTCACCAGCTTTGCAAAGGCTGGCAATCTAAGCACCCCACCATGCCCGCTGTCGATCGCAGCAACAATTTCACGAGCCACTTCCACGGGCTGCAGGACTGGAGCAAAAAAGTGGCTCGGTGTCCGAACCCAGTCAAATAACGGCGTGGCCATCTGCCCCGTCTCTACCAGTAACATTTTTATTTGCTCGTGCTCGCGGAGCTCTGATTCCATCGTTCGGTGCAGCGCGCTGAGGCCAGCCTTGCTTGCCGAGTAATCGGTCAAGCCTGCGGGAGACAACTGGCCTAGCACCGAGCTGATGGTCACAATTGTCCCTCCATTCTCGGCCTTGGCTATGATCCCCGGCAGAAAGACCTGATACAGATGAAATGCGGCCATAAGGTTGGTGCGGACCGTCTTCTCAAACGCATCCACGGGTAGATCCAAGAGCGCAGCACCGTTGATTCTTGCCGCAGCGCAATTGATAATAATAGTCGGGGTACCCAACTATAGCCAATTAGCGAATCAGAAAATAAGCAAGGAATTAAGTCAAAACAAATCCCTCCTAGATCCAACATCCGTAAAGAGAGAGAGAGATCAATAAATAAATGTAAACATACCTCCTTCTCAACTCTCTTCTTAACATCCTCCACCTCCTTCCTCACCCCAACATCGCACCGATAATAACAAACCCCTTCACCCAGAATACCCTCCTGCTCATCAATCCCGCCAAACTCCCGAATATCTAAAACAGCCACCGCACCCCCCTTCATCGCATAACTCTGCGCAATCAACAGTCCCAGCCCACTAGCCCCGCCCGTGATAAGCACAACCTCTTGATCCGAATCTACCGTCCGCGGAAGACCATGCGCAACACGGTGATTGATCGTCTGCGCAACGAAGAGCGCAGATAGAAAGATCGCGTATATGACCGCGCCTACAAAGGCCGGTGCCGTGGGTGGTGTAACCTGTGCACGGAGACAAAGGACGACGATCCAGGCGATGAAGGGGGAGAGGAGGGTTCGTTGGAGGACGCGGTAGAGGGTATCAATGGTAAGGTGGTGGGACCAGGGTTTCTGCGACGAGGAGGCCGGGAGCACCGAGTTCGTCGTGATGACCTTGGGTGTAGACATCTTTGGTAAAATGGTGCCTAGACCTCAGTGAGCGGTGCGAGGTTTGTGTCGTTGTCGTTGGTGGTCTGCTGATGGGGCTCTGCGGTGGGATGTTTTTCGCGCTAAGAATTGCGGCGGGTTTTCCCAAGCGGGCTTGGCGATTGGCGATTGCACAGTAGGTTTAGCGCATGGTCGATGGTCCTGGTGATTTATTCCAAGTTGGTATTGTTGTTCGCGCTCCCTGCTTGGAGAGCTGTTGGGTTGGTTTGGGTGTGAGTTCACAGCTTGAACTCGGGGAAATTGGGCCAGGCGCGCGTGGGGCTGATAAGATCGGGATCGGCCCATTAGCACCATTAGAAGCCCCAGATACTCTACAAATGTACGGAAGACATTGCTAACTAGGTCTTTTGAAATTGGTTGGTCATAAAATTAATATATCGGATCGTCAATAAGTGAGTACTACATAAAATGGGACACTTGTTTCCTCCCAAGCTCCTCCTAGAACTCCATCAGGATGTCTACCCAAGAAGATATCTCCCAAAAGTCGTAACCTGACCCCATACCCTCCTCGGAGTAGATGAATCGGAGAGATTCAAGGTATGACTGAACGTTTTCGAAGCCGGGTCCTCCTTCAAAATGTCTAGGTCTGAAGGCTCCTTAGAGAGAGCGAAGCCATGTCCTGCCCGTGGATGCTTTCGATATCCCTCTTCATCCTCAACCTTCGGTTTAGGACTAGTGGGCACTGGACTGAAAGTCTTCTGCTGCACTATTGAAGCAGCAGAGGGCATTGTGAGTTCTGGATTTTTCGATGAAATGTCGACCAGGAGGTCGACTAATTGGGCATGAGAAAGACGGGAGAAGTAGGCACGCTTCTCATCTGTATTCATCGATGCACTTCCGAATTCTGATAGACCTTTTTGTTGAACTGGAGTATTTGGTTCCTGTGCCTTGGGAGGGCGAGTGCCAGTGGACCGACGCTGACGATGCACGCAACGGTGGCAGTGCCACTCTTTGTCCTCGTCCAGAATAGCATCATCAGGAATCTCAGGGTAATGACACTTCTGGTGCCAAGTCGACTCACATCCACTGCAGAATACAATTGGATTTGATTTGGGGGTGGTGCCACGGTCACATTTGGCGCAGATGATGTTGGCCATTTTCTTGCGAGCAGACCTTTGGCGTTTGCCAGGAACGGTCACGGGAACTGGATTGGGGACGTAGGCTGTGGGGGCTTTGATGGCTCTCCCAGAACGACTCATTCGAGCATTGGGTGATGGGAGGACTTCATCGACGGAATCTTCGCGTTTTATGCTAAAATCCTCTTGCGATTTCTCCTGCTTGAAGGTGATCTTCAGCCGTTTCGCCGGACGGTCGGATGACTCTTCAGACACATCGGCATTGTCTCGAGGAGAAGTGGACATGGTGTTAGGGAGGCAGATGGCTGCCTGTGTCTCTTTTATAGGTAACAGAGGTCGGCCTTGCGGGAGACGGGAAAGAGGGTTCGGAACCTAAATCGTGGTTGAGCTGGCGGACAGAAACGTGAAAGGCCGGATAATTATAAGAAAAATTATTTAAGTAATCGGGCCAAACAATGACGGTTCATTCAAACGCGGCTCAGCATGGCACAATGCAAGCACTGGGAAGGAAAGGAGATGTCGTCCCGCCCAAGGTCTGTATAGCCTCACGTGATCGCCAACGAACCCTGAAGTTCTGAAAGCATGAGGTGTTAAATTGGGGTAATTAAACCCTGGGGAGATTTGAATACTCTGCTATAGCTCAAAGTAAGAAAATATACGTAGTGAGTATATTTGATTCGTCTATGTACATTTGTGCAAGTCTTGTATATCTACACTGCATTCTCCGCCGTCCACAGGCTATGACAGCACACCCTCCTCCTTCAACCGAGCAATATCCGCTTCACTATATTCCAAGACTTCACCCAAAATCTCATTGGTGTGTTGCCCAAGAGTTGGGGGAGGGGTACGAACGCCGGGTGTCGCCTCAGAGTATTTGATGGGAGTGTTGACCAACTTAATGGGACCACAAGCCGGGTGGTCAACCTCTGTTACCATGTCTCGGGCTTGCACTGTAGAGAGAACATTAATGTCTGTAGCATATTTGTGGGGAACAAGAGTAGCATACCGTGTTCATGGTTCAGTGTTCCTTGAATGTCGTTGACTGCCGCATATGGCATTCCACTGCCTTCAAATATATCCAACCACTGCTTAGTCGTCTTCTGTTGGGTTGTATTTTCAATCATCCCATCAATATCAGCACGATGCTGCACACGGTCGCTGTTAGTGACAAAGCGAGCATCAGTCTTCCATTCAGGAAAGCCTAGACGATCACATAGCACGCCAAAGAGTCGGTCATTGCCGCCACCAAAAAGAATGTCGCCATCCAGTGTCTTGTAGCTTCGGTAAGGGACAATCGACGCTGATGATTATTATTAGCATGCCGCTAGTCCTATTTTCCAGTGTAGAAGCCACTTACGATGCGCGGTACCCCATCGACCGGAGTCCTTCTTGCCACTAATAAGGGCAGAGCTAGCCAGATTCGACAATGTTGCGACTTGGCAGTCGCTGAGACAAGCGTCAATATGCTGCCCCTGCCCGTGCGAGCACGCGCAAGCAAGGCTGCCATGATAGCATTGGATGTATATAGACCAGTGGTTAGATCAGTCACTGCCACGCCGACCTTGACAGGCGCGCCATCTCGCGCTCCGGTGATGTGCATCAAGCCCATCTCGGCTTCCACCATGACATCGTAGCCAGCACGGTTGCTGTACGGTCCAGTTTGCCCATAACCGGTGATACTGGCATATATAAGCTTGGGATTGATTTCTCGTAGAGTCTCATAGTCCATTCCATATTTCTTCAGGCCCCCAGGCAAGTAATTTTCGACTAGGACGTCGCATTCCTTCGCAAGCTTGTGAAGAATCTCAACGCCTGACTTGTGCTGGAAAGACAATCCCAGGGACTTCTTGTTGCGATTGACCTATCAATACGGTCAATACTACTATATCCAGTGAAATTTGTCCCAGGTGAAGGTGCTCATACGGCCAGATAATAGGCGCTCTCGCCCGGTCCGGTCTTAGATGGGTCCTCGTACTGGGCATATGGCGGGCCCCAGGCCCGGGTGTCGTCGCCACGCACAGGGTGTTCGACTTTGATGACATCCGCTCTAAGCATGGCATGTTAGTGTTTGAATTTTAACTTCGATCTAGTAAGCGTGAATAAGAGGCTTTAGTACCCCCACTTACCCCAGATCACCAAGAATTTGAGTGCAGTACGGCTATATCAGACGAAACTAGGTCAGCACAGAATCACAACATGTCCAGGACATATGTACTCACACCAGCCAGCACTCTGGTCATATCAAGCACGCGAATACCTGACAGGGGTAGCGTATCACTCAAAGGCGAAACAGCACTGGAGTAGCTCCGCAGCGGCATGCGACGCCAGGCATTGTAGGAGCAGCCAGGGCTGACGCGGCGAGAAATTGCCTGAAACCGAACAGCGACGCTCATTATATAATATCGAAAAAGTACAGCGCGGCCAACAAAAGAAGAAGAAGAGAATGAACCAAAGCACAGCACCCTCGCACAGCACGTTTAAAGGAAACTGGGGATAGATCGAAATTCCGCTAAAACGCCGACACCGCTCGGGCAGCGGGCCCTGAAGCCGAGGTCGACCGAAGTAACCCCAACTCTTCCTGCCCTCCTCCAATCCAATCCCTTGCAGATCCACTCCGCAACAATGTTTACTGGTCTTGTCGAGACGATCGGGAGTGCGTGACATCTTCCTGCTCCTTCTGCATAATGTCATTCAGACTAACAGACCTCCTTCTTCAGCCGTCACGGCCCTAGAGCCCCTCGATACCTCGCAGAGCGGGGGCGGGGGCACTTCGCTCACCATCTCCGACTGCGAGGAGATTCTCTCGATGCCCACCTGGGCGATAGCATTGCTGTCAATGGTACAATCCTCTACAGATAAAGCTCGAATATCCCGGTGGGTCATACCTGGCTAACACTTCTGGGCACGGAAGGAACTTGCCTCACAGTCACCGAGTTCGACAAGACCTGGTTCAAGGTCGGCGTCGCCCCAGAAACTCTTCGACGCACGAATCTCGGCTCCCTAACGACCAGCTCCAATGTCAATCTCGAACGTGCGGTTTCGGCAGATACCCGCATGGGCGGGCATTTCGTGCAGGGCCACGTCGACACTGTTGCACAGATCTTGTCCGTCACACCTGATGGCAATTCCTTGGTCTTCCGCCTGCAGCCGCGTGATAGAGATATCCTCCGCTACGTCGTTGAGAAGGGTTATGTCACCCTGGATGGTGCTAGTCTGACTGTTACCAAGGTCGTTGATGGCGAGGATGGATACTGGGAGGTCATGCTCATTGCCTACACCCAAGAGAAGGTCGTTACAGCTGGTAAGAAGGCCGGTGAGCTCGTCAATGTTGAGATCGACATTGTGGGCAAGTATGTTGAGAAGAGCGTCGCCGGATACTTTGCTGGCACTGCCGGTGGGGATTTCGCCATTCTAGAGAAGATGGTGTCCCGCCTGGTTGATGAGAAGCTGAAGAAATAAGTATTTTTAAAAAAAGAAAGAGATTCACGCATTGATGCCATTTACGAGGATCTAAATTAAACAAGAAAGCGTCCAAATTATTCTATCTCAAAACTTTTTGATTCATTCCGTAAATCTTGTACATGTACATTGGGCCGTGAAGAATGGGTATAAAATGGGGGTGACTGCCTAGGATGTGGCTGTTCGATCCATGTATGGTGAAATCGATCGCAAGCCCGAACTGGACTGCATTTTATACCCCGATCGGGATGACAGTCTTCGAAACATGCTCATTATCACCATGGAATAGACCTTGAAGACTTGGGCTGGGGTCGAGAACCATGTCCGGTCTTGGAGGGGTGTTATGGCCTTGATGTTCAAGACCATTCGGGGCTGGCTGGTTGGCGGATGAAAGCTCACCCCCCAGCCTTGGTAACTGACAATTATGAAATTATCAGATCCTTCACTCCTCCATAGACTCATCCGAGTCGTCTTCGTCCCCTCCTTCATCATCAAAGTCATCGGAAAGCCAATTCTCGTCGTCCATATCGACATCCTCCTCGTCGTCTTCATCATCGTTGACCTTCTCGCCATTGGCCCTAGCCTTGGCCTTGTCCTTCTTCTTCCGCTCAATGTTCTCCTTTTGCTCCTTCTTGCGCTTCTCCTTCTCCTTGCGACGAACTGCCCAGTTCTGATCCAACTTCCTAACTTCGGCAGCAGACTTGGTGACATAGTCGTGCCACATGATCTTGCCATCGCACACACCATCCTCGACCTTCATAAGTCGAAGCTTCAGGCGAGGTCCAAGCTCGACCAGCTTGACTGCACGCTTCTCAACACCCGGGGTAGCGTCCTTCTTATCGGCCTTCTCTCCCTTCTCGTTAGCCTTTTGGCGTTGAGCTTCCCGCTTGTTGAGGATCTTCCGGGTTGTGCTCTCCGCAATCTCCACCTCGGCATCGGTATCAAGCTCGGTCTCACTCGCGGATGTGTAACCAGCAGCAGACGGGTCCAGCAGATAGTCAGCAGCATCCTCGAGTTTACCCAGGTTGGGAACAGCGGCCTTCTTCTTTTCTCTGTTGCGAATCTCCTTGGGATCTAGGCGACGGATGCGTTTTGAGACGCCGGTTTTCTTTGTGGCGATGGCATAGTGTCGCAGACTCAGGACGTAGGAGTCGTCCTCGGCCTGTTCACGGTTCAGGAGCATCACACGTCGAATTGAAGAAAGGGGTGTAGCTGTGGGGTTGATCGGGGGGGAAGAGTGATTGGAAGATGGTGGTAGTGAGCGCTTCCAGGCGTTTCGGGACTTTGGCGTCTTCATCGACATCGGCGGTATTGAAGTTGTTCATGACCAGCAGAGGGGGGGTCTTGTGGTCCTGACCACCACTTTGAGGGCGCTTCATTGATCGCTCCACGTCTTTGCAGAGTGAGTAGTTCTCGACTTGGAAGTGGAGGGTAGGGCCACGAGGTGTAACCGCGAGTCGCATGTTGGTGTTTCCGGTCTTGGACTTGGAGAAAAGCATCAAATGAGTGACGCCAAGAGGGCCAGCCATCACAGTATAGTCGCGCAGTCGGTTAGATTTGCGTTCCTACAGATATAAGAATTAGATGCCGTTGAAATTGACCAAAGCAGAAGATTTGAACACCATACCTTCAATCGCACAGCGGTGTCGGGCTCCATCATTCGTCGAACATCTTTGACAAGCTGAGTAACACTAGTACCAACTTGCGAAGCGCCGACTCGAATGACCATGGACTTCGGAGTCTTGGTTAGAGCAGCCGCACCACCCTTGGGAGCCGCAGAGGCATTTTGGGGGCGGGTGTGAGTGCGCTTCTTAACGCGAGCCTTTGCCATTGTGATTGGTGATTGGTGAAATATGAAATCACCAACTAATAAAAGGGGGGTTGGAATTGAAAGCTGCAGAGAGATCGGTCTCGGAGCTGGAAGTTTTTTTGGTCTCCAAAAAATCCAGCGGAGAAGGCCCGGATCAACAATCATGCGGATAGCCAGACCCACTTAAATTATTTTGAGGTCGGAGTTGACTTCTCGACCAGCGCTACTTTTCTTCTCTCACCAACGACGCAAGAATGCCTCCAGTCAAGAAGCGCAAGGTCGCCCAAGAGGTGGCCTCCCCGGCCGAGGATAGCGATTCTCAGTCTTCGCGCTCCGAGTCTCCCGCGGCTGAGAACACCACCAACGATGACGGCAGCGCCGAGAATACATCTACACCCAAGTCGTTTAAGCAATTGGGCGTGATCGACTCGCTGGTCGAGGCTTGCGAAATCCTTGGATACAAAGCGCCAACTCCTATCGTGAGTATCTACACCAGAAACCAGCGGGATGGGCTTAGACGAGTATGATCCGTGGCCGGCATTTACCACAATGGATCTTCTGAACCCATTTCTCTTTGGTCTCGATCTTTCTTGGTGAACTAGGCTGACAATGACAAACACAGCAAGTCGAGGCTATCCCAGTTGCGCTTCAAGGAAGAGACGTCATCGGATTGGCCGAGACAGGTAGTGGAAAGACGGCGGCGTTCGCTCTTCCAATTCTACAAAAGCTGATGGAGAATCCGTCCTCCTTCTTTTCCCTCATCCTCAGCCCCACTCGAGAGCTTGCGTATCAAATCGCTCAGGCCTTTGAGGCACTGGGATCGACTATAAATGTTCGCACGTGCTGTCTTGTGGGTGGTATGGATATGGTGCCTCAATCGATCGCGCTCGGCAAGAAGGTTGGTTCTGCATATTAAATTCCCAATTTTATATACTAATATTTTATACAGCCTCATATTATCGTCGCTACCCCTGGTCGTCTCCTCGATCACCTTGAAAACACTAAAGGGTGAGTCGGCGCATACCCACAATTAAGATCAAACTAACTCTCCATGCAGCTTTTCACTTCGGGCACTGAAATACCTCGTCATGGATGAGGCTGACAGAATGCTTGACCAAGATTTCGGTCCTCTCCTTGACAAGATTCTTCGAATTCTGCCAGCTAAACGTAACACTTTCCTTTTCAGTGCTACACTTTCCTCGAAGGTCGAATCCCTACAAAGGGCTTCTTTGTCCAACCCGGAGAAAGTCTCCGTGAGCAGCAAATATTCCACTGTGAAGACTCTCCAATCCTACTACTTGTTAAAACCCCACAAGTGGAAGGATCTCTACCTCTGTTTCCTTCTTAATGAATTCATGGGTCAGTAGCCCCTCTTTAACCTAAACATCAAGAAGAACAAAACTGAGAAAAGAAACAGGTCAAAGTGTCATTCTCTTCACCAGGACAGTTCACGAAACCCAAAGAGTCGCATTCTTACTTCGAAGCCTGGGCTTCGGAGCCATCCCGCTGCACGGTCAGCTTAGCCAGTCTTCTCGACTCGGTGCACTTGGCAAGTTCAGATCGAAGGCGCGTGATATTCTCGTGTGTACAGATGTCGCAGCCCGTGGTCTTGATATTCCAAGCGTTGACGTTGTTCTGAAGTGAGTTGATCGTTCTTGAATCTAGCTGGAGTCGTCTCACTAATTACCATTGCCATAGCTTCGATCTTCCCACCGACAGCAAGACCTATATTCACAGAGTCGGGCGAACTGCACGTGCGGGTAAGAGTGGTGTTGCCATCAGCTTCGTGACTCAGTACGATGTGGAGTTATTCCGTGAGTTCTTCCAGAAAAATGAAACATAGTTCGTTGCTAACGAAATATCAGAGAGAATCGAGGATGCTCTGAACCGAAAACTGCCAGAATATGAGACCGAGAAGGATGAGGTTATGATTCTGGCGGAGAGAGTCAGCGAGGCGCAACGTTATGCCATTATGGAGATGAAGGCATTGGACGAGAAGAAGGGTACCAGAGGAAATAAATTTGGTAAAGGCAAGCGCACGCGTGATAATATGGATCAAGAGGAGGGTTGATCAAGACCATGACGTGGCTGAGCCAAAAGTACTATCGCTACATGTACCTAGTATGAGTTTAATGTCAATAGAAAAGTTCCTCTTTTATTATGTTTGCCCCAACTCGGTTAGATAATACTAGTATAGCCCAGGCAGTTCTGCCCATGAATACAGAAATACTAGTACTCACTAGTACTTACGTCGGCATGTCATTGACAAGGTGTCTACCCAGCTGGTTAGCATCCCCGCAAGATCGACCCCTGTTATTCCATTCAAAATTAGGACTTTTATGCCTCTGCCAGCTTGCCAGGAATAAATAGTATACGTGAGACATAGCTTTCAACCATTCTGATCAAAGAAGAAAATAATAAGCATGCAAAGAACTTCATTACTGCATGAACATGGTATTGACTATGTTGCTAAGTCATACTGCCCTCAAGTGGCAGAAAGGAAACGCTGTCGTCATATTTTGGTTGTCACGGCTCCCTGATAACCGCGTCAAGTAGATCGAGGGAAGCAAAGTCATCCACTGTTGTATTCTGCGGTTGAACAATTAAGCTTGCTGACCGTCCGTACCCGCCTCACGCACAGCGTTAGCAACGCGAGTAGCAAGGTCATCAGCCTCAGATCGGCTAGCAGCCTCGGCGTAAACACGGACAGCATCCTCAGTACCACTGGCACGAGCGAAGCTGCGGCCCTTGTGGTAGCGGGACTGCAGGGACTCGATCTGGCCCTGAAGACCGGCAGGCGACTCAAGCTTGCGCTCGGCGTCGTAGGCCTTGAAGATCGAGCGGTCGTTCACCTCGACGCGGACAAGGCGCGAGGGAAGATCAGTGTAGGTGCCGAGCCACTCCTTCGGGGTCCAGCCCTTGTGAGCGAGGATGGCCTCGACGAGGAGCATGTCGGAGAGAGCATCACCGACGGCCTGGTTGATCAGGTCGGTGAGGGCCTGCAGGCATTCCAAAGCGCGCTGCTGGGCGGGAGACTGGGGCTCGGTGTTCTTGATCGCCTTCAAGGCATTCTCGGAGAAGGTAACGGTACCGTGACCGTTGGCCTCGAAGTAGACACCAACATCGAATCGCAGGGCAGCGTGGTGCAAGTGCTTGACACCAGTGTTGGTGCAGATGATGGGAAGCTTAAGCATCTTCTCAATATAATCAGTGCTAGCGCCATTGGCGTAGGCAGTTTGAACGACGCCGATCTTGAGCTTCGATGCGATTCCGGCGCTGCGGGCAAGGTCGCCAATGAAGGAAGCGGCCAGAGTGGCGATGCGGTCACCGTCGAGGAGTCGGAAAACGTTGCTCTCATCGCTGAAATAGTAGACCAGACGGTCGGCATCACCATCCAACGAAGCACAGCGATCAAGGGGACCGGCCTTAGACGAGGGAGGGGCACGTTGCTTGGTCTTCACGTAGTCGGCACCGCACTAAGAAAAGGTCGGTCAATATATTGCGCCATATGGGAAGAATAGGGTGTGACTTTACCTCGAAGTTCAGGCTGTCGGGGTTGATCACATCATCGTTGATAACCTTGATGTCGATAGGGGTATCAAGGAGCTTAACGAGCTCCCTCAGCTTAGGGCCACCGACACCGTTGGCACAATCGACAGTCAGGGATCCCTGGACCTTAACGCCTCGCATAACCTTCTTGAAGGAGTCCACCAGCTTCTGATAGTATCCAAGCTCAGAGGGCTCGCCATACTCGTATTGTGTTCCAAGGGTATTCTTGCAGCGCACGACGTAGTGAAGCTGAGGGGTGGTCATGTACTTGAAGTCGATGAATTCAACCTCAGTTGCGGTAAGAGCGGCATTCAGCACGCCGACAAGCCGAGAGCCAGAGGCACGAGTATCTCTAGCAAAGACCACGCGGGCGGGGTTGGTCATCTTGACATCGATCTCCTTCACCAGCTCATCGTAGACATCGGCGATTTTGTCCAGAGGGGCATTTGCGAGCTTGGTAGCGTATGCCTCCCACTCGGCCTAAATATCGGGTGTCAGTACGGGGGGGTATGAGGGTTTATCCGGTAATTCGAGGATTTCTCACCTCGAGCATCTCGCCCTAGATTTTCCATGTTGATTAGATATGATCCCAGTCAGAATGCAGGGGTTGTGGGCAATTGTTTACTCACCATTGGGTCAACCAGCTTGACGCCGTTGTCCTCTGCGGGGTTGTGGCTCGCAGTCACCATAACACCAATCCATTGTCCACTGAGCTTCTTGGAGCGCAGACCAGCAAGTAGACCCACAGCAAAGACAACGGTGTTGAGAAGGTCACTGTTCAGATCCGTAGGTTAGGACCGACGTCAACAAAGGACGATCGCGGGGTGTGTGTGGAGGCGGGGCTGATCGAGGCTGAGAAAAACTTACGCCTTCATCCGGAACTATCGTGGCAAATCGAAAAGTGATTAGCTGGAGTTTTGTAGGAAGGAGTTCCTTTGGAAATGCGGACATACCCCTGCGGTGCCATACTCGAAGACCTTGCCCTCAGGCTTCTGGTACTGCAGCGCAGCCTCTGAGATTGCTTTCTTGACAGCTGGAGACGCCATTGTGGCGCGAAAGGCGGCGATCAAAATAAATCTAGCGGATAGAAAATGCGAGTCAAGGAAGTCGAGCAATCGCTAAATGTTGACAGAGAGAGTGAGGTGAGAGGGGAGGTACTTTGAAACAAAAAAAGAACGAGGGGCTTTTGGGTGAGACAATAGCGGCTTAATGCGACGGCCATAGCGGTGAGCCAATAGTGGGGAAGTAGGCGACACGCCGCACGGTCGGTGCGTGGAATTAGGGCCGTGCACACTGGTCAGTGCGTGCACATTACTACGGTATTATGGGGCGCGGCTACGAGGGAGGAGTTCAGAATTGCAATTATTATTAGCAACAGGCCGCCGGGTCCTGTCTCGGCTGTGTCTGTCATACTACATGGGGAAACCCTGACTCGGAAATTCCCACCACACTTTTTGGAAGACTATATTTGAAACAGCCATCTCGATTCACCCAATATTTAGGCTTTCAGTCGGTGGCTGGCGATATCATCTTGCGTATCTTTGATGAGGAACCTGCCCGCAGATGCAATGCATTAGTCACAGAAAATGGGAGGGTAACAACGCATCCACAATGGAGTATAACTCACGAGTACCACCAAGCGGTGGGGACTACCGTGCCCAGGTGCCAAAGGCTGTGGGCATCAATTAATCCATTCCATGGGGGAAAGTCGAGCAATTCCAAGCTCATGGCCAAGATGATCCATGCGACGATCATACCAGGCCAAGCTGTCCAGGACTTGAGATGCTTCTTGTATCGGATGATACTGAAGCCCGTCCACATCAGATTCTGGATGATACCAACTGCGACATTGGCTGCCATGTTGTACGTATAGTCCCAAGACCAGAAGGTCAGATAGCAAACATGCAACGTATAGAGCAGAACACAGATTGCTGTCCACAGGCGACGCAGGGTCGGACGGTGTGGGGGGTTCTCCAGATCCAAGCGCAAGATTCGAACCACGGCCAAGTACAGGCCGTACAAGACGCTGGCGCCAGCGCCCCAGTAGTCGAACTTCTCAGTGATGGCGAAATCCCGGGTGTGGAAGATCATGCTGAAGGTCCAACTGGCCAATCCGAAGTATCCAAACGCCATATAGTATTTTCGGAGAGAATGCCAGGCCGGGATCGATTCCTGGATTCGAGACATGCCATGCCAATGTGCCGCGAAATTGAAGAAGGAGAAGAGCACCGAAAAGGGCTCCTGCATCCCCAGCATTCTGCGGAAGGGCCACTTACCATGGAATTGAACCACGGGGCTCAGCATTGGGGGATCCCGAGAAACTCGTTTATCCGTAATGACATGTTGGCAGGTATAGTCGCATTCGGCCGGGCAGGTCCATAATAACAAACGGTGGAAAAGAGCTGGGACGAGTCAGGAGTTGAACGTAAGAGGGCGAACACGATAGGGGGACGTACATATCACCGAGTTTCCATCCTGGCAGTTCTCGCTTTTACAGACCTGTGTTTGTTAGTCGGGGCATGAGGCTCATGGCAATCGGATAAAGCAACGGTACCTGGACACATTCTTTGAAATCGGGGAGATGGTCACCCAGAGAAGCGGTAGAAAGACCGACAAATAGAGCCAGCAAAAGGAAAGCGAAAATTATGGCGGGGTTTACTCTTCCGCCTAGATTCATTGTGGTCCAAGGGTGGTTTAGGCCAGCAACGCGTAAGCTTTAGGGAGGGAATGGCAGTTTGCGGAGCTGCGGGCGGCATCGCCAGAGTCTCGCGTGAGTCTTGGCAGCCATTGTTGACAGCTCCGAGCCAAGTTCCGGGGTAAAGAGTACAAGTACTACTACATACATCCATGAATGGGCCCCAGATTTGAACTTATATGTACCCAGCCATCCATCGTGTGTCGTATAAATACTTTATTATTATTCTGTGTAACGCTGTATGGTTTTATAGCCAAAATAGTACTCCAAAAAGGAACATGTCTTAACTTGAACATCATGATTAGTCAATGACAGCTTCTACTAGTACTTCGAAATTTGAAGATGTTTAAATATCGAGTCGTCGCCCACCAACCCTTTCAACAACTCTACATATTTACCACTTCATCTGAATGATAATGTTGATTTTGGTTGACAGATCAATACATTCAGGGAAGCCCTAGTCACGTGGCAAAGTCATGTGATATATGACTTCCGAAATCGGACTAGTGCGGGCGGGGATTTTGGAGGAGCTTGGCGGCGAACTGGAAAAAAAAAGTCGGCTAGTCTTCCATCTAGGTTCTGACTCTTTTTCTCCAAATCTTTGTTCTCCTTTTGTCCTGATTTTCAACTATTTTCCTACCGACAAAATGGAAGGAGCCGAGAACACCCAGGGAGGTAACTCCAGCAGCGCCGACCGCATGGTTGGCATGGAGCACTCCGAAGTGCGCTATTTCACCAGGTATGAATCCAAAGCCTCACATTTGTGTCGTGCTTGCATGCTAATTAAATACATAGCTACGATCACCACGGTAATTAACCATCTTATCCCAAATCTCTGTTACGTGATGAGTCTGGGAGTGGCCTGGCTAACGAATAATTTTCAACCTTGTGCAGGTATCCACGAAGAGATGCTTGTAAGTACAATCAGACGAAACCCAGCGTGTTTGTCAAGCCAATTCGATAATTCAATGATCTAACTTGCGATTCTCTTCATGCAGAAAGACGATGTCCGCACCCGCTCCTACCGCGACTCCATCTACCAGAACCGCCACATTTTCAAGGACAAGGTTGTCCTGGATGTTGGCTGCGGTACCGGTATCCTCAGCATGTAGGTGGCCATACATTACAAAGAATTGCGATTCTAGAACTTGCGGCTAATCTACTTGGAAGGTTCGCTGCCCGTGCTGGTGCCAAGCATGTGATCGGTGTCGACATGTCCTCCATTATCGAGAAGGCCAAGCAGATCGTCCACGTCAACGGCCTGTCCGACAAGATTACCCTTCTCCAGGGCAAGATGGAGGAGGTCCACCTCCCCTTCCCCAAGGTTGATATCATCATCTCCGAGTGGATGGGTTACTTCCTTCTCTACGAGTCCATGCTGGACACCGTCCTGTATGCCCGTGATACCTACCTCGCCCCTGGTGGCAAGATCTTCCCCGACAAGGCCACCATGTACGTCGCTGGTATTGAGGATGGCGACTACAAGGATGACAAGATTGGATGTGAGATAGCCCTTTTATCAGTTTATCTCGTTGAATTTGCGCTAATGATCTACAGTCTGGGACAACGTCTATGGCTTCGACTACAGCCCCATGAAGGAGATCGCGCTCACTGAGCCCCTCGTTGATACCGTGGAGATGAAGGCACTTGTCACCGACCCATGCCCAATCATCACTTTTGATCTCAACACTGTCACCGTTGCCGACCTCGCCTTCAAGGTCCCCTACAACCTCACTGCCAAGCGCAGCGATTTCATCCATGCCATGATCGCTTGGTTCGATATTGACTTCAGCGCTTGCCACAAGCCCATCCACTTCTCTACCGGCCCCCACGCCAAGTACACTCACTGGAAGCAGACCGTTTTCTACCTGCGTGATGTTCTCACAATTGAGGAGGATGAGCAGGTTTCCGGCTGGCTGGAGAACCGCCCTAATGACAAGAACAAGCGCGATTTGGACATCAACCTGTCTTACAAGTTTGAGATTAACGACCCCACTCGCTTTGCCGAGGGCAGCTGCTTCTACCGCATGTATGTTTTCCTGAAAGCCCCTTGTCACCACCGTCGGATAGGCTAACATTTCCTTTTCAGGTGCTAATTTCTGACGTTGATGGCTTGTTTTGTTCATGAAATGATCATAATCATCTAGATGCTGTCGCTTGCTTTTGAGACAGCGTGCAGCCTAGAATTTTCAGGTCTGGATTTGCACAGTCCTATTTGACATATTTCCGGTCTCGGTTTTCTTTCACAGGCGTTACTTTCTTGGGTGGCAGGGTAAAAGGCATTACTACATGGCGCGATACGGAGAGATGATCATGAAGCTCCTCGAATCAAGTAGATACCCCCGAGTCGATGCTTAGTCTAGCAACTCCGACGCATCTGATGTCCAAATCTTGGAATGTTTGTAGATGCATGCAGGGGAAATATTTTCTGATTTGAATACACGTTTCCATTTTCCGTAGAAGTTGAATAAGTTGTGTACTCGTAGCACTACTAGTACGAAGTAGTCAACAAGAATTCGCCAAGGAGCTGGCGTGTCTCGTCGGCAATTACGGTAACTAATCATTATCAGATCCTCGGCTCAGGGCCGCCCCGCAATTCCTCAATCCTACTTTAGCTTCTTCTTCTCCGCAGCATTTTTCCCGCACGCTCTCTCTTTTCATTCCCCCCTTTTCTTCGCATCTATATACCAGCATTATATATTCATCATGTCCGCCCCCGGCGCTGGTCACGAATTCCCTGCTAAACCAGTCTCCTGGCAAAAGCGCGATGTCTTGTTGTTCGCCAACAGCATCGGCTGCAAGGCCGACGAGCTACAGTTCCTTTATGTATGTCCAGCAAGCCAATGGAGTCAATGTCGATTCTCTAACACGATTAACAGGAACTGCACCCCAGCTTCTCTGTCTTCCCGACCTACCCCCTGATCTTGCGTACGTTGCACCTCGGGAGACTTTTTCGCATCGTTGGCACTACGACTGACCCACTTGAACAGCCTTCAAGCTCACAGACCAGGAGGTGACGAATTTCTATGACCGCCAATCTGCCGTTCACATCCCTGGGGTTCCGAAATTGGATCACCGCCATGGAGTCGATGGCCAGCGCAAGCTGACCATCCTCAAGCCGCTTCCTCCCACTAGCGCTGGACGCAAGTTTGAGCTGCGCAACAAGGTCATCGGTGTCTACGACAAGGGCAAGCCCGGAACTGTCATGGAAACCGAGCAGTCTATTGTCGACGCAGAGAGTGGTGAGGTGTACAACAAGGTTCTGACGAGCGGCTTTTTGGTCGGTCAGGGTAACTGGGGTGGGCCTAAGGGTGAGTTGCAGGCACGATTCCTAGCCTCACAGAAAAAGACTGATATTCTTTCCGCAGGACCCTCCACAGTTAACTTCCCCCCTCCCGAGGGCAAGGCTCCTGATGCCACTCACGTCATTCAGAGCACCAACGAGACTGCTCACCTGTACCGGTATGTTTGTGGGATTCTCATATGTAGGACATTCGGGCAAAAACTCATTTTCATCTTTAGTTTGAACGGAGACTATAACCCTCTGCACGCCACCCCCGAGCCCGGTCAGAAGATGGGCTTTGGTGGTGTTATTATCCACGGCCTGTTCAGCTGGAACTCTGCTGCCCACGGCATCCTCCGCGAGCTTGGAGGTAGCAACCCTGACAATATCAAGGAATTCCAGGCTCGCTTCGCGTCGCCTGTTCGTCCCAATGACAAGCTTACTACCGAGATCTGGCGGATGGGTAATGTCCAGGCGGATGGCTTTGAGGAGGTCCGCTTCACTACCAAGAACCAGACTGGCAAGGTTGTCCTGAGCAATGGTCGTTGCTTGCTGAAGGTTGTTAGCCCCAAGAGCAAGCTGTGAAGATAGGAAACTGCTATATCGTTCTTGGATACTTTTATTGTATCAATTGTATATAACAATTTAACCAGAACTACACCGTTTGCATTTTAATGAAATGCGTGCTCTTTTGTACTAGTACTTTGGAGCTTTGAAGATTGTTCACAGGAAGCTACTCCAGGGCTCTTGATTGCCAAATTGCGCGTTGAAAACTAGGCAAAGAAGGCAGTGCCCGTATTCCAATCCGCTTGGATAGTATGCCAGGAACCTTCGAGTTTGGATCCTATGACAAACTTCCAAGGTTGGACCTAGGTAACAACAATGGTTCCCAGGTCAGCCGTTATACTAGTATATCACTGGACTACTCCAGGGCTGGGTGTGTCTCAAGGTGGGTCTGGGTCCAACCGATAACTCCGCTTGAGGTGAAAGTTAATTAACAATTCGGAATCTATATAAAATGTGCCCTACTATTTTGTATGGATTATGGCACACCCTTCGATATGCACTTACTATTTTGTGTTAGTGTCTCCCATCATACGTTATTTGCCTTGGCAACGGTTGGTGGATGCACGTGACTTTCATCGACCGAGGCCGTTTCCCCGGAGTTTCGGGCTGCTCCCCCACCACCTTCTCCTGCATTTGCATTTTGAGTACCAGAAATACGGAGGACAGGGCGCAAGATGAATTTTCGCAGCTCCACGGCCATCTCAATGGCTGCTTGGCGAAGCACTCTGAGGTAAGATCAATTGGTTCCAACTCACAACTCACCAAGTTCGGGTGCTGATCTACCCCCAGAGGCACCATTGCGCGGTCATATGGCTCCAAGAGTGTTGATTTGGTACGTCAAATATGAATTCAGTCTTTCAGTGCAAGAATGTCGCGGAAGAATTACACTAAGTCACAGCAATAGCCCATCCGGACCATTGGATTGAACAGTCGCTCCCTTCCCAAAAGAAGAGCTCATGCGCCGAATTTCATTGTTAACAAGCGTCTAATTTCCACCAATGCCCCGGTGGACACATCAGAGCTTCCAGATCATCTCAGGATGCTTTCCAAAGACTCAAAACTTATATCCGCCGCCGTGAGGGGCTTGAATGAAGGATATGTGGTGCTAATGCCACCAAATACCACTACCCAGTTTTACAAGTTGTGAGTCGCCGTCTTAGACCCAAGAAATTTTCATCGCTACAAGTGCTGACCATCATGGGAAGTGGATCCTTCTTTTTAAGGTGAGTCGCCAGAGAGAGTGTGTTCGGGAGCTCAGTATCTCGGAAGGAGTATCGCTGAGAGGTCGTGGAATACTAGAGAAAATTGTCAATGCCCCAAGTGTGTTCATCCGGACACGAAGCAGAGGATTGTTGAGATTGGCTCGGTACGTATCATTTTTGTCTTGGGGGTCATTATCATCATGGAGCAGAGGGGCTAATCCAATCTAGGTCCTACCAGATATTACTCCTACCAAGTTAGATTGCGGAAACCTCAAAGAAGGCGCTCAAATCACATGTATGAATTCAGTCGACATTTCATACCAGTTATATTAACTAATTCTTGACAAGGGAATGATGGTCATGAGAGTGTCTATCCATGGGCCTGGCTAGAAAGACACAATGTGTTTAAGCAGAACTTGAAGTACAAGGTGTCTGTATATGGTGACGGCAGGCCAAGGTATGAACATTTTACACCTAAATCATCAGAAAGTTCCCACTGACAGTATTAAATAAAAGAGATTATCGCATATTTAATGCCAAGACCGACTCCTATCCCGAGGTCGAGTTTGAGAAGGTGATGTTCAACGATGCATCCGTTAAAGACTGGCTGGAGAAGATTGTAGGTCCCATATATACTTTTATCCCAAACTGTCAGCATGTTTATTGGTGAACTTTTTCTGATGATTGACCTTCTCCCTCGAAGCAAACTCTCGGATTCTGTTTCATCAAGGGAGTCCCAATTGACCCAGAAGCAACTAAGGCTCTTATTGAGCGTATTGCTTTTGTGAGACACACTCACTATGGTATTCTATCAGCACGGGACCCTTTCTCGACCGAATTCTAATTTGATATCTAGGTGGCTTCTGGGACTTTACGGCCGATCTCACCTTCAAGGATACCGCATATACCAATGAGTCTCTTGGTGTCCACACAGATAACACCTATTTCACGGATCCCGCAAGACTTCAGCTTTTCCACCTTCTGTCCCACACAGATGGATCGGGAGGCGAGAGCTTACTTGTGGATGGCCTAGCCGCCGCCTCCACGCTCCTGAAAAAGCACCCCGAACATTACAGAACTTTGATCCAGGTTAGACAACCGTGGCATGCCAGTGGCAATGAAGACGTCTGTATCCAGCCATCCTCCATGGCCCCTGTCTTTTCTATCCACCCGGACAGAGGGCGACTCTATCAGATTCGCTGGAACAATTACGATAGAGCACCTAAATCAGACTGGCCATTGGAAACTCAGAAGCAATGGTACGAGGCTGCTCAGTGCTACGATGACATCCTGAATGAACGTCGAAGAAGAATCCAGACGCAACTCCAGCCTGGAACAGCACTCAGTAAGTAGAGAACTGCCACCGTATACTTGCTCAATTATGAACTGATTCCCTTCCTAGTTTTCGACAACTGGAGAATGATGCATGGCCGCACCGAGTTCACCGGGAAAAGAAGAATGTGTGGGGGATACGGTATGTGCTAAAATAAGCCCAAAGTTCCCTTAAACACAAGCTTGTTGATACTAATATATCCTGGGCAGTCAATAACGATGATTACATTTCGCGACTTCGTCTGCTTAGTTATGGCCGAGAGGAAGTGCTAAACAATCTGGGAAGCCAAAACCATCCCGACGCGAAGAATGGCCCTTATTCGATCATTTAGACTGGGTCAAATATCTAGTGGCGAAATTTGAATGTAGAAATTTTATAACATAGAAGAATGAGGCTACCATTGCGAACATAAAATTCGAGAGGATTACTAGCACCTCACTGTTGACCGACTCACGTGACTGGCTGACGTTGTTGGAGCTCGGCCACCGACAGCTATTCTCCAACCTTCTACGTCCCCCTTCACCTTCACCTTTCCCCCTCCCCCCATACCGACCATCCGCGTGTGGCAACCCTTGAATCCATTTAATCCGATCGGTCATTATCCATTAATAAATCGCCCACCATGTCGACCCTCGAGGACTTGGACGACCTTGAGCACGAGAACAGAGACAAGAAGGAAGACCAGGGCGATGACGGCAAGAAGCCCAGCGGCGACGGTGACGCCGAGATGGAAGATGCTGAGAAGAAGGACGAGGAGGAAGAGCTGATGGACGAGGAGATCCTCCACTCCAGTACGGCAGACATTGTTAAGCGACGACGGATGCTGGAGAACGAAATGCGCATCATGAAGAGCGAGTTCCAGCGTTTGACACACGAGCAGAGCACAATGCGAGAGAAGGTTAAGGATAATCAAGAAAAGATCGAGAACAACAGGTATCGTCTCATTCATCTCCCAAGGGGATGCTTGCGAATCGTCCAAGACAGCAGTCGCTGCCCGCGGAGCTCGCAAGGCCCAATCAATTGAACCATCACCTTTTCTGTTTACTGACATCCCCGTTTTACCTTGCTAGACAACTACCATACCTCGTCGGAAACGTCGTTGAGCTCCTGGACCTTGATGTGGAGGCCGAAGCCGCAGAGGAGGGAGCCAACATCGATCTCGACGCCACTCGCGTTGGCAAATCCGCCGTTATCAAGACTTCAACCCGCCAGACCATCTTCCTCCCGCTCATCGGACTGGTTGACCACGAGAAGCTGAAGCCCGGTGACCTGATCGGTGTCAATAAGGACTCATATCTCATCCTGGACACCTTACCAGCAGAGTATGACAACCGCGTGAAGGCTATGGAGGTCGACGAGAAGCCGACGGAGAAGTACACGGATATCGGTGGTCTGGACAAGCAGATCGAGGAGATCGTGGAAGCTATCGTATGGCCCATGAAGGAGGCGGAGCGATTCAAGAAGATCGGCATCAAGGCACCGAAGGGTAAGATCACACTGTTCTGTAGCGGTTCTCTTTTTTTCGACGATATTAACCTTCTTCCTCTTAGGTGCTCTAATGTACGGTCCCCCCGGAACCGGTAAAACCCTCCTTGCCCGTGCCTGTGCTGCCGAGACGAACGCCACTTTCCTGAAGCTTGCCGGTCCATCCCTCGTACAAATGTTCATTGGTGACGGTGCCAAGCTGGTGCGTGACTGCTTCGCCTTGGCCAAGGAGAAGGCTCCATCAATCATCTTCATCGACGAACTTGATGCCGTTGGTACCAAGCGTTTCGACTCCGAGAAGTCCGGTGATCGTGAAGTCCAGCGTACTATGCTGGAACTGCTGAACCAGCTGGACGGATTCGCGTCCGACGACCGCATCAAGGTCCTCGCCGCGACTAACCGTGTCGATGTATTGGACCCTGCTCTGCTCCGATCCGGTCGTTTGGATCGCAAGATCGAGTTCCCCCTTCCGAATGAGGAGGCTCGTGCGAACATCTTGCAGATTCACTCGCGTAAGATGTCCGTTGAGGATAGCGTGAACTGGGCTGAGCTTGCCCGCAGCACGGATGAGTTTGGTGGTGCTCAGCTCAAGGCTGTCTGTGTCGAGGCTGGTATGATTGCGTTGCGGAAGGGCCTGAGCAAAATTGGTCACGAGAACTACGTTGATGCCATCGCCGAGGTCCAGGCGAAGAAGAAGGATTCAAACCTAAATATTTATGTTTGAATTGGTGTTTTTTCCCCATGGAATATTACTACATCTTTTTTTCTATTTTTATGCCCTTTTTCCTCATGTCATGTCATGTATGTTCGTTCGGCGGCCCTCAAAATGAGGCCGGCAATTCGCTATGCATGCAGGCGACTGCCTCTAAACCAAATAACATGATGACCCATTCTAGACCCCGTCGAGAGTTGATTTTACGCTCGCAGGAACCTGAATATTACGAGTAGAAGTCTGTAGCACTCCAGGGCTGAAACGAGCACTTGGTATACTACCTATTGTACTGGGGAGAAGCGATTTATATAGGCAGAATGTTTTGATTGGTCGATTCTAGTATAGCAGGCTAAGCTCCATTTGGATTGCTGGTCCATATCTAGGGCTCGAAACGAGAGGCAGGAATAGCTTCAATACTCACATTCCAGCACTCTCGCAGTTCCGTCCTGATAGTCACCGGCCTAGGGCCTTACTCTTTGGTGGTGGCTTTTGTGCTATTCCCAAGTTCCATTCGACCCGCAGGTTCTGATCGTGCTGCTACGAGCATCCCTTTCCGTCTCACTATATAGTATGTACTACAGTACTAGGTAGCAACCCAGGAAGTGGCCAAGGTCATGGTGAAATAGTAGTCCACTCGCTTCAGAAATGTATCCATCGATTTTTCTTTTGTTTTGGAATAAGACCAAAGAAAATAAACTAAAAAACACATAATGCAATGGTCATAAATCCATATAAAAGCCCCTTATCTAATAGCCCAGGCACCACCTTCAAACGCTACACTCCACTTATTGCATATTACCGGGCCTCGCTCAGAAAGCCCTTAGTTCTTAGCCTTGTCATCTTTAAGCGTAACGATGCGGTTCAGAATGAGTTTCTCAGGCGTTGTCTCCCGGTCAACGGCGTAGTATGCAGTACGCATACCCTGGAAACGAATAGCGTGCTTGTTCTTCTCAACATCCTGCTCAGCCGCAGACTTAGGCCAAGGAGCCGACTGCGAGATCTCAGTAAATCCAGTCTCAACCATGGCATCGGGGAAGATCTCCTCGGAATTAGGGTTGATGTCGGCCAAGAAGCCCTCGGGGTGAGCAGAGGGGTTTTCGGACTTGAATAGCGGGTTGGTGGCGCGGACCTCGGCGCGGATAGGACTGTTCTTCGCGGGGCAGTCGGCGACCCAGTGGATGAAGCTCTTGGGCTTCTTCGCGGCTTCGCCTTCCGCGGGCTTCTCATATTTGGCGTGCACGACTGTCACGTTTCCGGCGGCGTCTTTCTCGAAGGTTGTGGCGGTGATGGGGTAGGGGGCCTTGAGGAGACCGACGGTCTTGCCGGGGCGAGGCGGAAGTAGTCTGGGGAATCGACTTCGCGGAAGTCGGAGCGCTCGATGTACACAGTCTTCGTGAAAGGGATGGTGTGGGTGCCGAAGGAGGCTTCCTTGGAGAAGGGAACTTCGACCATCTCAAGGTGGTCGTCGGCCAGATCGTCGATGACGACCTTCAGAGGCTCCGTTACAACCATTAATCTGGGGACGGATGTCTCGAGGAATGTGCGGACGGACTGGTCGAATCGGTGCATTTGGACGTTGGTCACAGCCTTGGTAACTCCGAGTTCGCTGACGAAGTTGAGGATAGCATCGGGAGGAACACCACGACGACGGAGAGCAATGAGTGTGTACAATCTTGGATCATCCCAATCACGGCTGCTCTGGAGTTAGTTTTGCATCGACGTATTTCAAGTTCGAGAGTACTTACACATGACCTTCCTTGACCAGCTTGATAATCTTTCGCTTGGAGAGAACAGTGCCTGTGATGTTGAGACGGCCATATTCGCGCTGCATTGGACGGTAGACATCGAGCTTGTTGTTGAGCCACTCGTAAGACTCGCGGCCTAGTAGTGGAGTTAGCGAACCGTGTTTCACGAGATATGCGAGTAGAAAACCTACTGTTCTCGAACTCAGTCGTGCATAGTGATGAAGTAATGGATTCCAAGCTATCGGAGAGACCTAATAAAAGTTAATATGGAATCACCAAGCGCGAAATTAAAAACCAATAAAACTTACCATGGGCCATATCGTAGGTGGGGAACATCTTATATGTCGGAGCACGGTGATGTTGCTTTCCTCCCTCGGGAATTCTCCATGCGAAGAGATCCCACATTTGGGGGTTGGGGTTATCAAGGTCCTGCTTCATGCGCAGAGCCGCTTCTCCGGCCTTGTACTTTCCATCACGCATAGCACGGAACTCAGCCAGAGACTCCTCAGTGGGACGGTTGCGGTGAGGGCAAGCAAAGCGCTTGCCACCCTGCTGACCGTCCTCGGTCTGACCACGCTGAACCTTGACCTCGGCCTGGGTACAGTGACAGACATAGGCGCCGTCACGCTTGATCAGTTCCTCGGAGTACTCATAGAGATGATCGAAGTGATCACTGGCATGAGTCTCGCGCACAGGCTTGAAGCCGAGCCAATTGACGATATCCCGAATAGCAGTGTAGTAGATCTCGTCCTCTCCTTCGGGGTTGGTATCGTCAAAACGCAGGATGCACTCTCCACCGTGGTACTTTGCGAAGCCGAAGTTGACAGCGATAGCCTTGCTGTGTCCAATGTGGAGATATCCGTTGGGCTCGGGCGGGAAACGAGTGCGAACCTTGGGGTGGGTTTCGGAGACGGGGCGCTCGTTGTAAACGTCATTGAGGAAGCCGAGTTTAAACATGACTTCCGGGTCGCGGGGAGCAGCAGCCTCCTTAGCTGCTTTCGGGGGCTTGGGCTGCTTTGCAGGCTTAGGCGCGGCCTTGTTCGCGGCCTTCTCCAGTGCCTTCTGCGCCTTCTTCAAGGCCTTCTTGGAGGGGCCTTCTTTCTCCGCGGGCGGGGCAGCCTCCTTGGGCCGCTCAGGCAAATCAACAGGCTTTGCTGGATCCATGATTGAAGAGTCCCAGAGGTCCAGAGCAGATGTGAAGCAATTGGTGGGGTTGTTATTTTTCACGAGGGGCTGCGATGCTTATCAGTCTCCATTCGCTAATCGGGCCGATGAAACACCGGATGAGTCATGCGCCCACTTCCCCAGGTAACTTGAAGTATACCGGAGTATATACTTACGATAAGACATGGAAATGCCCATTGGTGCTGAAACAGTGGCTGGAATGAACCTTGATGACTCAGAAATAGACATTGTAGATTAACGAGTAGCTATTGATACATGGTAAATTGTAAATGCTGTACAGGTGTGTAATGTACAAGCCTCAAAAGGGCGAGGCGATTAAAGACAAAAACCAAAGAACCAAACCAGATGAATCAGTCAAGCCACCCAATACCTGAGATCTCGGGAAGCTACGAGCCAGCGAGACCCCCGTGACAGGCAAAGGGCCAATGAGACAAGGGAAGAAATATAGACAAAAAGAACCAAGGAAGAGTGACCATCATAGCCGCACATGAGCCGATTAGAGTCACCCGTCATGCTCACATGTGCATTAAGACCAATGAACGCCAGATGCCAATGATATCTGGCGTATGTATATGTACGTGGGAAAAGAAAGAGATGTTGAGAAATGAAATCCAAAAGCACCAAAACACAGATTTGACCAGAATGCGGGGTATAAGGCGTGATAATGAGACAAGGGAGGATGCGGGGAAGAGTGGGATAGAGAGCGTGTGATGGTGGTGTGGGTAGTATAAGGAGAGGCGGGTTGTATATAGGGCGGGTTTAGAAGAGTTGCTTCACGTTGATGAGTTCCGAGTTACCGGGGCGGTCGCGTTCCATATGGAACCACCAATCCCGGCCCATCTTGTGGTTCCAGGATCCGGTGCAGGTGTCCTTTTCCCAGGGCAGGGCGGAGGTCGACGCATGGCTCATTGGTGTGATAGGTGTTGTGGGTGTTGCAGGAGTGCCGGTAGACCGGCTACCCAGGCTACCCCAGCCGAAACGCGAAGTGGTAGTAGATGAAGGAGATGCCAGTTCCTCTATAGGTGGGTTGATGGGTGGCTTGCTATTTGTGTCAAAGCAATGGACGCCCACCCCGGCTGCGTATGATAGTGACTGGTTGGATGCGAGTAACTGCTTCCATCCGATCAGACCACCTTCCGATTCTTGACCGGGAATATCAGGGCGAAGGTGGAATCGAGGAATAGATGCCCCTGTTAAAGGATCCCGAACACCGGAGCGGCCCATGAAAGCCGGCATTCGAAATTTGTAAACTGTCTTGGGTCCGTCGTCATCCGACACGGGGGGGATCGTGTTTATACCGTTCGGACGCTTCCCAGATCCCGTAGTCGTCAATCTCTGGTTCTGGTTCTTCTTCGAAATTTCCAAGTAACGCGTTGTCTGGTACATATTTATCTGAATAGTCCTCAATCAATACTGGCATGCCTGATTCGGTATCCTTGATGGCCATATCAATGAAAGTTTGTGCTCGGATTCGAGACGAGGTCAGGTTATTTCCGGCAGGCAAAGCAAGGGGTCGAATGCTGACGGAGCCGTGCGAGCTCCGGGGTAAACTGTAACGGTCTGGTCGAAGTAACGCTTGGCCCTTTGTGATAGGTCGACAAACCGCTTGCAGGGCACCAGGAGGCTGACAGTCGTTCGGCGCCCGGAGAGTTTCCAGCCATGGGAACCCCGCAGCGAGAATACTTTGAGCGAGATGGAAATTGGGGGTATCGGACTGCTTCGGGGGTTGCTGGAAAGGTAGGGAATCGAGTTGAGTGAGTGCTGTGCCAGGGTCCGGGCAAGCCACATCCCAGTGGAGATACTTCAGGCTGGCCGAAGCGAGAATAGGTTGGAAAACCATCCCTTCCTCTTCCAGCGTAGGACACTTGTCACTTTGGACAAACTTGAATCGCTCAAGTTGTCTGAGTGATGCGAGTAGCTTGGAGATGACCAGCAGAGACTCAATGTTCTGTTCCACCAGGATAAATGACTTGAGCGATTGCGATTCTGGACGCATGGCGTACTGTGCGATACCTGCATCAGTCACACCAGGCAAGTTCTCCAATCGCAAAGATTCCAGCGGAGGCAAACATAGTAGTGTGCTATCAGCAAATGCATCCTTGTTGAACGAGGAGATGCAGAGATTCCGCAGAGAGGGCAAGAGATCAAACATGCGCAGGAAAATACTCGGCTCCAAGGCACCGTTTCCATTGAGACCGTATAGCATCAATGTTTCCAAGTTGCCCCATGAAACATGGTAATCCAAGAATTCGAACATTTGAGAGGGCCCCAAACTTCCAGGGCAAGAATCGTCACGAGGCGACAACTCAGTGGCCTCCACTGCCTCGCCCAGAACCCAGGTATGCTCTTTCAGTCGCTTGCGGGTAGACAAGGCGTGGGTAAGACGATCGAATTCGTGGTGGTAAGGGATAGACAGACCCAAAAGTCGCTCCAGATTCGGACACACCATCACCACAGACGCGACCAGGTCTCGATATTCTTGCCATTGCGCGCTTTGTTTTGTTGTGGTGAAGAGTAGATCCATCTGGGGCACACGTAGTTCACGGACGAGATTGGCCAGCATGTTTCGTTCGCGTAGGGTACGCCTCAACAACTTTAGACGGCTACCCCTCTTGAGACGGTACCGTTTTAATTGGGCCGGGGAATCATTTCCGACTATATGAATTTGAGTATATCTGGTGGTGTATGGTATCAGTTCCTTGTTGCTCGAGATCAACTGGGGCTGTTGTATGGTTGTAACTCACAGCCGTCCACGGACAGCCCTTTCCCAGGACCGACAAGTCAGGGACAATGCATGCAGGTCGCGATGGAAACAAGTTGTGCAACCTGTCTGGTGCGGCGCCTTGTGTAGCACTTCAAGGTTGTTAAGGATGACATCGTAAACCTCTTGCGGGATTCGTCGCTGAACGGACTCAATGCTCTTGGGGATGGATCCAACGGAGTCGAATTGGCGATAGGAAGAAGCAGGCGACGAAGGTGTGTAACCTGTTGTTGGCGCGGTCGAGGTTGTGTAGTTGGTGCGATAGGAAGAAACAGAAGAGGTACGCGAAGTTACTGGCTGCACCGCAACGGCGAACTCTTTGCAAGTTGCCGCATCCTGAGGAATTGTGTATGGCACAGCAGGGTTTTCTGGTCTACTGGCAACGACGCTCATGGTGAATTGGCGTGCCTGGCATCGGAGGCGCGGCGCGTGGAGAGGGGAAAGGAGGAAAAATAAGGCGAAGACAGGCGGGGGTCGAGGAATGCAGGGGGGGGTTGGTGGAGTGTGGTCAGTTGTCGTAATGGGCGGGGGGGATCGTCGAATTCCAACTGAGGTCAGTGTTATTGTGGTAGTGGTAGTATAGTAGTGTGGTAATGGTCGTTTGATTGTATGACCTTTGGAGGAGGTTGAAGAGGGGAGGTCAAAAGGCACGGGAACAAGAAGGATCATGGCACATCCACACTTTCCCTCTTACTTCACACTTCACACTTCACACTTCACACTTCACACTTCACACTTCACACTCACACACTCTCGAGGGGTCCGGGAAGCATTCGATCGCCCCCCCACACCCACTTTGCTCGTGGTGAGCGGAGAAACCTGACAGGGGGTCGACGGTTCAGGGGTTGGACTACTCAATCCTCTAGACCCGAACCGTCAGGGATCCGCCGCGGTATTGAAGTTGATCCATCAGTCTCCTCCAACCAGCACCCTCATCACACTCGCCATGGCACTTGATTCCTTTTTTTAGGGCTACTCGAGAGGTCTCCTTGGCCTGTCAATGCGTCCAATCTGCCCCCGTCAACGATGGTCATTGCATATATGCCTGCGTCGAACACGAACGGCTCTGCAGCCATGTTGCTCGCGGACGGTTCGTGAGCTGCAGCACTATTCCTATATTGGTATAGCACCATGTTCAGTGGGTCCTTGGACCTGCATGGAGTGGGGCCACTGCCCCTTTTTTCGCGGCTTTTTCTGCTTTGCTCTGCATTCACACCTTGCACGGATGTTATTGTATTGGCGGCACTACGACCGGTTGGGACTACGGCGCATACGACAGCCATCCACGTTGTACTCTACCTGAGCCTTCGGCGGTTTCAAAAAGCCACAGGAATAGTCTTGGCCAAAGAGGATCATCCAGAGTCACGAAAATGCCACTTTGTGTGCCCTGTCTGACTCAACCTGCGGTCTAAGCGTGAGACATGCGGCGCCCCTCGTCAAAATAGGCAATGGTTCAGGAACCACGAGGTCCTGTTCTAGACGTTGCTATAACTGGCGTTCGCTTGCATCCGATCTCGCCACCCCGGTCTCAAAAATTGAACGTGCTCGTGTCTCGTAGATTACTATTGGCAACGGAACCCCGAGATCGCGATCGCGGTGGATCGTCGCAAATTAACCAACCAACTCCCACAGCTCTCAATCTCCAGTCGTTTCCTCGTAAGAAACGGGCCATCCACCTCATTTTCGGTGCTGCGCAATCTCTACTCCGTACACGAAAGCCCAATTGTATTTTACTGGCTATCCCACGCGGATCCCACGGCACAGAGCTCTCGGCAGCCTTAGCTTACTCGGGAATAGTCCCAGTTTCCCGCATAGAGCAATGTGGACAATTCACAGCTGAAGTCCGATCTGGTGGAGACGGTTCCCACTCCATCGACTCTACGGAGTACCATGATAGCCAATTGCACTATTGGATGGTAGCCTTCCAATCTTTGTTTGAGAAATAATGCCGCTCTGTCGGCGTTGCCATGTGAGATTTGGAATTCCGCTGGTCCACTTCTCCGCCTCCACGACATGATTCGCAGTGCCCGGTTTTGTTCTTCGAACTAGGGTCTCCCACGAGGTCGTCGTACTCTATTTTGGATGGTCGGCTCCACTGTTTTATCTGTTTTCGTAGATTGGGCTGATGCAGCTCACAATAATAGCAGTCGATCTACGCAATATGCCGTGCAGATATACGGAGTATGGGAGATACCGAATCCACCCTTGTGGATCTTGTTGACCTGATACCTTTTCTAGAAGACCCGAACATCGCCGACACGAGCTGACACCAACAAGCGTGGAGCTTCAAAGCCGTTGCGGTGCTTTAGGGGTTATACGGACCCTGATATTTCATCGCCCCGCCCGTGCGCCGCCGAAGAGGGTCCATCTATACCTAGGTGTCGGTACACGGTACAACCAAGCTTCGCACAGCACAGCCCATATATTGACCTCGAGCCTCATTTTCCACTTGTGGCCCCTGTCAGACCGGTGTTTACTACTAGTACTACTAGGCTTAAGTCTACACTACTAGACCTGGCCCCCAAACATGAAATCTAAGTTTGACCATATAGATATTTATAGACATTATCCCGTGTTCAAGTTTCGAATGGATGGTCTTCAAACTTGAAGTAGTACCACGATAATTCTGCGTTTCAGCAGATTTTTAAATGCTGTTTTTCCTAATTGTCCATTCGGTTGGGCACAATGGCGTTTCTGATTGTGTCACTCTCCGACCAGCTAAGTCACAGAACCTGGTTAGACTATATTTTTATGCAGGAGACTACTAGTACAATCTCGATGGGAATGGTATCCATGATGAGAACAACCAGTAATATGTTATCAAGTCCTTAACAAGGCATTCCTACGGATGGAATGCTTCAAGGTAACCTAGTTTGAGCCAATGTTTTTGTCTCATTTAATCTCCGAGTGCCAGGAATGTGGGATGCTAGGGATCTACTACTACTCCAGTAGGTACTAGTAGTACTCAGAAATATATCTCTCTTCCGAGGTTGGGACTCGGACTAGCTTCCAAGGTTGTGATTTCCAGTTCCAATGAACCTTGGAAATCCACTGGGACCTGCCCAGGCTCCTGAGCTATACAAACTACAACTTGGTTACTACCAGTAGTAGTTCAAGTTTTTACATCATATAGCCCACCAAGGCTCTAATTCGCTAATGAATAAAATTATATAATACTATATTCTCATGTATAGGTATGGGACTATTCGTAAAAATGCCGTACGACTGGCGAATGTGTCGCATTTCCATACGCTGACCCTCCGTAAGTCAGATATCCAGACTCAACAGGCCCCGATTGTGACAAGACATCCTCCCGATCCCCAAACATAAAAACAGTCTGCATTCCCATGACCATATGCTGAAGGATATGGCAATGATACATCCAAACACCTGCATCCGTGACTCTTATCCGCCAAGCTCGCCACCCAGACGGGGCGAGAGGCTTCGTCTTCTCCCGGTACCTGTAAAGCACAGAGGTGTCACGTTGAATTGGGCGATGAGAATCGAGAAGTTTCTCATTAGCGGTGGCATTGTACTGCCCATCACCTCCCCCAATATCATAGTAGTGTCTGCCGTGGGCGTGGAAAGGGTGGGCATCAACACCCCCATTGTCAAAGGTGCCTTGGTTCTGCCAGACAATTTCGATGACTTCGCCGATTTTGGCGGGGAAGGTTCGCGTGATATTGTCGAATCCATTACCACGAGCAATAGCTCGTTGATAAGTGGCAGAGGTGTCAAGTTTTCCATTGTAGATGTCGATCAGGTATGGCGATTGTGGAAAGTTCTGCACCCAGTCATATCCGTTCTGGAGCCAAATGACATGGTCGCTGACATTCTGGTGAACGTCGATGATAATTCTGCGTGTTACTTCTTCCAGCTTGGGAAATCCGCGGTCCGGATGCAATGATTCTAATTCATAATCAAGCCACCCTTGAGAAATCTCAGCTACAGGCAGTGGCGGCGGCGAGGGGACAGCCTTCAAATCAACATCAGTTCCGCCTGAATATTGCAGAACCGCAAAGTTTGTTAGAGTCTTTGGTCTTGCGAGAGTCGTAAGTTGAATATAGAAGTGTCGTTTGTTGACTTTCTTCAGCTCTGCTTCAGACTTTGCAGTCAAGAGCACGCTATATCTCTGGCCGCTTCCAATTTGCAAGAAGCTAGTATTCAGAGGCTTGGTGTTGTGGCCGTCTGCTTCGATGATAGTAATATCGTGACTCTCGATGGCAAGAGAAATAAATGACAAAGCGGTGGCCCCAATGAATCTCAAGCGATACGACAAGCCCGGCTCGATAGAGATTGAGGCTAATTGGCAGGATCCTGTATCATTGGTCACCTGACGACTGTGTCCATTCACCAATATTGCCTTGGTCTCCCCACTCCATGTAAAGTTGGTCGATGTCAGTCCATCGATAATATGCTTGTCAGTCTCATTGAAGAAATCAGACAGCAGAATCGTACGCTCCTCGTCGTAAGAAAACGGCGGAGGATCGCATGAATCCACAATCAGGGGACCCTTAGCAGAGACAGCTTGAAATCCAACGTGGGAATGGTAGAAGTAGGTCCCTGCAGTACCAACTTCAGGTTTGACTTCGTAGTCAAAAAAGTGACCTGGAGGAATAGGCCATTGACTTGCCGCGGGTGCACCATCGGAGAAGGGGGCTGTAAAAGCCGTGAGGCCATGCCAGTGCTATGATCGAGGTCAGCGAGAGGTGTAAACTGCATAATTCTCTAGCTGCCTACTATCGTCGTATTCCCATTCTTCATGTCATTATAAACGCGGATCCAATTCACCTGCCCCTCCTTGAGGCGCAGTTCCGGACCAGGTGATGATCCATTGACAAGAGCTGAATATCTGTTCGTACATGCTTCCGTATAATCTTCAGCTGTGACTCGCAGAATGTAATCCGGTTGAAAGGAGTCGTCATGGTGAAAGACGGATCCTAGAGATGCTGTTGCCAAGCCGAAAAGCAAGTTAAGGCAAATTCTTATGCCCTTCATTTTTGCGGAGGGTGCACAGATTGCATCATTGGAATTGAAATAAGCTTACTTCACAATCGAGGAGGCAAAGGCATTTTAATAAAGACGCGCCAAGAATGTCGTAGCGGACGTATCTCACCACAGCCACCAAGGCGTATTTAATTTCACTTCAATTGACAGCAGAACTATTCTCTTGATTAGGGGTTACGAGGCGCTACTTGACTTTGATTGGGTTCGTGCGCAGATCAGGCCTCCAAGCATTTGATATTGGCTCTCTTTCGGGAAATGATGAGCGGTCAGGTATGGTGAGTGTTTACGAGCCTAGCGGGCTCATCCCGACCGCCTTTTGGATGAATAGGTTATGAATGCAAAATAGAATCTATCTTATACTATCGTTTCGATTTCTATTTTGTATATTGGGTGTAAATCTATTATGTGTAGCTATTATGGCCAGCCACATAATGAGAAATGATGTCCCATAAATTAAATTGAATTGCATCCAAGGTCTCATTTTTGAACCTTGCTTTTGAGTATTCCGCCCCCAAATCGAGCCCTGGAACCATCGAGCGCGCGCTCTGGCTTTGCATAAGGTTTTCTTGGCTTCCTCTGCCTTTTGTTGAATCAATTTTCAGCTTCATATGCATGGGCTCTTTAGTATTTTCGAGTCGGACAATCTTATACTCACTTATCCGATGTTGTGGTCATGCAAGCCATTGACATCATGGATCAAATTAAGGATGGCCTGACGCTTCCGCCTCTGTCTCAAGCAAAAAACCCAAGTCCAAATCTATTTGCAAAGCCTCATCTTGAGAAACAGGCGCCGTTCTATGAAGTCCGCTGGAAGTTTTTGACCTCTTTCGCGGAATATAGACTACCTCATCACCCCGATGGGGCTGTCTAGATCGTGTCCGTAAATCCCATTGACGCTGCAGACCGACCAAAAGGTCTCTTGCCCTATGGGCACTTTTCCAGCAAATAGCGAGCTCATCTAAAGCTCTGAAACATGTTGTCAGATAAATTACGATATGGCTTCGAGAGTAGGAGGGGATATTCAAAAAAGTGGCGAAAAGAAGGAATAAGATGGCCGAGGATGTGATGGAAACTGCTTGTACGTTGATTCGGCGTAATGTGTACCGAGATTCATACATATTGAGGATTTTGGAGATAGCTATTGCGGATTGGATGCACATCTCGCGGGCATGTGTATATCCAGGTCCTTTTGGCGGTTGCGGTTGTAGACCATGATGGCTTTTTGATATCCATGGCCTGTGAGCATAGATTATGCTCTGGTGGTATTGCATGCTTTAATGCCTGTTAGTTAGAGAAAAGGGATATATGCCAACATAGAAATGACGTACTGAAGAATGAGGACATGTGGAAGATATGGCGAAGTAACGTCGTCGAGATTAATTTGTAAAACAGGTGGAAGAGTAGATTTCCACTTGCGAAGCTTGGCGACAATTTTGGCATTGAGCTCTTGAAGGGTCTCTTTTGAGATACTGCTGGTGCCATATCTGTTTGAAATGTCAGGCAAGGTAAAAGAGATTTTAAAGGAGATTAATACAGGATATAACCGCATGGAGCCATCAGTTCGCAGAGAGAAACTAGTCGTTGACTGATTATGTCTTGGCTGTCCAGCAAGCCAGAATCTTGGCTGGCGGAAGAAGGTGACTCGCAGGGTATCCATCGGCAATACTCTCTGGAATTTGAATCTTGGTATGGTTTTCCAACTGTGACATCCTCCATACTGGTGCGGAATGGTCTGCCTAAGTGAAATCCTAATTGGCTATATAATAGTTAGAAGAAATACATGACCAAGTGAGATTTAGTTCGAGGGGGAAGACAAACTGGTCAACAACGTATGCGGTCCAGAACACAGTCCTGCGAAGGTTTGCGTGGGCAGCCGAGATTACCCTTGCAGACACATGACTAGACATGTCAAGGTGCAAAGCAAGATCGAATGCTAGCCTTAATGCTGATCCTGAGGTAAAAAGTAAGGTCTATTGAATGGGACTAGTATTCAGGTCTGACGTGGACTTACCGCTATATAGCCAGCCCCTTGTATCCTTTCCGTTTCCAATCTCGTGGAAGCTCAATATGACCAGTGCTTGAATAGTTGCGACAGAAGGGGACTCTAATTCTGTTTCGAGAATTGACTTCGCTCGATCGCCAAAAAACTCAACAAGTGTCTTGGGAAATGTGATCATAGTCGGATGGTATCGACATTCGAAGGCGCTTCCAAGCGCACACCTTTTGGAATCATTAAAGAGGCTACTTCAAAGGACATTGAAGATAGAAATTATTAACACTCACATTGCATTCCGCAGTGCCTCTGAGTAGAACGGAGTCGCTTCGAGGTTGTTACATTTTGCTTTCGCTTCTTCGTAAATGGATCGATCAACTACATGAAATGATGGGTCCTGCCAGCTAAAGTAAAGATCGAGAAGATGCCTCTCCAGAGCGGTAGGAACCTCTCCCTCTGGCTCGGATAAATAGGGTGGGCTTGAATCATTGGCTTCACAGCTGTCCAGTAGCGGAATTTCCCTTAGATTGAATGTGGACGTTGGGCCATAAAAGCGTGTCTTCCCTCCGTCGTCGATTTTTATGGTCCCAATTCGGTCGGAGATCTCGTCAACCAAGGCTTCAATGTCAAATGTGCTTACAGGTTCCTCCGTGAAATTAGAAACGCTTTCGCTATCAACTAGTTCGGTAGCTTCTGCCTCGATCGCTGGTGGTACATCGGCAGCCGTGATGCCTGTGCCGAAGTCTAGATCGAAAAGCCAGAGGTTTGATATACTACCTGGGTTTTTTCTCTGTTAATAGCGACTGATCATTTTCGAGTGCAACAACTGGGCAGCCATTTTGTTGTGATATTGATGACAAACTCAAACCTGGTAAATGGTGACCCTGCCCAGTTTCGGGGAAATCAATGGCATGTTGTTGATTTAAGCTCCAGTCCTCGAGCCCCTCTAAAGGGACAACATCCGGAGGTGTCGTAATATTAAGCCCCGTATAATCATTAATTTTGCCCATACTTGGTCGCTTCGTTGTCGGATTATTCAATGAGGAAAATGTACTGGCTGGCTCTGTCATTCCAAGAGTATTGAGAATCTTTTGAAGGGCATCATCCATATCATCAGACATTTTCGGTAGCTGAAGGCCATTTTCTTGAATAAAAAGACGTAATTGATCGACTCTGCAGGTCAGAAGCTCTATTGCAACACGAAGCGGCAACCTAATATTATGGCGGAGTCTCAGTCTCGAGATGTTCATCATGATTGCAAGGTTAACGTAATTATCTCACTTTCGCTTGTCAAAAGATCCATAACGGCAGTCTTTTGTTCTCCTTATGCAATTGGAGCAGGATGGCACTTTACCATCACACTGTAATGCTTTAATTCAACCCAACGAAAGATAAAAAAAATGTACGGCGAAAAATACCTTCACTTTGCTTTCCCGGCATGAGGCGCATGCCATCGTTGTATGTCGTCGCTTCATGTCGTGTTTCGTAGAGCTCATTATTGTGCCGGTCTCTGTCAAAATAGAGATAGAGACAGCAGGAGCAGAATTGAAAAGGGTCTGAAGAAACCGGGGTATGCACCACGATTGTGGGGTCCACCCGTACCGTGGTTCCAATCGGTCCTAATCCCGGATCCGCCCCAGAGTGCCAATGATTTTCGGTCATTGGATTCCGGGGAAGCTTCTCTCGAGATTGGGCGGCAGTCGATCATTACATATCGCCGGACTAATATAAATATAATATGATATGATTAGCCTGGTATTGGCTAGAAAGATTTTGGGTTAGATCGGCTATTCCATTTTCTCATCAACCCTGGCACCGACACACTGAGTTCTTGACAACTTTTTACAATTTGGACGATGTTTCTGTAGAACGCCCAGGAAAAGGCGCTTCGGTACAGAATCACTCCTGCTTGTGGTGCTGGGTTTCTTCTCTTCGGCTATGATCAGGGTGTATTTGGTGGCCTGCTGGACAATGAATCGTTTCTGGGGACATTCGGGTTCCCAGGGAGTACGATCCAGGGTCAGATTGTGGCAACCAAAGATATCGGCTGCATTATAGGAACACTCATTTCCATGTATGCTGGTGACAAACTGGGTCGCCGCAGAAGCATTCTAATCGGCTGTGGGATTCTACTTATTGGAGCTATCATCCAAACGGCTTCCTATTCTCTCGCGCAGATGATTGTCGGCTGTGTGGTTGCGGGAGTTGGGAACGGAATGAACACCATCGCTATATCCATCTGGCAGACAGAGACTGCTCGGCCAAAAGATCGGGGTATACTATCGTTTTTCAGCTGGTCATAAATATTTTTGGAATCGTTATCACCAATGTAAGTACCCATCAGTGTTGAAGACCTAGTTGGATCGCTCACCATGATTTAGTGGATGAACTACGGCTTTACCTTTATGCCCCACTCGACTGTGACCTGGCGCTTTCCTTGGCATTCCAGTACTTCTTTGCCATTGTCACCGTCGCCTTAGTTCTCATTACGCCAGAGTCTCCTCGTTGGCTTATTATGAAGAATCGAGTAAGCGAGGCCCAGAACATTCTCGCCAGGCTCTTATCGAAGCAATATAACGACGCGGTTGTTGTGAGCGAGATTCAACATTTAGTTGCGTCTGTTCATCATGAAGCCGAAGTCCAGGAGTCGGTAGCCCTGAAGGAAATTTTTACTTTTAATAGTAAGCAGCAAAAACTTCGCCGTATGTTCCTAGGAGCTGGTACTGCTTTCTTCCAACAAGTAGGAGGTACCAACGTCATTGCATATTACCTCCCCGTGGTTCTTACGCGATCAGTCGGTCTAAGCAGTCGCATGGCCTTGATCCTGTCTGCAGTGGACTCCATGTCTCTTATGTTCTGGGGCTCAATGGCAGCCCTCTTGACCGACCGCGTTGGGCGAAAAAAAGCTGATGCTCATGGGCGTGGCTGCCAGTAGCGTTTGCTTTGCTCTTGTTGCCGTGGGTTTGCGATATGGCGGTCCAGACAATCAGGGTATGTCGATACTGGCTGTGGTTTTTATTTTCGTCTATTACGTCTTTTATGGAATGTCGCTGCTTTCGATTCCGTACATATACCCCGCCGAGATCAATTCTCAGAAAATGCGCAACATTGGAACTCCTTTGCGACCACAGTCAACTGGATTTTCGTTTATGTTGTTGTGGCAACGCCTACCGCCATCGAAAATATCCAGTGGCGGTACTATATGCTGTACGCCATTTTCAACTTTTGCTTTATCCCACTTATCTACTACTTCTATGTCGAGACTGCGACATTATCTCTCGAACAAGTCGATAGGCTGTTTGAAATCAAACATGACGCAGGAAAAGACATGAGTTGGGCGGATGCAACGCGGATCGCTCGTACTGAGAATGATGATTTGCAAACACCGGTGGAGAAGGATATCCTGAGCGCAGAGCACTGCGAGATCGCTCCCTGAGGGACTCGCAGAGTCAAGCCAGAGCAGATTCCAAAATACTGGGGAGATCATAGATGGATAAAGTTGAACCTCAGTTTGTGTGGCGATCACATTGTTGTTGCCTTGTTGCCTTGTGCTCTAGGCATCCGCCCCGGCACACATTCGCCTGCATATAGATAGCTGCTTCCTTCTCTCTAGACTTATTACTTTCTTTGTCGGTTACTACACGTTGTCTTTCTTCTTCGTATCTTTATATTTGTTGTATCCGAGTTCTTCACAATATAGACCTGGGCATATTGTGCCACTTGAGTGCATACTAGTACTAGTAGCTTTGCCAATTTTCCTCGGGCTTTTATTTTGATTCCTACTTACCTCCGATCCACTTCCCCGCTCATTTGGCATACTTCCGAATTTGGGACAATAGCCAGAGTCACCAGACTGTTCCAAGGTTCGAAGAATTTCCTATCATGTCGGACATCAAAATCCGGGATTTCTTGCGGCACGCTCCACGCCAGAACCCCACCAGACAGAGGAGTTTCGTTACATAAATGGCCTTGACCCAGCTCTCATCTTTTTCATTTCATTGTAGACTTTGAACACATTCGCTTCTACTCTTTTACTCAACATCTCTCATTAACGGCAATGGCGACAGAGAAGCTTCGCATCGGTATCGCAGGCCTTGGCCGTATGGGTACGCACTCTCATTCTCGTGGGGTAGATGTTTTGATCTTACTAACTATGAAAAGGCAAGCGTCATGCTGTGAACTTCCACGAGCTCACTGCTCGTGCAAATGTTGTAGCTGCGAGCACTCCTGATCCTACGGAGCGTGAATGGGGAGCGAAGAACCTTGAAGAAGTTCAAATCTTCCAAGACTACGACGAAATGCTTGAAAAGGCCAATCTGCAAGCTGTTGTAATTGCGAGTATCACTGCTGTGCATGCAGAGCAAGCTATAAAAGCAATCAAAAAAGGCCTTCATGTTCTTTGTGAGAAGCCGTTGAGTATTGATCTTGAAGTGGTACGTTGATTCCTCACATATGCTCATGAATTTCTATCGCTAACGAGCGACGTTATGGAATAGGCTCAGTCTGTCGTTTCTGCATACGAGGAGTCTCTCAAGAAATACCCACAGCAGAAAGTGATGTGTGGGTTTTCTCGTCGCTTTGACGCTTCATATCGTGAAGCCCATGCAAGAATTTCAAAGGGCGAGCTTGGAGCTCCGGTTCTTTTCCGATCTCAAACAGCAGACTTGCATGATTCATCGGGATTCTTCGTTCAGTATGCGAAGACAAGCGGTGGTATTTTCGTGGATTGCTCTATTCACGACATCGACCTCATGATTTGGTTCCTAGGTGAGAACCGTAAGGTCAAGAGCCTGCAGGCAGTTGGTGTTTGTGCCGTCCACCCAGCACTAGAGGCGAGCAACGACCGGGATAATGCGATCGCAACTGTGGAGTTTGAGGGTGGAAAGATCGCGGCGCTGTATTGCTCACGTATGATGGCAGCCGGGCAGGAAGATACATCGGAAATCATTTGCGAGAAAGGTTCGGTGAGGGTGAATATGCAAGTGAGAAAGAACCACGTCGAAATCCATGACTCCCAGGGCGCCAGACGTGAGCTGCCGCAGCATTATTATGAGAGGTTCCGGGAAGCTTTTATTACCGAGGCCTCTGAATTCACGGCATGCTGTCTGGATAACTCTTCGCCTCCAATCAGCCTCCAAAGCTCTGTCAAAGCGGTTTCTATTGGGCAAGCATTGCAGAGAAGTCTTATTAGTGGCGAGAAGATTCTCTTCGATTGAAGAATCGCCAATATTTAGATAATAGCTCTTAGTACTTAGAATAAATTTTCTTCTTTTTTTAATATCAGCTGCGCCTAAGCTCGAGGATGCAGTATTATTACGTCGTTGCTCCAAGCTGCATTCTACTCTAAGAACATCTTCAATGGGCGATTTCGCGTAGAACCAAATTAGCTTCATGAAGGCATACGATGCCAAGCGTTTGTTCCAAGAAGCCAGCAGTGCATGATCATATCAGTAATCCACAATAGACTTCATTTCCTGTCCAGAAAAACCTTGGCATCACTCGACGTTCGGTGTTAGGTCTCCGAGCCGAACGCTAATAGTTTTTAAGCCGATGTCATCGGTACCCCGCACCCGGTGCTATCTCCTATTGGGCCCCGCAGTTGCGGGGGAAGGCGACGGAGGTGAATAGGAGGCGTTTAGTGCTTTACAGCCCAATTGAATATTTTTGGTTTTTCATCACGACAACATTGCGGTCACAGGAATTTTGTTTCCGACAGCCCCTGTAGCACTTTGATCCAAACAAGCTTAGAGAAATACATCTCAATGAGATTCGCAATACCCGAAAATGTCTCACCAGATCATTCAGCCTAGCAGATATTCAATATTCGGTTGTTAAATCGTAAGCTCAGGTGTAATCTCAGAGTAAAAACCCATAAGCCAGGTACTTCCTACCTAGTTTAAGTTTTTTTTTTTTTCAATAACCGGACTGGTAAATCTGAAGTAGAAACCGAGAAGGGATCTCTTGGAATCGGGTATCTTAATTGCAGTTTTTAACATGCCCCCTCCCAAAAACTTGAGAAATAGTGTGTAAGAATTGGACAGTGATATCTATTTTATTCTGCTTATTCTGCTTATATTTATCTCCACGAGCTGTAAAAGAGAGAAAATCCGCAGAGCATCATTTATGAGTCCGTATTTCTATGGAACTAGGTAGAACATTATGAAGAAATCGATTGGGTGCTAACGAGCGATATAAAACATAGATTGAGAGGGCAATTTGTCAATTTGAGGGGCCTCAAAGTTTTGCATATTTCACAACTAGAAGGAATCCACGCATAGGAGCTATCACCATCTCAGAACCTTTGTCGGGAAAAACTCATCAATGAGTTCAAGATAGTATGGCTAGATTCACATTAGCATATAGTTGAAAATCAAGATTTTATTTCTAGGAATTATTCTTACCTTTAACTCTTCAACGTTTGGTACCTCATCAGTCTTGGAGTACAAGTCATACGGATTGAAAGCCCGCACAGCTTCAAGCATCTTCTTATCATGCTCATTCATAAGCTCATGATAGGCGTTCTCGCGATGCCATGGATAAAACGAGTGGTATCGAATCATAGCCAGACCCTCATCAGGAATTGTCGACTGATCCTTGACGATATGATAAAGGTATTCATCATGTCCCCAACAGAGCATGACATTCTCTAGGCCACATCCAGGGGAGTAGATGCCGAACTTTGTGCTGTAGACTGGGTTTTCAAAATCCTCATTCTTCTTGAAAGACTCAGTCCCAAAGATGATTCTATCATCAAATGCACATCCGACGGGGAACGTGTCACCCACAACATCCCATTGGCCCTGGGCACCAAAGAAGAAAAGAAGCTTGCCCAGATCATGGATCAATCCAACAAGCTGCATCCAGCGTGGCTTACCCTCTTTGCGGATGGCTTCAGCAGACTGGAGCAGGTGTGTCACCTGAGATTCCTGGGTGTCGGGATCACATTCATCAATAAATGTGTTCAACTTCTCCATTGCTTCCCAAACAGTCATGTTTGCACGGGTCTTATTGTGAAAGTCATTGCGGGCCTGCAGGTTGAATGCCACTGTTTGTAGGGTGTGCTGCTGAGCGTAGAAGTTTTTGACCTGGTCACAAGCATCGTTGAACTGGCGGAAATTGTTCTTGTTCTTGGATTTGTCAAATTCGGATTCATCGTACAGGTCCTTCGAGGCCTGCTTTGCGTTTGTCTTTAGGACATTGACGGCGTCGATGCTGTCCGATGTGGCTTCGATATTCACGGCAGTAGGTGCCATTTTGGATAAAAAGAACCTTGTTGACTGTGAAAAGGTATAAAATAAAACTGAAGAGATGGATGATTTAATGATAGAGGTTGCCTCGAAGATCTCTCCGGTTTTATAGATCTCTAATCGCTGAAACTGTAACAGGATGCGGAAACCGCTTTCCAGGAGCAGCCATTTTCAAGGACTCCGAGTTTATTATCTCAAAAGATGGTTTCGTTTCAAACTTCCGGAAGATCCAGTATACTTCTGCGGGCGTTCTCCCAACTCCGGCACACGGAAAATCGTGTCCGAGCAATGATAATTTCAATAGTTCCTGCTTATCAACTAGAAATCATCAGCTCGTGATTGGAATACCTGCAATTTGCCCCAATAAATCGACCCTCTATTCTGAAAAATAATGCGCGAGTTACAACGCGAGGAAAAGTGGGAGAACCCTCTCACAATTTTATGGTATGGAAGATAGCGCTGCCCGGTAGATGGCTTGAACAAAACATGACGATAATTTCGGACCCTTTGGCCTCACCTGATGCCAATTGTATTTTTGATTCCTCCACTGGCATGGTTGTAACCTTGGAACGACTCAAGGATTCAGTCTCCGAGTCCATTTTCCAAGGTGGTGGGTGGGTCACGCGGTGAACGGAATCCGAACTCACCCCGCATTATATAAAGTTGCATCATGATGTCTGTTAGCCAAATTCCCTCCTTAATTCAAGTTGTTTAATATCATCTTTTTCTGGCGGGCAAGTCTTTTTCATCCTCCTTGTCCACAGGTCCAGGCACCGAAATCATGCTTTCAAACAAATTGGCTATCGCCAGCTTATCTCTGGGCCAACACCCTTCTCATCGCCTGGATCATAAAATCCGAGCTTCAGCAGAAGCTGGATACGAAGGCATTGAGGTTGTCTATTTTGAGTTGGAAGCGTTTTCTCAAGCTCAAAACATTTCGATTGTGGAGGGTGCCGAGAAAATTCGCGACTTATGCCAAAAGCTCAACTTGAGCATTCTGTCTTTGGCGCCCTTTGAGAATTACGAAGGAGACCGATCGCCAATCGAAGACAGACTGGCGAAGGCAAAACATTGGATTGGAATCGCCAGAATCCTTCGCGCGCCATATTTGCAAATCCCGTCAAATTTCAAAGCGGACGCCATAGGAGATAGAGACGTGGTCATCAGTGAGCTGAGGCAAATTTCCGATATCGGAAGTGCGGAGGAGCCGGTCGTATCAATTGCATATGAATATCTGTCCTGGGGAACGCACTGCTCTACATGGCAAGTCGCTTTGCAATATGTCAACGAAGTTAATCGACCAAACTTCGGTTTATGTCTAGACACTTTTCATGAAGCTACAAAGCTATGGGGTGACCTTTTTGCTGCGTCGGGTCGCTTCCCTGACTCCGATGAAGTCCTTCGCGAGTCCCTGAACGATTTTATTGCCAATTGCCCTGTTGAAAAGATATTCTTCATCCAGCTATCTGACGGCGAAAGATTCGATCCTCCATTCTCCAAAGATCACCCGTGGTTTGTCGAAGGGGAAGCACCACAATTCACTTGGTCCAAACACGCACGACCGTTTCCGTTTGAGCATGATCATGGCGCTTATCTTCCAGTTGCTCGGATTTCTCAGGCTTGGATCCTCGCGACTGGCTTCACAGGCTGGATTTCAATGGAGATTTTCGATCGTGGCATGCGGGATAAAAGCAGCCAGCCAGAAACTGCTGCCATGAGGGGGATAGAATCATGGAAAACTCTACAAACTGAGCTTAGGTCAATCTCATAAGATTCAATGGGGGAAAAAAGTTTCATAGAATACCTTGTTATTTCCTGGGTCCAATGTTCAACACTGCTACATATCCTTTTCGAAGAAATTTCCTTCCATGATACAATCTTCTAGGAGAGCCTTCTCGTTAATACAATCATTGAAGAAGTCGATTCGCTCGCCACCGGCATGGCTATTTGCACCGAGTGCCTGTAGGCCCATATATTAACAATCTGAGGAATCATGAAGCTACAATTGGTAAAGTAATGCGTAGGTAAAAAATTAAGCACGCGAAAAACGCATACGAGTGCTTGCAGATTGACAACCACATGATACAACATCTCTTATAATTGGTTATAGTTTTGGGTCTAGACGTCTTGGCAAGTTTTACGAGGCGGCTAGTGAATAATGGCCATTGGTGACTAAAATAGGGAAGATTGTTTGTCGAATACGAATAAGCAAAATGTGGGGTCAGGTGCAGTCTTACATGCAAATCTATCGAGGAGCAACTCCCACTGGTCGTTTTCTGGACGATTGGTAGAAATCATTCCTGTTTGGGGTGCTGACTGCATTAACAGAAAAAAATCAAGCATTGGGCAAAGATATAAGCCCCCTGTTACCTAACGGGCTCATCAAGACTTTCTTGATCATTAACCACTTTCTTTTCTTAGCGGTTGCCAGCCCGAGCTCCAGTACAATACCGCGGTCTTCCCTAACACATGATGCGTATGGAGTGATACAAATGTCCCTTCTCTTTATACTAAGTTAGCTTGGTTAACGCTTTCAGTGCACAGACATATACCGCCGACAACCCAGATCTTCTTCATTGTATGACGGAGAAGCTCAACCAAGCGACAACTCTTTCAAGAAACCCCAACGCTCACATCGCGCCAATTCTCTTGACTTAGAGACTGGTGTCTCGAGTCATGTACCGGCCGAGGGGATACTGCGTCTCCCCAAAGAACGATGTGAACGGCAAGATGTGACAAATATCTCGACTGTACTGGAGCGCGCTAGAACTCTTCCAGCAGAAGGATCCCACTCCGAGCCGATTTCAGAACTACCCTCAGTGCAACCTAAAATGTCAACCCACTCTACACCGAGGGATCCCATCAATAGTAGTAAAGACCGTGGAATCGACGACTGGGAGTTTGAAGATCCGAGCTTTACTGCGGCATCAGTGATACGTGCAACGCTGTTCAGCTCCTGGGTAAATCTCCTTCTCATCTGTGTGCCAGCTGGATTCGCAGTCAACTATACCCGTGGTAAGTCCACAGAGACTTTTATCATCAACTTCTTTGCAATCATTCCTCTATCAAAGATGAGCGAATTTACTTTGCACGAGATCGAAATTCGCAACGAATCTCTGGCAAGCTTTTTATATGTCACTCTGTGGTAGGTGACCTGATTGAATGTGATATGCATGCCAGTGCTATTCTCACCCGGATATAGTAACTTTGTGCAGCTGGTCTGCAGTATAATTCTTCTTAAGGACAACAAAATTTCGATCTTGCAAACTACGCTCATAGGAGGCATCTTGAGTAATATTCTACTTGTTCTGGGCATCAGCATCATTCTCGGTGGTTATGAAAGAATACAGCAAAATTATAACATCGTGCTTGCACACACTTCCGCGAACCTTTTATCGCTCGCTTCGACAAGTTTGCTTATTCCAACCTCTGCTCATTTACTTTCACAGATCAACGTGAAGAACCTAGTCAAACAGCCGCGCGGGGCCTCGGTGGTTTTGTTGATTGTTTACTTCGCATACGCTTTTTTCTTCTATAAGTCACATGCAGAATTATGCAGCAAGCCTTCTCCAAAAGCCGAAAAAAGAATAAAGAGGGTCTACGCAAGGGATACTGAACGTGGCATAGCCCAAATTGCAAGAATGACCGCTGGTTCAATAGGTGATCCTACCACGCAAGTCCTGAGGCTAGAAGACCCCGATGCTGAGCCTGATGATCCGAAACTATATCATTATACCGCGCTGGCCATTCTCGTGGTTACAACAGTATTGATGGGCTTCTGTACGCAGTTCGCAGTGGACAGTATTGACAGTCTCAGCCAAAAGGCCAATCTCTCGAAAACCTTCATCGGGCTCATTCTACTGCCAATTCTGAACAACGACATAGGCCCGGTGGAGCAAGCATTGGCCGACAAAATGGATCTGACTATACAGTTTACAATCGGGAAATGCTTGCAGACGGCACTTTTCGTGCTACCATTTACGGTTCTGTTAGGCTGGTGCATGAAGGTAGATATGACGCTCAATTTTGATGGATTTGAGGTCGTCAGCCTGTTCGCGTCCATCCTGCTGCTTAATTACCTAATCTATGAAGGGAAATCTACATGGTGAGCACTAACCCTTTACTCAATCAGCTAAAATCTGACCATTCACAGTATTCAAGGTGTTCTTTTGCTTGCAGACTGGATTTTGATTGCTATTGCTGCGTATTTCACCGACTAAACCTGCAAACATGGATATATTGCCATATGGATACAGTGGCGTTGCGAAAGGTTGAAGCCTCCTATTGCCCACCATTATCGGCCACAGGGCTTATAATGACAGACTAGTAGCTACCTAAAAGATGGAATGAATTGGCTTCTCTGTTCTATCTTAGTTACGCACTAATCCATCTTAGAAAGATAGAGACTAGGATAGTCAACGAAGAATTGGAAAATTTTACAGCACCTCTGTAGATTTGTCTAAATTTATATAGGAAATGCTAGTAACTTTAGACTCAAGAGCTACAGACGGCCTTCAAGTCAGTCAGGTAAATACACTTATATACAAATACTGACCACCCTGCGCTTATGGAGCGCTGAAGAAGAGGAATTCGGACTTTGCATGGTTTACATAGTTATTTGCCTGTGTACTGCTTGTATTATTATGATAAAACTTGGAATCTACTTGATATGATCTGTCATAAAAATCGTGTTGCTTTTATTCTATCAAAAGACTCAGAAGTTACATTAATTTAATAGGGCAGCCTTGGAGTGAGCATTGTTATAGTTGACAGTGGTTGATGGGTGTCTCAAGCCAACCTTGGAACCCAACTAGGATTAGCCCACCATTTCTAGATGAGTAATCGAGGTGCTATCAGAAGCAAAGAAAAAGCAAGATCAAAATACATACTAGGAACTACTAGCTGCCAAGCCGAGGTTGGAATACCAATAGATGGGAAGGATGATGGATGATCGCCAATGAAGAGCGGGGCCCATCCCTGTTGGTGGTTCCTGAGACCCTTTGAGACCCTTAGAATCGTCCACCACCTCAAAATGATTCGGGTCCATCTTCATCTCCGTGCGGGGAAGAATAAGCCTTGAATTGGAAATGGTTGCATCCACGCCCGCGCCTGAAGAGCAGCTAAACCTGGTTGGGCACGCGGAATGTGGAATGTGTACCAAAGCTGCAACTCCTCCGACGATCCCAGCTCTGCAGGTTCGCTGCTCATCACATCACGCGCATTCACCTGTGCCATCGCTTATGCATTTTATCTCTCCGACCCCGATGGTTTATTCCAAGCTGGGGTAATGATCATCTGTGAGACCCGCCTTTCGAAGCTTTGGAGCAAGCCTTCAGCTGTGCCATCCTCCAGGGTTGGGATTTAAGTACTCGCGTGCCTCCGCTTTGCACGCCTTGATGTCATCATTCGTCCTTCTTCCTCGCTCTATATACTGCCATCACTTTTACTATGGCTAATCTGCGACTGGGGACGGCCTTTGCTGGGCTCGTGTTGACACTCCTGGTGTTCATGCAGTTGCTGGCAGTGGCTCGCTATAATGATCGAGTCCCCGTCGGTACTTTCGATCGCAACTTCAACCAGTGGAGGAGCAGAGCCAATGCAGCTGCAGACGACGGTTTATTCTTGGTGGGCGCGGGCAAAGCTGATGTTACTGGGTATGGACTCATGCTTATCTTGATTCTATCGACTACTCCGTCGTCTGCCACTAACACTCTATTTAGTCCCGTCGTCGAGGTAGATTTCAATGGTTATGCCAGCCTGGATCAACTGGGCACTGGTCTGCGACAGAGAATCTATTCTCGTGCATTCATTTTTGCTGATCCCAATAAACCCGAGGACGCCTTTGTCTACCTGGTCCTCGATACCCTTGCGGGTGACACCGCTGTACGACATGGAGTTCTGCAGGGGCTCGCAGCCTTAGGTGGTGACTACGAACGCTACGGCCAACATAATGTCGCACTTACTGGGACACACTCTCATTCCGGTCCTGGAGCTTGGATGAACTATCTTCTCCCTCAGATCCCCACCAAGGGCTTCGACAAACAGAGTTACCAGGCCATTGTAGATGGCACGATTTTGTCTATCAAACGGGCTCACGAAAATCTAACCCCCGGGCGTCTTTCTTTCGGCTCGATTGACCTTGAGGATACCAATATAAACCGCAGTCCATATTCGTACGACCACAATCCTGAAGAGGAAAAGGCGCGATACTCGGCGAAAGTTGACAAGACACTGACCCTCCTTCGATTTGACCGTGAATCGGACAACAAAACTGCCGCAGTATTGACCTGGTTCCCTGTTCACGGGACTTCCATGTACAACAATAACACTATCGTGACAGGTGATAACAAAGGCGTCGCCGCGTACCTGTTTGAGCGGAGTGTTGACGGAGATTCCCGATTCGCGGATGATGTTGTCATTGGGTTTTCCCAGGCGAATGTTGGCGATACTAGTCCAAATATCCTTGGTGCTTGGTGTGAAGATGGCTCTGACCAGGAATGCACGTATGCGGACAGCACTTGCGGTGGCACGAATGAGGATTGCCATGGCCGGGGCCCTTACTTCCGCGAAAAGGACAATGGTGCAAAGAGCTGCTTCGAGATCGGAAAGCGTCAGTATTCGGCAGCAAAGAAGCTCTATGGGCAATTGGACTCAAACCAAACCACTATCACGGGCAGCTCAGATGTCAGATCTTTCCACGTTTTCCATGACATGAATGGGTATACATTCGAGTCTCCGTTCAACGGCAGCACTCTGACGACATGCCCTGCGGCACTTGGATACTCTTTCGCTGCGGGTACAACAGATGGACCGGGTATGTGCTTAAGATGTTACATCCTGAATTGTCACGGCCACTGACGTTTTAAAGGTGCATTTGATTTCACCCAAAATGCAACCGGACCAGCCACGCAGAATCCGCTGTGGATGGTAGCTCGCGCAGCTATTCACCAGCCATCACAGAAACAGAGGGAGTGCCAGGGTGCCAAGGATATCCTGCTAGACGTCGGAACTCTTACAGTGCCCTATGCTTGGGCGGCAGATATCGTCGATATCCAGGTTCTTCGTGTCGGGCAACTGTTCATCATAATCTCGACCAGCGAGGCCACTACAATGTCAGGAAGACGATGGAAAGAAGCCATCGCCAAGGGAGCAAAAGACACACTTTCTGTGGATGACCCCCTTGTCGTACTTGGCGCTCCATCGAATAGCTACGCGCACTACGTCACGACAGAGGAAGAATACAACGTACAGCGATACGAGGGGGCATCCACTCTATACGGGCCCAACGAGCTGGCGGCATACATCAACTTGACTCTCACATACCTGCCCTACCTGGGCAGTGCAGCAAGCAGTTCCAGCCTCCCCGATATTCCCACAGGCCCCAGCCCTCCCATAAACACGAACAACTCGCTGAGCTTCATTACTGGAGTCGTCTACGACGAACATCCGATAGGAAAATCTTTCGGAGAAGTTAATTCAAATCCGGACAACAAAACCTACAGCCCAGGCGACACAGTCAGCACGACCTTTGTCGGTGCTAACCCCCGCAACAATCTTCGTCAGGAATCTACCTACGCGGCAGTGGAGCGCAAAGATCCAAGCTCAGGTGACTGGAAAGTTGTGCGCAATGACCGTGACTGGAACTTGGTTTTCTCCTGGGAACGGACCAATCTAGTGCTGGGGTATAGCGACGTTACTATTTCATGGCAGATCGAGGACGACTTCTACAGCGTCGATGATCCGAACCCAGTGCAGAGTGGCACTTATCGTATGCATTATTACGGTGAATCGAAGAGTGCTCTCGGGAGAATATCGTCATTTGAAGGTATTGGAGGCACTTTTACGGTGTCGGCGTGAGCGTGTCGCTTGTGGCCCCCATTTAACGAACCGGCAAGGAGTAGCCAGTATATGAATTTTTAATGAAAAGATGGATCCGATGGAGATCACTATAATCTCAATATGAATATGCTGCTTTTCTGACAACAAATGTGGAGAGATGGCCAGCATATACAATTTGCAAAATGGTGAGCCTCTCTATTTGAGATTGTTGGCCATCTCTGGCAATGCAAGTTTCAGACGACAAGATAATGAAGCCCAGACTTTTGGGATACGGGTATATATTACTGCATCAATTCAGGACCTAATTGTACTGAATAACTATCGTTCTCGTTGTATGAGAGTTCAGTGAAATAGTGTCCACAGGTGCCTCTGTCAGCAGTGCGCAGACCTGAGTTATTCTGCCACTTAATATACAAACCCTCCAATCTAGCCAACCAGGAAAGGTCCACTTCATTAAGAAAAATAGTGGTATCGACATATTCAAGTTCTTGATTCCAATTAACTTTCTCCCCGACAGGGTTGATACAAGGTCACATGACAGATCCACCGCCGAGTCCGACGCCTCAAGAAAGTCAATCCGATCGCGATCAAAGATTCAACCCCCAATCAACCTCAAAATGTCTCTCATTAGCGAAGCCCATGACTCCCTGCCATGTAAGATTATACATCTCCGACCACACCCCAACAAAAACTAACACAGCCCAGACGTCGACGCCCCGCCAACTGAGGTCGCGCGCCAAAAAGCCCAGCAACTCATCAACGCCGAGCTCTCCCCGGACCACAGCACAACCCTGCACCCCTCAATTCCCGCAGAGCCAGAATCGCACATCAGTGCATTCTTCCAACAAGAAATCGACCGCAAATCCACTGGCGCCCCGCTGTCAGGCGGCATCGACCTATCCCGCTACGAAGCGCCCGAAGCCCCAACCCGGGCCTCAGATACCGATGCACCAGACCTAGATGAATGGCGACAAACACTACAGAAGGCATATGTCTCCAGCTCGCACCTCACTAAGCGCCATGAAAATTTGACCCTGCTGGAAGAGGGCGGCAAGAATGCTTGGTTGATTGGAAACTCGCAATTGGAAGATATCCTTCGCGGACTGGAGAAGGAACTTGCGGACACAAAAGAGGCTGCGGAGGAGGTCAACCGCCAGCGTAAGATTGCGCAGGAGTCTATCCAGGGCGAGCTGGCGGGTCTGCAGGATACATGGAGGCGCGGGGTTGGTGCTGTTCTGGATGCCGAGTTGGCGTCTGAGGGACTCAGGATTCAGATTCTGGAGTACAGGCGCATGGCGGCCCAGCAGCAGCAACGCTAAGACTGGGATTATTCGGATTTGATGTAGTCTCTATATCGGGCTTCACACCTCTCTTTATTTTCGTCCCACCTGCGTTACTGAGAAATCACGCTTCATCCAAAGTCGTCCTGCTGGGTTGTGGCTGAGATTCACTTGATCGATGCAACACACATTTCGGCTAGAAGACTGACATGGACCTGCGGATCACGATCCTGCATCCAGTGCAGATCACTGTTTTGGAGTGTTCAAATATCGCCGGATCGATATCTGGACATCCCATTCCACAAACATTATCTAAGCTCTGAGCTGTCAGCTTAGGACTAGATATTTTTCCAACGTGGTTCGATCACTGGATGGTGGCTACCCTTGCAGTCTAGTTGTACTTCTATTTCAGTTTAAAACCTCTGGGGTCTTTTAACCCAACTATGATACCAAGAATAATATGAATGTTGAAACACCCAGTTTGACTCCGGCTAGGCTATGCTATTTGCTAACTTGTACAGTAAATTGCACCGTGCATTGAATCTCTGATTTAGATCGAAAATTCCAGGTCCTCCATTCAGATTTTCACCTCGGGCGAAACAAGATTAACATCAACTCCATTCTCCCTAACAGCCACAGGGCCGATTTTCTCAACGGTGTTTGCTTTACCAGCCTTAGAATTCCAATCCACAAGTTGCTTGCACATTCCCTCCAAGGTAGTCAAGGGCGGATTGTAGCCCAGTCCACCCAACTCAGGCGCCTTTTTCGCCCGGGTATCATCCGCAACGCAAAAGACGTCGGAGATGGAGAACAGCGGTGGTTGTATTTGGTTCAAGTCACCTTGAATCTTTGGCAAGAGCCAAGGTAAATACTTGAACTGAATGACCGAGTAGAACTCGATCAGGTACGCGAGTAGGAGGAGCGGCATGGGAGGAATCGTCGGGAACGAGACGGGAGTCTTCGACAGAGTCTCCAGTAGCGTATAGATATCGCTGAAGGAAATGGCCGGGTTTGGATCTGTCACGACGAAGGACTGTCCGCCCGTATTTGGGAGAGTAGAGCCAGGCTGACTTTGTTCGAGGAGTCGTTGTTCATAGAGGAGGTGGGCGATGGAGACGTTCTCCGCGTTGACGAAGCTTTGGATGACGGGTCGAACCCAGCTGCATTGATGTCAGTGACTATTCTATGTTCTTGGGGACAATTCTTTCTTCATCTTATGATGTGGTTTTACTCACGTTGGACTTCCCTGTTTGCGTAGGTATACGCCGGTGATGGTCATACTTGCATCGTTTCCGATTCCATAAATCCCATTTGCAGGCCGGATACATCCAGTACGGAAATTCGACGAAGGATCATCGGCTGCACGAACCATTCGTTCCGCTTCCACCTTGGTCACGGCGTAATTTCCAAAGAACTCATCATGACGCTCTGGTAACTTTGCCTCATCGCTGAGAACCTGGAATGCGCGCTTGGGCAGTTTCGTCCATGGGGCTACCCAGAATCCAAGTTTGTGGACAGTGATGGAGCCGGAGGAGGTTGAGACAAAGCATGACGCTTTGGCTTGTTTCGCAGCATTGAGAACGTTGCGAGTACCATCGATGTTCACCTTGCCACATAGTGGCAGGAACATCTCCAGCCGCTCGTGCGGTCGAATCGTGGCTGCTGTGTGATAGACCGTCAGGGGGAGCTGGGCCACGCCTTCTACCCATGGCTGCTGAAAAGCAGTGGTGACGCTTAACTCATCCGCGATATTGGTCTTGACAAACTCCACACCTTTGTCGAGGACATCCTGCGTGGGTGACATGAGATCTAGCACACGGACCGCAGAGGGGTCTTCACCCGCGCGAGAAGGTGTGAGACAATCCAGCCACCGACAAGACCTGCATGAGATGATATGTCAGAATGGCTCATTTTCGGAGGTTTCAATATATTTGCTTCGTTTGGTGTTTTTGCTCGATGTGTTGCATGCATGCAGAACGTACCTGATCCACCCACAACCACATATCGTCGGGCCTGTCTCGGTGGAAGGCTCTTGTTGACATCGATGGGAGTTTTAAGGGCCTTTTCATAGCTGGCTTTGACTTCGTCCACGGTCCAACGATGCGGAGATGCTGCTTCTGCCTCTGGTGGGACTGCCTTCATGACAGAATTGACATGGCGTAGGTAGAGGCCGAGCCCCAGGAGCGCGATGAGGACTGGGACGATCATACTGAAAGGAGTTTGTCGAAGCAAACTTTAGGGCATTCAGCAAACTTTGCCTGGTTATACCCAGACTCCCGTGGGAAGAAAAGGAATAGGAAGCTCAGTGATCGGCGTTTGTAAGGATTCGTAGGGATGTGTTAAGGAGATGTCCCGATGTGCACCTACAGCTCGTATCTAGGAGGAAAAGATGTGAATCATGAAACTGGATTCATTGCTTTTAATAAATTTAATTAATAACGATAATCATAAGAATAACAAGAGACTTTTCCTTTTAACAATTTTTTCTCGATCTCCAATTTTCGAGGCGCAAGATTTGTAGGGTCGCTTAGGGAGCAAACGGCTCGGTTAGGTTAAACGAGATGAGGCGGCGTTTGTGGTTGGTTGGTGCCTTCAGATCGGACGAATTTCCCCGAAGTTTGATCGATCAGGCATGGGACAGCGAGGCCGACTCCAACAGGGCCGCAGGTAGTACGTAGTCGGTGGGGTGGGTTCGTGCTCATATTGAAGTTCAACAGCCACTGCTCTACCATCTCGATCTCATTCCTCAGCCTCCAACACTAGAGTGCTTACTTTAATCTCAAGGATGGTGAGATGGCGAATGGAAAGCCAGGATATGGTCCTCTCAGAAGACCCACATACCCCCTTTCTGCGGAACTAGAACATTCAAGCATCGTTCTTTGATCTCACCAAATTAACTAATCTCCTCAAACCTGTATATACTCCCATCCATCAGAATACATACCACCCCGCATATTCCCAATCGAGAATACTGGTGACATTGTTAAGCCACCCACCATCATAGTGCATGCAATATCTCAGGCTGCATGAGGGTTCACTGAAAACTTCAAGTTTGACTGAGGCAACCTTGGAACACAGTATCCAATCGTTACCTTTCATCACCAAGGACTAGTAGTACTCACAGGTAAATATGCTGCCTATAGATTCTTGTACGCAGCTCGTCAGCGGATAAAGTTGGCCAAGCAGGTCCTGGAGAATTGACGTTCAAGTACAAATTTGATCATCTCCCGGCCGTCTTGGAGATTCAGTGGATTCGTAGTCGGTGCACATTATATCATCGTATAGCATAAGTGCTGTGATCATTGATATCAGTCTGTACCCGTGGAGATCTCTTAGTTCATGGAGAAGTCCAGCGGGGATTTGTCTACAGTAGTGCATATTTTGTGGCGGGGAAATTCCCGACAAAGTTCTGATTTGCCAGCGGGTTCGGCTCGTTCGTCGCGGAAGCATTCCGCACAGGATGAATATTAGAATGTGCACTTGCCATGCCATCGGCATTGCCCCCATCGGCATTGCCCATCGGCTGTCCGTGTTATTCTTTTACGGGATGTTCAATCTGCCGACATTTCGACCCGATCGTGGCCGTCTACGGAGTAGCATAGGAGCCGATGGATCGCCTACCAAGCCCTAACATAAATCACGAGCTGGGAAGACCAGACACAGATCGCAAAGAACCCCGAACCCCGCAGAAGCAGAAGCTTAGGCAAATCGCCCAGACTTGCCAGCAACCTGCAGCCGACCTATAGGTTCTTTGTTAAAACGTGACAGCAGCTGGGGGTTGCGCGTGTACGAGTATTCGGCAAACCGGCACGCTATATCCACCCGAGGTCTGTACCCACCAGCACCGGCTTTTCTACGGTCCAGATCAAATAGGGGATCCCACCCGAGTCCAGAGACAGAGATAGCCAGAACCGGAACCGCTTATGGGGCCACTTCAAGATGGAGTTCCCATGGGGAATGGCTCCAGACGAAACAGATACAAACCTTGGAGAGAGGGAGCCAGGAACAAGACTGGGCAGCCTGTTCTCGATATAATACCTTGGCGGCGAAGAAGAGCGCGTAATGAATGTCTCCGAGCACGCACTCTGTACATCCAGTATTGACCTAGGTAATTAAGGCTCGCAATGGCCTCGGCCTGCTTTCCGAATCAAATCACATCACTCGGCATTAAGGAGATCTTCTGGCCCTCGTCGTTGCAGAATTAGGCTTATCACTGCCCGAGCCCCACCTCTTCAGGGCCGAAAATTTTCTGTTCCAGAAGCTGGTGCAAAAGTGCTACGATTCCCACTTTGCTGGCCCTTTATCTGAGAGCTCTCTTATATTCGGTCCTGGCTGTGATTGGACCCAGTCAGGATAACCTCGGCGGCAGGGCCATCCTTTTGATAACCTAGGTTTTACTTTCTTCTCCTCTATTTTCCGTCCCGCTAGCCATCAATTCGCGCATTTCTTCAGATCGAAGGGAGTGCAACGGCCCCTGGGATCTTCGTTAAGAATTGAAAACGAGCTCCCATTTAGTGTCGCCTCCCATCGAGGATAACAGATACATGCCTGTTGTACAAGATCTATAATCTTCAACACGATAGCCGGATCTATAAACTCAAAATAACCCCGCCCGAACTTTCTATAGTTCTGCCCCCATCGCTCGTCTCAAATGCCAAGCATGGCTTCAGACGACTCACGTACGTCTGAGGAGTATACGCAGGAGAAATGGTCCCGCAACATTGAACAGTCTCACGACTCAGACTCAATCGGCGAGACCATCTCCTCGGTCAATACCCAAAATGATCACGATGCCCTGGGCAAGACCCTCACTGTTCGACCATCTCGAGCATCAGACCATATGTCTCTCTCACAGCGTGTTACAACTATCCCAACAAATATGACCGCCGACCCAAACTATGAGGTCGACTGGGATGGCGAAGATGACCCTGAAAACCCGAAGAACTGGACCTTACGATACAAGGCCATGGGATTGCTCTTTCTATCTTGGAACACGCTCATCGTGTAAGTTTCGCCGTGAGACAAAAAGGGGAGAAACCCAATGTGGAACGAGGCCAAGCTAACAAGTGACAGTGTGCTATATTCCACTTCATATACATCTGGCGTTTCTCAAATCGGCGAAGAGTTCAGCGAAAACTCCACAATCGTCACTCTCGGCTTGACATTCTACCTGATCGGACTCGCAGGCGGCTCAATGTTCATGGCCCCGCTGAGCGAGGTCTACGGCCGAAAGCCCGTCTGTGTCATCTGTCTATTCCTCTTTACAGTCTTAATTATTCCCTGCGCGCTCGCCAAATCCGTCACGGCTTTGATTGTCGTCCGCTTCATCGGTGCTTTCTTCGGCAGTGTGATGATTTCCACCGCACCTGGAATGGTCGCGGATTTGGTCGACGATGAACACCGAGCTCTGGCCATTTCAATCTGGAGTATAGGACCACTTAACGGTCCCGTTCTTGGGCCCGTTATTGGTGGATTTGTCACACAATACCTAGGTTGGCGATGGATGTGTTGGATCGCCCTCATTCTCTCTGCCGTGGCGCTCGTTCTTGCAATTATTCTGAAGGAGACCTATGCGCCTACCTTGCTGCAAAGCAAGGCTGCACGTCTGCGCAAAGAGACTGGCGATGAGCGCTGGTGGTCGCGCTATGACCGGAAGGAGAGTCTATATGAGATCTTGAAATTGAATCTCAGTCGTCCCTTTGTCATGGCCGTCACTGAGCCAATCTGGTAAGTTTCATTCAAATTTCTCTAGTTTGGAGACCAATGAATGCGGGCTAACATGTTTTCTTCTAGCATATTCTGGAATATCTACGTCGCTATCGTTTACGGCATTCTCTATCTCTGCTTCACCGCTTATCCCATTGTCTTTGGAGATATCCGCGGTTGGAGCCTTGGTCTATCAGGACTGGCTTTCCTGGGTATCGGCATTGGCGTGCTGATTACCATCGCCTGTGAGCCTCTCGTTCGTCGACTCATCAACAGCCACGAAAAGGACCCGGAGACAGGAAAAGTCCACCCAGAATCAATGGTCTCCTTCGTGTGCATCTGTTCGATCCTCATTCCTATCGGCGAACTCTGGTTCGCGTGGACCTGTGCCCCAGCCTCAATTCACTGGATTGTCCCACTGATCGCGGGTATTCCCTTCGGCGCTGGCAATACGGGTGTTTTCATCTATGCGTCCAATTACCTCACCTACAGCTACGGAATGTATGCTGCCAGCGCCCTGGCAGGTAACTCTGTTATCCGCAGTGTACTTGGTGGTGTGCTTCCGCTGGTTGGATCATATATGTATGACAGCTTAGGACCGAATTGGTCGGGAACCTTGCTGGGTCTGTTGGAGGTTGCTATTGTGCCGATCCCCTTTGTGTTCTACAAATACGGACACAAGATTCGCATGAAGAGTAATCTCATTGTGCGCATGCAAGAGGATAAGAAGAAATTGGAGGGCAAGCGTGCGAGAAGAGTTGCCGCGCAAGGAACCGCGCCTCCAAATGACGAGGAGAAGCAGAACGAGGCGATCTGAGCTGGATGCATTTTGAGCTTGTGGTTTTGTTTCTGTTTTCTTTGCCTGATACCTGATACCCCGTCTTCCTTGCATTGGAGGTCCTTGAAAAGTTGATGAATCGGTCTCTTGATAGACTGCAAAAGGTGATTCCTTGAGCGAAGTATTAATGATAATGGTAGTCAATGGGTTAATCCAACCAATGTTCGACCAGAATTTGTCTGTTTTAGCCCTGTAAAAGGTGACTGGTCCGAAGGGCAAATCCTCCGGCTGTCGAGTAGTAGTTTCAACCAACAAACTGCATACGGCGCTCCACGTCCAATAGATTTCGTAATATTCGCTCGTACTCTCCTAGAGCAATGGCACCTGCCGGGTAGACTAACACCGCGTCGATGTACACCGGTCGTGACGGGACAGTGCTTGGAACTTTGGCGGACGAAGACTCGATTGAATGTTGTGACTGCGCATCAAGCTGGCTCGAGGAGAAAGAACCAGAGGGCGAGTGACAATCTCGGACATAGCCTATCACATTCAACCAGGCACCCACACGCAGCTCCTCCGAAGTGACATCTTCAAGAACAGCATTGATGTCGACCGAGACTATGTTGGCTTCTTCATTGCCTCGTAGATAATTGTGTTCGAGGATGAGATGACCCTCGGTGACATTATATTGTCTCACACTAGTCAGTATTGAACTGATTAGTATATCATTTTCGTGAACCCTTATTCGACGAATCCATCAGACGTACCATCCCAGAAATCGGACCTTTGTATCCGCCGGGAGACAGGGCAGTTCGCAAAGAAATGCGCGTTTAGAGGCACGCGGCCCACTCATCCCAAAAGCCCGCTGGGGGATGGGAGAAAAACAACAGCGCGTTGCCTCAGCGAAGACCGGCCAGATCGGGCGCACGTGACCCGATCGGCCCGCGATGTCATAGGCTCAGCGAGGGGAGTTTCCCCTCCATTTGACATTTGACATTGCTGGAGACATCGGGTGACTTGAAACTTGCACGCGATATCGATTGTCCTGTTCAAAGCCCTACGTCGACTCCTCCACTGGTACTCTTACCACCGTCACTCCGTTCTTTGTCTACTGCGCGCAGTTGGCGTTCTGCCTGGAGCCTATCCTACCCTCCACCTCCGTCTCACCTGCTGCACGCCGCTCGGCGCAATACAATCTCGTCTTTCATTGCCGGTGCTGCCTGATCGTCCGCAAAAAGGGCCAGCCCCCATATCCAACGACCGACTTTTGTCTTCCTCGCGAATTTCTCACACCACCCCCACCCGCCCTCAAAGATGTGGTCCTGGTTTGGCGGAGCCGCCGCTCAGAAGCGGAAGGATGCACCCAAAGAAGCGATCCTTCTGCTGCGTAGGCAGTTAGACATGTTGCAAAAGCGGGAGAAGCATTTGGAAACGCAGATTGAGGAGCAAGATTCTGTGGCGCGGAAGCACGTCAACACAAATAAGAACGGTACAGACCCTTTCCCTTATATTCATACCAGAGCGTGAAGACAGAAGGGTACATTGTCTTGTTGCCTCCAGGATGTCTTTATCGCGGGAAATGTTACAAAGTCCATGAAGCTAACCCGTTACTTGCGCACCCTTTTCAGCTGCCAAAGCGGCACTCCGACGGAAGAAGGCCTACGAAAAGAATCTCGAGCAGACAACGGCTCAAATCGTCCAGCTGGAGCAGCAGGTATACTCGATCGAAGCGGCCAACATCAACCACGAGACCTTGCAGGCGATGCAGGAAGCCGGTAAAGCGATGAAACAAATCCACGGTGGAATGAACCTCGAACAGGTCGACGAGACAATGTATGTGAATGCAATAGTGATCGTCCTATCCCATGATTATATTGAGGGCATACCCTTTTAATACGAACCGGACTCGCTGACTCGAGAACAGGGACAAACTCCGCGAACAACACCAACTCAGCGAGGAGATCGGACAGGCGATTACCAGCGTTCCGCTTGGCGAACAGCCCGACGAGGAGGAGCTGGATGCCGAGTTGGAGGGACTGGAGCAGGAGGCCATGGACGAGCGTATGCTCAATACTGGCCCTACACCTGTTGGCACCCAGCTGGACCGGTTACCGGCCGCTGGAAATACGGAGCGTGAGTTGACTGCATCTTCCCTTCTCCCCTTTCCCTTTTCAAGTTGTGAAGAAAGTCCAGGTCAATACTAACTATATCAGTGGGCAAGAACAAGGCACAGGCAGCCGAGGAAGACGACGAGGAGGCAGAGTTGGCGAAACTGCGTGCCGAAATGGCCATGTAGTCTCTCACCCCCTCCCCCTCTGTCATCCACTTCTCTTCTTCTACCTAACAAGCCACCACTCAATTATTACCGCATTTGCAAATCCCCCCTATCTCGTCTCCTTGGCTGATTGATGTCTCTTACCACCTATGCATTGGATGCCTCTTTCGCAAGCAAGCCCTGTTTTTTATCTTTTTGTATCCTGGCGCTTTCTCTCTCTTTCTCTCTCTATACACTTCAATATGGTTCTCACCTACTTTTTCTACCTCTCAATCCGCTACCCTGCCCGTTCTTATGGACATGGACATGGACTTCCATTCCCACCTTCTAAGCAGTAGACCTGCTAATCTTTGCAATATAATCCCTGAAAGCTGATCCTGTGCGGCCGTGATGTATCACGTTGCCTTCTCAGTTAGTCTGGGACTATTCCCTTTTTTCTTTCTTACCTTTTTTTGTTAGCTTCTGGATCGATTCTAGATGGATAATCGTTATAACCTATAGTTGTGATTTAAATGGAGAATTTAGTTTACTTGAATTACAGTTAACCAATTCTCTTAATTAGACCTTTCATTTGGGTTGTATCTCCTTTTCAATATTCATTTCCTTCCTGGCTTTTTAGGTATCCAGCCTGCGTAGCATAGTGCCATGAACCTAATACATCAAAGGGAATTGAAAGAAGGGCAGAGGTAAAAGAGAGAAAAACAAAAACAATGAACAAAACTCCCCATGGCATTTCACCCGCCACGAAAAAAAAACCCGATTCCCACCCATGCTAAACACCGTCTCGCCATAAGAAGAAAGAGAGAGAAAAGAAAAGTAAAGAAAATGAAGAACAAGATTACCACGAGAAGATCACCGAAGCCGAAAAATACCACGGGTACGATGCAGCAGAAAACATAATGATGTATCAATACTTCCACTTCTGCTTTCCCTCCTAGGGATACCATGCATAACTCTTAGAAGGCACGGCACGCTGGGTATCGGTTGTTTCAGTCGTCCACTTCATCTTCCACTCGACCTCGCGCGTGGCGGAGTCGAGAAGAGCCTCCTTACAATCATCCGGGAGGAGGGCGATAATTTCCGGAGACATGAATTCCGGATGGGAGGGGTTCGCAATGCTGACTAGACCGTTTGGTTGGAGATTACGCAGATCTCCGTCCGGTCCGGGGACGCCCATGTTTGAATATGGCGGGGATTCGAAAATGATGTCCTGCACGACGTAGCGGTTGGAGATGTGGGCGGGGACGGGCGGGAAGATGGGAGCTTGTTGTTGTTGCTCGACTTGAGGCTTCTCGTCTTGAGTGGTGGGTTCGTTGGTGGAGTCTGTTGGCTCTTTGGGGGTTGGGGGGTTGGTGTCGGGGTTTTGGTTTGCGATGCTGAGCGATGACATGTCCGTCATTAGGCTGCGGTTGTCTGGTGGTGGGACGCGCTCGACGCGGCAGTGTGTTGGCTGCATGACCTGTGGGTATTGCATGGAGTTGGTGTGGATGTCGTAGACGCCGCCCATGGTTGCTCGGCGGTGCTCAGATAATTTCGAATTGAAGGTGCTAAGATGGAATGATTAGTCTTGGATGGGATGTAGTGTTGTTTTCTTGATTGAGAAACTTACCTGGCGGCGCGCGCGTGCTCAACCATCCAGTTATCGTCGGTGACTGGCACGCGTCGCTTCTTGGGATCAACTGGCTTTCCACCTGCCATGGGTACTGATGGTGCTCCTGTGTGGTAGACGGCACTTGCTCCGTGCCAGGCGACGTATTGGTTGCGGTTGTATGGCTCACCCGGACCTGGGAGCTTATCCTCAGGCACGGCCAGCTCATCTTCAACATCGCCCCGCTCCCGCGCAGCCTGCTCATCATAGTCGTCGGTGATCTTTTTGCCGCCCACCACGATCTTTGCGCCAAACTCACGGAAGACAGAGCGCGCAGTGACTACACCAATTGCTCGACCCTTGTAAGAGTGTGGAATGATGTCGCGCTCAATTAGGTCCCGCTTCGCATCGTCGTCGATAATTATCTTGTAAAGCATCTTATGCTTCTGGAAGAACAGGTACGAATCACGGAATCCAATACATCGGGCAGGTTCGGTCGAAAGCATATACAGTTTGTTGTCGCGGTTGAGGATCGTGAACGTACGCACACGGTATTCACGTCCTCCGAGCAGATGGCCATCTGGGTTGACTTTGGCGTCACCGGTAGGGTTCGGAGGGAGAGACACTTCATCCCCGATGACATCCATCATGTTTCCTTCCTTGTCAATTGGGATTTGGGTCAAGTGATTGGGTCCACGGTTGCGCGCCCAGCGTCCACCACTGGCAGCCGGGCGACCACGGCGTCGTTTGACGGGTGTTGTAACACGTAGTGGGGACTGAGCGCCGTCTAGGTCGAGATCCTCAGGCCGGGGATTCTTGGGGGGACGGCCGATACGTCGTTTGCGGGGGATTGCTGGGCGGCCTAACGCGGGGCTGTCACCCTCTAGAACCGTACTTTCATCTACAGCGGGTGTCGCGGCGTTGGTTTCTTCCTCCTGTTTCGATTTGGCAGGGGTCTCGGCCTGCGCATCGGGATCCGCAGCGCTTTCTCCCTCAGCTTCAGCCTCGACATCGACTTCGGGTTCGACATCCAAATCTTCGTCGGGGGAATCTTGATCTTCTTCTACCGCGGGAGATGATGGGTCCGATGGTGGCAGATCGAGCATTTCATCGTCAGAGCCATCGGGAATTACTGGCACATTTTCTAGAAAGTATTAGTCGCGAAGCGCGTCCAAA